ACAACTTGGTCCAAGTGACGTCTTGGTCCAAGCGAGCACTTGGTCCAAGTTACGACTTGGCCCAAGCGAGCACTTGGTCCAAGCGACGACTTGGTCCAGACGTGCACTTGGTCCAAGTGACAACTTGGTTTAAGCGAGCACTTTGTCCGAGTGACGACTTGGTCCAAGTGAAACCTTGGTCCAAGTGACGACTTGGTCCAAGCAAGGTCTTGGTCCAAGCGAGGACTTGGTCCAAGTGAGTACTTGGTCCAAGCGAGCACTTGGTCCAAGTGATGACTTGGTCCAAGCGAGGACTTGGTCCAAGTGACGACTTGGTCCAAGTGAAACCTTGGTCCAAGTGACGAGTTGGTCCAAGCGAGCACTTGGTCCAAGTGACGACTTGGTCCAAGGGAGGACTTGGTCCAAGTGAGTACTTGGTCCAAGCGAGGACTTGGTCCAACTTACGACTTGGTCCAAGTGACGACTTGGTCCAAGTGACGTCTTGGTCCAAGCGAGCACTTGGTCCAACTGACGACTTGGTCAAAGCGAGCACTTGGTCCAAATGACGACTTGGTCCAAACGAGCTCTTGGTCCAAGTGACGACTTGGTCCAAGCGAGCACTTGGTCGAAGTGACGATTTGGTCCAAGCGACGACTTGGTCCAAGCGACGACTTGGTCCAAGGGAGCACTTCGTCCAAGCAAGCACTTGGCCCAAGAGAGGACTTGGTCCAAGCGAGCACTTGGTCCAAGTGACGACTTGGTCCAAGCGAGCACTTGGTCCAAGTGATGACTTGGTCCAAGCGACGACTTGGTCCAAGGGAGGACTTGGTCCAAGCGAGCACTTGGTCCAAGTGACGACTTGGTCAAAGCGAGCACTTGGTCCAAGTGACGACTTGGTCCAAGCGAGCACTTGGTCCGATCGACGACTTAGTCCAAGCGAGCACTTGGTCCAAGCGACGACTTGGTCCAAGAAAGCACTTGGTCCAAGCGAGAACTTGGTCCAATCGAGCACTTGGTCCAAGTGACGACTTGGTCCAAGCGAGCACGTGGTCCAAGCGAGGACTTGGTCCAAGGGAGGACTTGGTCCAAGCGAGGACTTGGTCCAAGCGAGCACTTGGTCCAAGTGACGACTTGGTCCAAGCGACGGCTTGGTGCAAGGGAGGGCTTGGTCCAAGCGAGCACTTGGTCCAAGTGACGACTTAGTCCAAGCGAGCACTTGCTCCAAGTGACGACTTGGTCCAAGCGAGGACTTGGTCCAAGTGAGTACTTGGTCCAAGCGAGCACTTGGTCCAAGTGACGACTTTGTCCAAGCGAGGACTTGGTCCAAGTGACGACTTGGTCCAAGTGAAACCTTGGTCCAAGTGACGAGTTGGTCCAAGCGAGCACTTGGTCCAAGTGACGACTTGGTCCAAGGGAGGACTTGGTCCAAGTGAGTACTTGGTCCAAGCGAGGACTTGGTCCAACTTACGACTTGGTCCAAGTGACGACTTGGTCCAAGTGACGACTTGGTCCAAGCGAGCACTTGGTCCAAGTGACGACTTGGTCCAAGGGAGGACTTGGTCCAAATGACGACTTGGTCCAAACGAGGACTTGGTCCAAGTGACGACTTGGTCCAAGCGAGCACTTGGTCCAAGTGACGTCTTGGTCCAAGGGAGGACTTGGTCCAAGTGAGTACTTGGTCCAAGCGAGGACTTGGTGCAACTGGCGACTTGGTCCAAGTGACGACTTGGTCCAAGTGACGTCTTGGTCCAAGCGAGCACTTGGTCCAAGGTACGACTTGATCCAAGCGAGCACTTGGTCCAAGTGACGACTTGGTCCAAACGAGCACTTGGTCCAAGTGACGACTTGGTCCAAGCAAACCCTTGGTCCAAGTGACGACTTGGTCGAAGCGAGCGTTTGGTCCAAGTGACGACTTGGTCCAATTGATGACTTGGTCCAAGTGGGCACTTGGTCCAGTGAATTGGTCCAAGTGACGACTTGGTCCAAGAGAGCACTTGGTCCAAGTGAAACCTTGGTCCAAGTGACGACTTGGTCCAAGCGAGCACTTGGTCCAAGTGACGACTTGGTCCAAGCGAGCACTTGGTCCAAGCGAGGACTTGGTCCAAGTGAGCAGTTGGTCCAAGTGACGTCTTGGTCCGAGCGAGCCCTTGGTCCAAGTGACGACTTGGTCCAAGTGAAACCTTGGTCCAAGTAAGCGCTTGGTCCAAGTGAGCACTTGGTCAAGAGAGCACTTGGTCCAAGTGAAGACTTGGTCCAAGTGACGACTTGGTCGAAGTGGGCACTTGGTCCAGGCGTGAACTTGGTCCAACGACTTGGTCCAAGTAACGACTCGGTCCAAGTGAGGACTTGGTCCAAGACAACACTTGGTCCAAGTGAAACCTTGGTCCATGTGACGACTTGGTCTAAGTGAGCACTTGGTCCAAGTGACGACTTGGTCCAAATGAGCACTTGGCCCAAGCGAGCATTTGGTCCAAGTGACGACTTGGTCCAAGCGAGCACTTGGTCCAAGTGACGACTTGGTCCAAGCGAGCACTTGGTCCAAGTGACGACTTGGTCCAAGCGAGCACTTGGTCCAAGTGACGACTTGGTCCAAGCGAACACTTGGTCCAAGTGAGGACGGGGTCCAGCACGGCCGATGTACCTCGCTCGTACTGTGCCGCCATGGCTAGAGGTTGTAGAGTTTTTCATCAACTGGCACAGAAGTCTGGAGGACTGTTCTGAGCAGCTCTTCCTATCTGGCACTTGGGAGCACGACCCGGGCCGGTCTAGGCTGGTTTGCCTGCAGATGCACCTCCCTGTATCCTTGAGCCTGCTATCTTACGCTCGTGGGTGGGCACAGGCTGCGCGCGACGTTGCTTAGTTAGGGGTAACGGGCGAGGAGGCGATGTTTGCGGACTACCTTAAGATCGTGGGAGGGGTGGATTTTCTCGACCCGTGGTTCTCCAAGAGCTTCGAGCAGCTTCCTGAGGCTGTGCGCCAGGAGATCCCGAGCTTGCCTATTTGCATCGCTGCCCCCCGCCCCCCCCCCCCCCCCCCCGTTCGTCTTTTCCACGCGTGGCAGCGGCGGTTGGTTGTGGTGGAGCTCCAGCCTATTCGTCGTTTGGCTCGTGACGACGCCACCCTAGCCCGTTTCTTATCCCTTTAGGGCACGGGGGCGGGTGTCATGGGTCTCGGCTGTCCCGGCTCACGCGAACTCCAGCTTCACAACAGCTGAGTGCGGCATTGCTGCAGCTGTGCGCTCTTGGCCTTATGATTCAGTAGTTACACGAGGCAGGATGTTGTGTATGCGGCACGGTGTACACGGACCCGGCGGACCCGCACCATGCACTGCGGTGCAAGCACCAGCACGGTCCGTCTCGGGCGCACGACGAAGTGAAGTTTGCGGTAGCGAAGATTTGTAAGGCGTCAGTGGGGATGGTGACGATGGAGGATGACACGTTGTTACTAGGGAAGCATGTCTATGTCGCGGTGTGTCGAGCGTTGGACGGAGAAGCTCACGCCCTAGAGATTAGCGTTGCGAACCCCTTGTCGCTCTCTCCATCTCTGATAGGGCAGTGCGGTGTTTTATGGGTGTTGCAGCCAGGGAAGGGGAGCGGCGGGAGGCAAGTGATTATGCACTATTTCTACGTGCAATCGGGGTGGTGCTACAAAGAGCTCAGGCTCGAGTTATCTTGTTGCGGGCCGCGTCGTCCATGAGGGGGATAGATGTTAACTTGTTCGATATGGAGAGGGAGGACAGGGAGGATGAGGGGGGGGCTCTCTGGGTGGAGGCCCCATATTTTTCATATGCACGGATGTGTGGGGAGGGGGGGGGAGGGGGGGGGGGGGGGGGGGGGGGGGGGGGGGGGGGGGGGGGGGGGTGAGGTTCGGTGGGGAGGGCGTAAGAGAAACGTGGTTTGTGAGGGGCATGGTCTTTCTCTTTTCCCCTACGGCAGTGTTTTTGGTTGCTCTTGAGTGCCGTTCGTCCAATAAGGTCGTTTGTGGGTAGTCATGCGCTATTTTCCCATTGTGTATGTGTTACCGATCACCAGAACTAGTGCTAAAAAAAAACATTTACTTGCTCTAAATTTCTAATTTTTGTTGTGTAACACCTGTCATCCCATACCGAAAACTTTCTGGTTTGACATTTGCTACAGGTTGAAAATACGTGGTTGTCGCGAGTCAGTGTTTATACACCTTCAATCGCGAAGGGTCAGTCTCGCTCCCCTCTGTGTCATTCACCTTTTCTTTCCGGAGCGTTATCACCTTGGTCCTCGTCGACAGGCCATGCCATGGTGTCGCCCACAACAGCTGGCCACGTGTCCACAACTACCCAACCACCTCACTCTCCACGGATTACCGTCCCTTCCCTGCTCCCGTGCCTTCAGGGATGAGGCACGAAATTCCCAAGGCAGCCTTGCTTACGCTTCCCTCGCAAGGCATCTCTTCCCAGCACACCTCTCTCCATCTCGTGTAATCCCCACTCCCCACTCTTCTCCACCGCTCTCCGCCTCGTCTCAACCCTTCTATTACCGTCTCTCTGAAGCTGATCCCTGAACCAAACAAGGGTAAAACAGGTTTGCCTGACTCACCGTGATCCTAGTGTTGCATGAAAGCTCACTGGAGTCCGTCCCTCATTTCCGCTTAGCCTTTTTGACTTGACTAGTGGTCAGGTCACTGGTCTGCAAGAGCTCCATTCGATCTATTCCAGGCCCTGCTGGTTATTCGATAAGAAGCGACCGGCTCCCAACGTTTCAGGGTCGTAAGAAATAGTAATCATGACAGGAGCCATTGCGCCGTCGTCTGCCTTGGTGTCAACCAAGGTCGTCGGTTCAGTCAGCACGACCGGGTCTGGTAGGAGATCTCGTCGTTCCGCTACGACCAGTGTCACTGCCCCACGTGCCCTGCAGTCGTTCTCAGGGCTTAGGAGCCATGGTCAGGCGATCGGAGCGGCTAAGGAGGGGGCTAGCCTTGCGTCTGTGGTCGCTAAGCAGTCTAAAGCCGGGCGATCTGGCAAGGCATCGCGCGGTGTCGCCGTCGCCATGTTCGAGCGATTCACGGAGAAGGTGCGATCAGGCTTCGCTTGGATGCGTTTCCAACATGCTTTAATTAGACTGTTTCCACTTGTCTTTGATAACACCGATGGTACAGCCTGTCGACTTTGATTATATTCAGTGCCCGTGAGAATCGATGTTTTGACCAAAATAACACATTTCCTTATCGTCGTTGGCGCACAGTTCGCGCCACACGAATTCATATTCGTTGGTGTCTTCTTAGCTCGGATACACTCATGCCTTGATCCGTCAACACGTACTTTCCCGCACCACACCAGGCCATCAAGGTGATCATGTTGGCTCAGGGGGAGGCGCTAGGTCATTCCGCTTCTCATCTCTGACACATTCTTTCATCCCGTAATCCGTTCAAACATATGTTTCCCGCACCAGGCCATCAAGGTGATCATGCTGGCTCAGGAGGAGGCGCGTCGTCTGGGCCACAACTTCGTCGGCACTGAGCAGATCCTCCTGGGGCTCATCGGCGAGGGCACGGGCATCGCCGCCAAGGTGCTCAAGTCGCTTGGCGTGAACCTCAAGGAGGCGCGCGTTGAGGTCGAGAAGATCATCGGCCGCGGATCCGGCTTCGTCGCTGTGGAGATTCCGTTCACCCCGCGCGCCAAGCGCGTGCTCGAGCTCTCGCTGGAGGAGGCGCGTCAACTTGGTAGGTTTTTTTTATTTGTTACTTTCGTACGCCGAACCATTCCCATCTTTGCCCTAGTTCGTATGCTTACGGTCAGTTGTTATTTCCCATAACACGGAGCACCTGCTTCTTCGCAAGGGCAACGGAACGGTTCCTGAAGCTGAAAGTGGAATCTCAAATTTCTCACGTCTTATTCTCCATCGCAGGTTGCAACTACATCGGCACGGAGTATCTGCTGTTGGATCTCCATTGCGAGGGCGACCGCGTGGCTATCGTGCCGTTTATATTGAAATTGAGTTTATTTTTCTTTCATTTTGTCTCACCCATCGCAGGCCACAACTACATCGGCACGGAGCATCTTCTGCTCGGTCTCCTTCGCGAGGGCGAGGGCGTTGCTGCTCGCGTCTTCGAGAACCTCGGCGCCGACGCAGGCAACATCCGCTCCCAGGTAACAAGCGCTCGCATCTAACATCCTCTCCCAGGTAACAAGCGCTCGCATCTAACAACGGCTCCCAGGTAACAAGCGCTCGCATCTAACATCCGCTCCCAGGTAACAAGCGCTCGCATCTAACATCCGCTCCCAGGTAACAAGCGCTCGCATCTAACATCCGCTCCCAGGTAACAAGCGCTCGCATCTAACATCCGCTCCCAGGTAACAAGCGCTCGCATCTAACATCTGCTTCCTGCTAACAGCCGCCTTCAGGTAATACCCGCTCGCAGATTCCTCCCGGCGTGTATTTGATCTCAATCACCGCGCTTTGTTTCCCTAAATCGTCTTGCTTCTCTCGCTCTATCCGTCTGTGCCAGGTGATCCGCATGGTGGGCGAGAGCGCGGAGGCCGTGGGTGCCGGAGTTGGCGGCGGCAGCAGCAACTCGAAGATGCCCACGCTCGAGGAGTACGGCACCAACCTCACCAAGCTCGCCGAGGAAGTGAGTGGTTGTTCTTAATGTCGTGTTTACGATGTTTGCGAAATGCAGTTTTTTTAATCGACTAATTGTTTCACTTGAATAGGGTATCAACCTCACAAAACTCGCCGAGTGGAATGCGTCGTTCTCATCCTTCCTCAGGGCATGTTGGACCCAGTCCTGGGGTCCTGACGCAGATAGAGTTTGTAACCCCCTAGTGTACCATCTATGTATCCCCCTTTGCATCATCATCTCCGTCGCTCTGTCTTCCCCGCCTCCTTCGTTCCGCAGGGCAAGCTGGACCCGGTGGTGGGGCGCGTGGCGCAGATCGAGCGTGTGACGCAGATCCTGGGTCGCCGCACGAAGAACAACCCCTGCCTCATCGGCGAGCCCGGTGTCGGCAAGACGGCCATCGCCGAGGGCCTCGCGCAGCGCATTGCTGGCGGCGACGTCCCTGAGACGCTTGAGGGCAAGAAGGTGAGATCACGAGTCTCTCGACTATCCGTCAGTCATCGTCCGTCTGATCACGAGTCTCGTCTGTACGTCTCGACATCTGGTCGTCTGGTCGTCTGGGCTTCCGTTTTCGATTCCTGATTGATTCCGCTCGTGTAGTTTGGGAGTGCCTACGCTGGCGCTCTGTAAAGCTGACGCTTTGAAGGAACGTAATTGCATGGCGATGGGAGGTAACTATGCCTTAGCCATCATCAAGGGAGCAGGCGGACGATATCGATCTTTCACCATCTCTTTCCCCTGCCAGGTGGTGACCCTGGACATGGGTCTGCTTGTAGCGGGGACGAAGTACCGCGGAGAGTTTGAGGAGCGGCTGAAGAAGCTGATGGACGAGATCAAGCAGGCGGACGACATCATCCTCTTCATCGACGAGGTGCACACGCTCATCGGCGCGGGAGCCGCGGAGGGCGCCATCGACGCCGCCAACATTCTCAAGCCCGCCATGGCCCGCGGCGAGCTGCAGGTGCGCCTCGATGCCTCGATATACGCTCACTCATGTTCAGGACAGCTTCTCGCTTTGTGAGAGATGCTGCCGCTGGCTGACCTTTCTTGCCTGCAAGGCACCCTCAGTCGATCCCGATATCCCTTGCTGTTCCTCTGAAGCCCTTCACCCCCTTCTCACCCTTCCGCTTCCAACCATCGCGTGCAAATGCCAAGATTCCTACAGTTCTGCATTTCTTACTAAGTTCCTGTGTGGTAAACCCTGTCCCCTCCGCGTACCCCCTTTCAGTGCATTGGCGCGACGACGATCGACGAGTACCGCAAGCACATTGAGAAGGACCCCGCCCTCGAGCGTCGTTTCCAGCCCGTGCAGGTGAGAACAGGACCCATTCTTTCATTGTTGTCGGAGGCAAGGGGGGAGAGGGGCAGAGTGTTGAAGGGTGGTCAGGTGGGTGTTGGGTTGTGTGAGTGGTTTGGGTGTGGGTGAAGGCAGTTGAGCCTTCCAAAGATAGGTAGGATTGAATTCCCGCGTTTCCTAAATTGGTTCGCTCTTCGTGCTGAGGTCCTGAAATGGTGCTTTTTCTTTGTCGGCCTTCCTCCCCTCCCACACTTGCGTGGCATCCAGTTTCTGTCTATCTTTCAATGCATGAGACTGTGCCACACAGATGTTCCTCATCCTCCTGGCCTCCATTGCTTCCCGCTCCCTCCCCGCTTCCATCTTGCCCTCCTCCTTCCCTCCTCCTTCCCTCCTCCTTCCCTCCTTTCCCGCCACGCACCAGGTGCCGGAGCCCACAGTGGAGGAGACGATTCTGATCCTGCAGGGTCTGCGCGAGCGCTACGAGATTCACCACAAGCTGCGCTATACGGACGAGGCGCTCGCGGCGGCGGCGCAGCTGTCGTACCAGTACATCAGCGACCGCTTCCTGCCTGACAAGGCCATTGACCTGATCGACGAGGCCGGATCCAGGGTGCGCCTGCGCCACGCGCAGATGCCCGAGGAGGCCAAGGAGCTCGACAAGCAGCTCAGGCAGATCACCAAGGATAAGAACGAGTCCGTCCGCAACCAGGACTTCGAGAAGGTGAGAGGGTGGATGTGAGGGAGGGGAGTTGTGGCGACAAGGTGAGAGGGAGGGAGGGGTATTGGATGGACGCCCGAGGAGGCCAAGGAGCTCGACAACCAACTGAGGCAGATCACCAAGGATAAGAACGAGGCTGTTCGCAACTAGGACTTCGAGAAGGTGAGAGGGGGGGTGTGAGTGGAGGGTGTGAGGGGGACAGGAAAGACTCGCCTTAGGTGCTCGAGAAGCAGCTGTGACAGATTTTGGGGGGCGAGGAGGAGTAAGTGAATAAGCAGGGAACGAAGTTGAAGCGAGACTCGCTGGTTATTCTCCATCCTTCTCCGCATGACTAAGGGATGGGTCTGAAGGCAATGGCCGAATATCAATTTCCTTCCTTCCCACCCCCTCCTTCCTCCCTCTCCTTCAATTCGCCCAGGCGGGCGAGTTGCGTGATAGATCTGATTACGCGATGGATCTGAGTACGCAGATCAGCGTATGTCAGAGCAAGACCAAGGAGCAGAGCAAGGCGGAGGTGGATGGAGTCTTCAAGATGCGAGCCTTCCCTAACCCACCCACTCCCCTTTGTCTCCCTGCAGGCGGGCGAGCTGCGCGACCAGGAGATGGATCTGAAGACGCAGATCAGCGCCATCATGGAGAAGACCAAGGAGCAGAGCAAGGCGGAGGTGGAGGCGTCAGGGGGCGCGGGTGGGCCGGTGGTGACGGAGGCGGACATCCACCACATCGTGTGCGCGTGGACGGGCATCCCCGTGGACAAGGTGTCGAGCGACGAGGGCAGCCGCCTGCTCAAGATGGAGGAGACGCTCCACAACCGCGTCATTGGCCAGGACGAGGCCGTCAAGGCCATCAGGTGGGGAAACGCGTGCCTGTGTGAGCGTGCCTGAGAACGTGTGTGTGCATGTGAGTGGAGAGGGCCGAGAGCAGCCGCCTGCTTAAGATGGAGGAGACGCTCCACAACCGCGTCATTGGCCAGGACGAGGCCGTCAAGGCCATCAGGTGGGGGGTCTGCGTTTGCAAGTGTGGGCCTGCGAGTTTAGATCCCCAATCAGCCTGTCACCTTGTTTTCTCATTTGATATACCCCCACCCACCCACTCCTCCCTTCCCTCCCTCTGTCCCTCGCCTGCCGCGCTCCCGCCCGCCGCCCTCGCTGACCTCGTCTCTCTCTTCTTCCCCCCGCCTTTTCCCCGTCATCTTTCCCCTGCAGTCGCGCCATCCGCCGAGCGCGTGTGGGGCTGAAGAACCCCAACCGCCCCATTGCCAGTTTCATCTTCTCTGGCCCCACGGGTGTCGGCAAGTCCGAGCTCGCCAAGTCCCTCGCCTCCTACTACTTCGGCTCCGAGGAGGTGAGGCTCACGTGAGGCTGCAAGGCGGTGGTGTGGCTGTCTGGAAGGTGTGAGAAGTTGAGGGGCTCCTAGTTTGTGTGGCGGCAGGTAGTCCGAGCTTGCCAAGTCCCCCTCCTACTACTTAAGCTCCGAGGAGGTGAGGCGCGCTTGGAAGGAGTGCGGCGGTACTAGGAGGTGTGGGAAGGTGTGAGGAGATGAGGAACCCATGAAAGGAGTGAGTAAGTGAGGGGTTCTTGGTTAGTGAGGTGCCTTAACGATAACCCGAGCTCGCCAAGTCTATTTCGGACTTGAAGGAGAGGCTTTGTGGGTAGATATGTGAAAGGAGTGAGGAGGTGAAAGGCTTTCTTATGAGTGAGGGGCATGAGGAGAGCGGTCGGTCTGGCCTCCTGGAATGCCCAACTGTGACACGCTTCTTTGATTTCTTATGAATGAAATGGGGAACAAGTTAAGGGTGATGGACTGTCTTGAAACTTCTGGCTTGACTTGGCTCATATTGCTCCCTTCGCCCCACACACCCCTTCCTTCATTCAACTACCCCTCAGGCCATGGTGAGGCTGGACATGTCGGAGTTCATGGAGCGCCACACGGTGTCCAAGCTCATTGGCTCCCCGCCCGGCTACGTGGGGTACAGCGAGGGCGGGCAGCTGACGGAGGCTGTGAGGCGGCGGCCGTACACCGTGGTGCTGTTTGACGAGATTGAGAAGGCGCACCCTGACGTGTTCAACATGATGCTCCAGGTATGGGGGAAACATGGGGATTACTCGAGAATAGGTAGTGGTGGGAAACAGATAGGCGGGGGCTGTACATAGTGGTGCCGATTGACGAAGTTGAGAAAGTATGAATGGGGACCATGTTCGCAAATCTCTTGAATTTTACTGATAATATCCCCCCCTCCCCCCATCCCTGCCTCAAACCCGACACTCATGAGTGTCGGTTCCTGTGACCTTTGTGCTAAGTCAAACCATCTCCTTCCTTCCTGTGGTGCCCCGTATCCCCACTCGCCAGATTCTGGAGGATGGTCGTTTGACGGACAGCAAGGGGCGCACGGTGGATTTCAAGAACACGCTGCTCATCATGACCTCCAACGTCGGCTCCTCCGTCATTGAGAAGGGCGGCGGAGGCATTGGCTTTCAGGTGGGTGGTGCCGTGGAGTTAGTGTTTCAAAGGTGAAGGAAACGGTTGGCTTACCTTCGTCCATACTGGAGCATCCCCCCACTTACTTTTATTTCCATGTCCCCACGCCCTCCTCCCCCTTTCCTTTTCCCTGCCTCGTCTTCTTTTGAGAGAGAAATTACAAAGTCTACACACCGTCCGTCCGTACCTCCTATTGACCCTTCGATTCCCTCTGAGCAGCTGGACTACGGGGAGAAGGACACGAGCTACAACCGCATCAAGACGCTGGTGAACGAGGAGCTCAAGCAGTACTTCTGCCCCGAGTTCCTTGAGGCGCCTCACAACTCCCCTTCCCCTTCCTCTGCGCCTTCACACACTCTCTTCCTGTCTTCACACACCATCCATCCCCTTCCCTTCCTCGCCCTACGCTCCCCCCACCGCTCCTTTTCCCCCACCCCCTGCCACCCCTTTCCAGCTGGACTATGGGGAGAAGGACACGAGCTACAACCGCATCAAGACGCTGGTCAACGAGGAGCTCAAGCAGTACTTCCGCCCCGAGTTCCTGAACCAACCAGAGGCGCCTCACAACTCCTCTTTCCCTTCTGCTGCCCCTAATTTCTTCCTTCCCTCGCACACCTTCCGTCCCTTTTCCTCCGCTCCCCTACCTCCCGCTCCCCTCCTCCCCCTTCCACTCCTGCTACCTCTCTCCAGCTGGACTATGGCGAGAAGGACACGAGCTACAACCGCATCAAGACGCTGGTGAACGAGGAGCTCAAGCAGTACTTCCGCCCCGAGTTCCTGAACCGGCTGGACGAGATCATTGTGTTCCGCCAGCTCACCAAGCAGGAGGTCAAGGAGATCAGTGATATCATGCTCAAGGAGGTGTTTGACCGCCTCCTCAAGAAGGAGATCGACCTGCAGGTATGGAAGGGAGGGGAGTAATGGTGTTATGTGTGGGTGGTTGTCGGGAGGGGAGATGGAAGGGCGTCTGATGCAAGGGAGGTCAAGGAGATGAGCGACATGATGCTCAAGGAGGCTTACCTGTGTACGACCGCCTGCTCAAGAAGGACATTGACCTGCAGGTGGGTGATGCAAGGGGGGGAGGGGGGGTGTGGTTGGGTGGCTGTAGGTATGGGGGGTTGAGTTCCTGAACGGGCTGGACGAGATAGTTGTGTTCCGCCAGCTCACCAAGCAGGGGTTCAAGGAGATGAGCGATGTGATGCCCAAGGAGGCTTACCTGTGTTGGACCGCCTGCTCAAGAAGGACATTGACCTGCAGGTGGGTGATGCAAGGGGGGGAGGGGTTGGCCATAGGGAGGGCAGCTGACGAAGCAGGAGATGAGGGAGATGAGCGACGTCATGCTCAAGGAGGTGTTTGACCGACTAAAGAATCGAATGTGGTCAAAAGGTGGTTATGTGTGTGGGTGAGCTGTAGGGAGGGGCAATGTGTGTGTGGGTGGGGGAGGGGTGGGTTTGTGTGGCTTTCGGGAGTGTTGTTGTGGTGCAAGGAATTCGTCTCTTGTGTTCCCTCATCCTTCTCCCTCCTTGCGCTTCCACTCTTCCCTGCAAGCAGGTGACGGAACGCTTCAGGGACCGGGTGGTGGACGAGGGCTACAGCCCCAGCTATGGTGCCAGGCCGCTGCGACGAGCCATCATGAGGCTGCTCGAGGACAGGTGAGGGATGCTGATGAGATATGTTAGGGGTAGAGGATAGGTGAGGGGTTACCATGACATGTGGGGGGGGTTGATGAGAGGTGAGGGGTGTGAGGGGCCTGAGGACAGGTGAGCAATCATGAGGCTGCTACAGCTGACTGTCTAGCGATGCAAGGGTGCTGAGGGCAGTTGATGTGCTGACACAGCATTCAGCAGTTCTGCCCTGTAACTTCAAAGCCTACCAGTCACTCCTGCTGGCGCTGCATTACTCATGGTATTCTCTCCTTGTGTTATTGTAATTTGCAGCATGGCGGAGCGCATGCTCTCTGGGGAGATCAAGGAGGGTGACAGCGCCATCATTGACGTTGATGCTGATGGCAATGTGACGGTGCTCAATGGCAACACGGGTACCGCCACTTCCACGGTCATTGAAGCCCCTGCTGGCATCTCTTAGGAAACTATTGCTGTTTGATAGTTGCTGCTGCAGGTCTTGGTCGGATTTTACATTTTGAATCGGTTTAACCCTTCTTTATTTAGGATCATGTTCAAACTTGCCCCTTGTTCTACCAAGCATTTTGCAAAATGTTGCGAACCGTGTAATGACATCTCTATTTTCGTGACTGATCTTATCTCACATTGCGGAAAGCGGAGTTCGCGTTACGGTTCTGATCTCATATCGGCGCGCAGCCTCAACGGATCCTCCGACGTGGAATCTGCTCTCGTGTTCGTGTCATTGAGAAAGCTTGCTTTCTTGTTTTTATCATTTGGCATCGTTCTCATTGCAAATGGCATATTACAACATATCCATCGAGTTCTAACACAAGCTAGTACATGCAGAGAATACTAGCTAAAATGTACCGTGTCCAAACGGCCTTAGTAGGCAGTCGATGCTGGGGTGGGTGGTGGGAAAGTTGAGTGAGCCGTTGGAAATAGAGAAACGTGGGTGGAGGGAAATGAGCTCCAACCCACGGTTTTTGTAGTTGGAGAAGGGCGTTTAGCGCGCTTCGACGATGCCAAATGTGCAGTACAAGCAGCTTCGCTTTCACAATACACAATTTAAAAAACACAATGTGTGTTTAAAATTTATAATTTCACGTAAGCTATTGGTGGAACTACACCACTTCTCATTACATGGCCGTTGATCGTCACAAACCCACATTCCAACCGTGCCAGCGATGCATGTCGATTGGTTTAAAGCCCAAGACCTGAATTACTCAACGGAAGTCAACGCCAAAAACTAGGTTCGGGAGGCAGGCACGGAGAGGTTCGGTTGGGTTGCGAGAGACTTTCAACTCGCGAAACAATTTGCGACAAAAGTTTCTCGCTTCCCATGATGGGTGGGGTCCTTCCCACAACCAGAAAAGCGCGTGCATACCAAACTGTGCACAGTTTGAGATAGCACGCATAGTATGAGGCATAGATCATACCCGTAGACAGGGCAGGGCGTCGGCGTTCACTCAAAAGGGTTCAGATGCGCCTTACGATGTGGGTGGCGCGGATTTCGATGATGACGCGCTATGCTAGTGTTAGCAGGTTATTGTGCAACTACTGCGTAGCATAAACTCGCGACGAAAATCGAATCACACCCGTTCGTCCAAGCGTGGTCCTCCCCTCGCTTTCCTTTCCTTTCCCTAGGTCCCACGCTTCCGCTCTCTGTCGCCCGCGTCGTCGCCATCATTTCCGCAGCTCGTCGCCTTCGCGACCCCAGCCCGTCGCGAACGCTCCGCCCGGCGCCTTCACTTCCCCCTCGTCGCCTTCACTCCCCGCCCACCGTCGCCTGCTCTTCCCCGTCGCGGTCACCCCCCCCAACCCCGTCGCGACTTCCCACCCCCCGTCGCCTTCACTTTTTCCCACCCCGTGGCCTTCATTTCCCCCACCCCGTCGCCCTCACTTCCCCCCCGCGCCCCCCCCCCCCCCCGTCGCCTTCTCTTCCCCCATCCCGTCGCCTTCGACCCCCCCCACCCCGTCGCGACTTCCCACCCCCCGTCGCCTTCACTTTTCCCCCTCCCGTCGCCTTCACTTCCCCTCCCATTGCCTTTCACTCTCTCCAGCTCATTCTCTCTTCCCCGCCCGTCGCAATGGCTTCTCCTCCAGTCGCCCTCGCTTCCCCGCCCGTCGCCTTCTCTCCCCCTCCCATAGCTCGTCTTTATCCCCTCCATTCCCCCACCCTAAGCTCTCTCTCTTCCCCCCTGCTCACTCTCTTCCCCCCCCTTCACTCTCTTCTCTCCTGTTCACTCCCATTCCCCCTGCTCACTCCCTCTATCCTCACCCCCTTCCGCGCGACGTCTCCCTTCCCCCGGGTCCCCGCTCCTCCCTCTCCCCCCTCTCCCGCCCCCCCCTTCGCGCCCCACTCTGCCCCGCTCCCCGTACCAGGCCAGGAGCTGGCGCAGCGTTTCGCGGCGATGGGCGCGCGGCTGATCCTCTCCGCGCGCTCCGCGGAGCGCCTGCAGGCGGTGGGCGCCTCCTGCTGCGGAACGCACGCGCCGGAGGGGGTGGTGGTGCTGCCGTTCGACCTCAAGGGGGGAGCGGACGTGCTGCACGATGCAGTGCGCCAGGCGGAAAGCGTGCTCCGCGGGGAGGAGGCGCGTGGAGAGGAAGGGCCGTGCGGAGTTGAATGCCGCCTATCCGCGCCCGGTGAGTCGTCTATCCTGAATGTGGGTGGGTGCGGAGGGGGGGGGAGGGGTAAAGGAGGGGAGAAGGCAGAAAAAAAGGGGGGGGAGGAGAGGGGAAGGTGAGGAGGGGGGGAAGGGGGGGAAGGGGGGGGGGGGGGGGGGGGGGGGAGGGGAGGAGGAAAGTGGGGTTGGGTGGGGGAGGGGCGTGCGGGGTTGACGTGCTGGTTCTGAATTTTGCCCATCCGCGCACAGTGAGTGTCCTATTTTACACACACCTGGCTCTCTTTCTGTTAGTACCTACCTCTCCCAGTTCCCCTCGTTCCCAGTTCCTCACTCTCACGACACAGTCTCCTCCTCTCAAGTCTCTTCAACCATGTGCTCTCCCTCTCCTCCCTCCCCTCTTCTCTCTTCATCTTTGTATCTACCTATAGCCCCTTCCTCACTTTTCTCCCCCTTTTTCCTTTTCTCTCTTTTTTCAGGCTAAATTCCCTTCTCCCCCTCCTCGTCCCCCCTCCCCCCCCACCCTTCCCCGCCTTTCCTCTCTCTTCCCCCCTTTCCCGCTCGTATTTTGCCCCGCATCAATCCATGTGCAGTAGCTCACATGTGAAGACACTCCAGAGGACACTCTCCGGGTAAGGCTCCCTCTTACACCTCGTTAAAAAGACAAAGCACTTCCCCTCCCCCCTCCCCTTCCATCCCGTTTTAAACACATATCAAGCCCCCCTCTCCATCCCGTTCCTTTCTACCTGTATCCTGCATCCTCCCCCTTCATTTCCCCCTTTTTTTCCAGTTTCCCCTTTCTCCCATCTCGCCCCATCAGGCCATGCTAGAAGTCAACGTGGCTCGTTGCTCGCCCCGTCAGGTCGACCACCCTCTCTCCCTCCCCCTCCCCCTCCTTCACCCCTTTCCTCTCTCTCTCTCCGCGTCCTACATTCGCTCCCTTCCCTCCCCTCATCAGGGCATGTTCAATGTCAACGAGGTGGCCACCATAGGGCTCATGTGTTACACCTCTCCTTGCTCTCTCCCCCTCTCTGTTCCGCTCCTCCTTCTGCCTGCATCCTCCCCCCCCCTCCTTCTCTTCCTTTTCCCCCCATCAGGGCATGTTAGAGGTCAACGTGGTCGCCACCATAGAGCTCACGCGTTACCTCTCTCCTTTTCCCCCTTTGCTCACCCCTCTGCCTTGTCCACTCCTCCCATACATACCCTTCTGCACCTCCACCTCCACCCCTCGCTTATTCTGCCATATCTCCCCTTCCCTCCTTGTTCTATCACAGAACCATGCTTGTACAGGTGCCCAGCACCATGGGTCCAATTACCACCTCCTAGCTTTGTACATGTGCCTATAGTCAACTGCTGACAAATTTCATAAAAATATAACTTGCTTTGTTGCATTTCTTTGTAGTGGTCATGTGCATGGCTGCTCTGAAGCCCAGAGTGTTGAATCAGGAGAAGCATCCAACAACACTACATGGCATGGCTAGTGGTCATACGGTACCACTATCATCGAACAGCAAAGGCATCACAAGTGGATGCATGGCAAACCTGCACAAACACGAAACACAAGCACGAACCACAAACACGAAGCATCGAGAAAGGATATAAAACAATGACAATGGAAGGGCAGGCGACAAGAAACAAGCCCCTAGAATATACAGACAGGGTAGGAGTGTACAGGCGCGGCAGGGTAGGAGGGTGCAGAGGAATGGTTGACGAGAGAAAGTGAGGAGGCTGAGAGAAAGGGAGGATGGCAGAGAGGGATGCAGAGAACAAGGACTGCACCGAGGGAGAAAATGAGCAAGGGAGACAAGGAGGAAGGGTGGAAGAGAGGATGGGATGAAGGGAGGGAGGAAAGGGGAAAGAGAGGGGGGAAAGACACTGAAGCAGAGAGTAGGGAAGAGGGTGGAAGAGAGGAAGAGAGGAAGGGAGTAGGAGAGGACGACGTTGGGTGGAAGAGTGGAAGGGAGGAAGGGAGGAAGGGAGGGGGGAAGGAAGAAAAGAAGGATGGGAGGATGAGATGAAGGGAGAATGAGGGGAAGGGAGGATGAGCACAAGGGCTGGAGGGTGGAAGGGTGGAAGGGGAGAAGGGGGGATGGGAGGATGTGAGGAATTTAAGTAGGGAGAGGACAAGTGGGTGAGACGGAAAGGCGGTCGATTGGAAACTCGGAAGGTGGCAATTGAAAAGAAGGGCGGCAGGGTCACAATCCCATGCCCCCCCTCCCCAAACCCCCCTGCCCCCCCTCCCCAACTCCCCTGCCCCCCCTCCCCAACTCCCCTCCCCCCCTCCACTCGCCCCCTTGAGCACAGCGCTCCTCACTGCCCGCCTGCACGTGCTGCCCCGGCTGTGCGCCAAGCACTCTGCTCCAATGCTGCAGCCGCACCTGCCATGTGTGCGGGGTTGGTGCGAGAGAGAGGTGCTGTGCTGCCATGGGGCTGTGAGGGGCACAACGTGAGGGGCAGGGGGTGTGCACAGCGGTGCATGCTCCTCGCCTAGCACCGCATCAGCTTTCATTCTCCCCTCGCCTGCGCACCACACACCCTCGCACACGCCACAGCGAAGATGTCACGACCCCATACCCAGTGCCCAGCCCAGCCCGCCATCTCTCTGCGCCCAGGGTGGGTGTGAGGCAGGGGGAAAGGAGAATGTGAGAGAAGGAAAGAAGGGTGCAAGGGTGGGGTGGTAACCAAGGACAACAGTGGAAGTGGAAAAGGTGGAAGAGGGGGATAGAGTGAGTGCGACCTAATGAGGCAATGGGGAAGGGAAGCAACGATGACCCTAAATGTGATAGGAAGGGATGAGAGGGTGGGGGGGGTGGGTGGGTGGGAGGAAGAGGGTGAACGTGATAGGCAGGGAAGTGATGACGGCGGCGGAGTGTAGGGGAGGGTGGGAGGAAGCGAGGGCGACGGTGGGAGGAAGCGAGGGCGACGGTGGGAGGAAGCGAGGGCGACGGTGGGAGGAAGCGAGGGCGACGGTGGGAGGAAGCGAGGGCGACGGTGGGAGGAAGCGATGGCGACGGTGGGAGGAAACGAGGGCGACGGTGGGAGGGAGCGTGGGCGACGGTGGGAGGAAGCGAGGGCGACGGTGGGAGGGAGGGCGACGGTGGGAGGAAGCGTGGGCGATGAGATGGGAAGCGAGGGCGACGGTGGGTGGGAGAAAAGCGACAGGGGGAAAACGTGGACGACGGTGAAGGTGGGTGACGGGAGGGGTAGCGTGGGCAACGACGGAGTGAAGTGTGAGCGACAGCGGGAGGAAGCGCGGGCGACGGTGGGGCGAAGCGTGGGGAACGCGGAAGGCGCTAGACAACATAGGAAGAGATCGATCTAAGACGTAAAAGTAGCGACGTAATTGGGCACGGCGACGTCGACGAGGGCAAGCGTGAGTGACGGGACGTGACGTCGACGAGGAAGCGCGGGAGGGGAATAGGGCTGAGGCAAACCGAGGGGGAACGCGCGGGAAATGACAACATCGACTGTACGATTCTCATCGACCTCCGAGAGGGAGATGCATGCGTCGCAAACTGGCGTTTGCGCGGTCGCGCAGGGTTTCGACGACGACGCTGAGTAATAAGCGGGGCCATCGCAACACTCTGCTAATCACACAAAATCTTTTTTTTTTTTTTTTTTTTTTTTTTTGTGGAGTGGGCTCTGGCTCTAATGGCTTCCTGTTCTACCTACGAGTGCATGCGTACTACGTGGTCGAGCATGACCTGAATTACAACAATTTTCAAACTGTGCACAGCTTGCCCTACTCCCTTCAGGAGGGAGCGGCTGGGACTCTCGCCAACCAAACCTGTGCTGCTCTACGACTCCCTGTTTTTTTTGCGGGGCGTCATTTGGTAACCAGGGAGGTTCGGGAAGTCAACTGTGGGCTCGGAAGGCAAACTGTGCACAGTTTGCCTTCAGTTTTTTGTAATTCAGGTCTTGGGCTTTAATCCATGTCACGAACCGCATTCTCTGCTCCTCTTCGATGAGCGACGCCAGCACCACAACGAAACCTCTTCCTCTTCGTTCAAATTTCTCAAGCAGATCCCGCCTGTCTCGGTAACCTCGGAGTTGGTTTCCATCGAATTTTTGGCGGCACAGATTGGAGATTCCCTGGGGCTCTCCGCATATAAAGACCAAGCCACAGAAATGGCACAGAACAGTCAGCATTTTTGTGCTAAAGTTTCTCTAGTTAGCGCGTCTGCCAAACTTCTCCGATTACAGCATTTTCTTTGATATTCTCGCCGCCTCGTTCTCTAGCCATGGCTGACAAGGAGTGCACCTGCGGTACTGGATGCTCCTGCGCTACCGGCGGAGCCTCGTGCGGATGCGGAGCCGGATGCAAGGCCGGGCCTAGCTGTTCCTGCAAGGTAGGTCAACTAGCTGCACCCTCTCCGCTTCCACGCCTTGGCGGTTGTTTTACTGTGCAGCTTACGCCTTGACTGGTCGTTCATGGTTTACACCTCGCCATGCCGCTTGTTCGTAACACGTGAGAAGCTAATATTCAACAGCGTTTGTAACTGTTATCCACCTTACAGGGAGGTGCTTCTTGCGCGTGCGGCGAGACTTGCGCGTGTGACTCATGCTCCTGCGGTGAAGGGTGCTCTTGCAAGACCCGCGCTTGCGCATCTGGCGGCGCCTGCACTTGCGGCGACGGGTGCGGCTGCGGCGCGGGATGCAGCTGCAAGAAGTCCTAAAGAGTCCGTATGAGCTCTGAAGAGAAAAGCCTTTTCGCCGGAAAAGGCTTTTGTTTCTACTTGTAGATACGTAATCCACCTGTGGGTTCGTTTGTAAAGTTCAATCCACAGAAATTGAAAGTTTGGGCCTTATTGTGGAAAATAGAATTTACACAATTGAAGTTCCACCAGACACACAGGTTCAACAGAGATCCTGCTCCTCATTCCATTATGACTGCTGGGATGATGAGAACCTGAGATGCTGAGTTACCAGATGTGGTTTCCCATCCCAACTCCTAGTAGCCTTGAATAATGAGGTCGCACAGCTGCCATTTATTCTTGGTTTATTTCGCAAACATGCGAGCAGAAGGGCGTTTCTGAATCCTTGTACTACAAACCTAGTACTCAGGTACTACTCTCTGAATAATGTTATACAAAAACTCGCTCCAGGCGTCCTCAGGGCCTGGTGAGCAGCTCCGTGATCCTTCCCCTGTGCCCATCTGGCCGGAGAGCAGTCATAGGCTCGATGTCCATAAACACAGCCCCCATCTCCTCCACCACCCCTCGCAGCAACTCATTCTGACGCTTGAAATTCCCCCAACTAAACGGGAGCGTTTTTGGGTCTTGCCGCTGCTTGATTGGTCCTGTCGCATTCGTGCAGTCGTTGTGCCCTGGGGCGGTTGACCGGAATACCACCAGTTTTTCCGGGTAATTCTGCCGGACGAACTGTAACGTGCGTCGCACGGCGGTTACCAGTCGATCGTCAGTCGTGGCATGAGCCCCTCTGTTAATCACCAAGACGTGGGAATTCGCAATCCCCGGGTCATCAAGCCACGGCATGTTTTTCCACCACAGCCGCTCGTCCTTCTCCGAATCCACCGGCATCAGCCTTTTATTGAATACGAAGTGTAGCTCCAGCCCGGGACACCCGAGCCCGGTGAACCGTTCATGGCAGTACCCTGTGTGAGTCCCGAGCCAGGGCATACACTTGCGGAAAGTAACTGCTTTTAGGGCTGGTTTTGGCACGTGTTTAAGTATGTTGTTTAGGAAAGAGGTGTGCGCCTCTTTGGAGAGTGAGTCTCCCAGGAAAGCGATGCGTAGGCCGTCGTCTCGCAAGCGGGCCAGCTGACAGAGAGACCGCCCGTCAAAGCGTGAAAACAACCCCTCATCAGCACCAGCAGCAGCGGCAACACCACCAGCAGCGGCAGCAGCAGCAGCAGAGTCAGCAGCAGAATCACCAGCAGCAGTGTCATCATAATCCATACCACCGGCCCCGGGCCCCCCTCCCACCTCTCTTTCGCTCTCCGGCCCAAACAGTGACCCAAACGCCCCAGCAGCAACAGCAGGGCAACATTCCCTCGGCACCACCCATTCATACTTCAACTCCTCCCTCACCCTCCACCTTTTCTCCGCATCACTCCCCCCCTGCTTCGCTATTTCGCCCGCTTCTGCGTACGCCACGCCCCCTTTGACCTGGTCAACGTGCCTCAGGTCGCAGTGGTCAACGGATTTCCAGTTCCAGGCCAGCACGCGCGGGGTGGGGTTGTAGCGCCACTCGCCCTGCGTTGCCACACATGATAGCCACTGCTGGAATGATGAGACGGCGCCGGTGTGTGGTTGGAGCCTTGATCCTGGGATGGCATCTTGGAAATCTGGGAGAATGGGTGGTGACGGTTGGGTGGTGGTGGTGGGAGAAGCAGCAGTGGCGGTTGCAGCAGCAGCAGTGGTAGTAGCAGGGGCAGCAGCAGGAGGGGTGGCAGGTGGGAAGGCGTGGTGATGTGGCACGTTGGCGAGATCATTCCACCCCCACCCGAGCCATCCGCTGCGTACAGCTGTCATGACGATGCTGTACACCTCGCTGACGTGGCACTGCTCCCCGAGCTCGCGCTTGATCCGCCCCGGGTCGCAAGCAGACAAAAAGTGCCGCACCCCCGCCCGCTCCGCGAGGCGGTAGTGCCACGTGGCAGAGTCCTGTTGGCTGACGACCGACGCTTGGATCCCGAACGGCACGGATGCTGATGAGGAGGAGGATGAGGAGGAGGAGGCGGAAGGGGAAGAGGAGATGTTGGCAGTGGGGAGGAAAGGATAAGTGGCTGTGGTGGTCTGTGGGGCGGAGTAAGGGAGAATCTCAATCACAGTCGCATTGAACGGCAGGAAGATAAGATTCGAGAGCGCAGGCGAGGTGGGGCCCACAAGCAGCAGCGCGCGAGAGAAGAGCGCGCGGGCCTCTGTGAGGGGAACGTGCTCATCGTACAGGACCACGCGGGATTCAGAAAAGATGTGCTGCAGGAACTTGATTATTGACTGCATGCCCTCTGCTGTTGCTGCTGCTGCTCCTTCCGCTCCCTTGCTCCCTTTTCCGACTCCCTGTCCTCCCTCCGCTCCTGCTCCCGCTGCTCCCTCTGCTCCTCCCTCTACTCCCTCTCCGTTGCTCCCCAGCCCTCCCCCCACCCCTCCTCCCAACCCTCCCCCTTCTCTCATAACGTGCGAGCTCCATACTAACGAGACCACTACCACCCAGTCCCTAGGCACGGACCGCCCTCCTAGGACCACGTTGTGACTGTAAGGGGCGGGCGGGTTGGGGGTCCAGTCGGGGTTGAGAATGGGCAGGCCGCCACGTGGCAGCAGGTGGTTGGCCCGCAGCGCGAGCCAGAGCGCGTCAGGGCGGGACGGGGGGCCGGCGGCAGAGAGGCCGCAGAGACTGCTGACGTGGATGGGCTGGTGGGGTGGAGGATCAGGGGAGTTGGGAAGGGGTGGGGAGGGAAAGAGAGGGGAGTTTCTAGCAAGGTGGCGAGGGAGGAGTTTGTGCCAAAGATCCCCAGGCCTAGAACAGAGAAGAGAAGCAGAGAAAAGAAACAAAGAAGAGAAGCCGCAGGTGAAAACTCACCACGTAGAGTTGCTTGGCGAAGAACAGGTGGTCGCGACTGTCGCCGAGGAGAGCAGAGTCGGGCGAGACGGCCAAGGAAGAGAGGTCGGTGCCAAACACCCCCAGGCTTAGGTGGAACAACACGTGGCGATCGGCGAGCAGCAGAGGGAAGCGGCGGGCGGCGGGCATGAGGGAGGAGGAGAGGAGGAAGAGCACGGGCAGCAGCCGCGCTACCAGCCGCTCCTTGCTGTTGTGCAGCTTTGCCTGCGCCACCCACTCCCGCCCCTCGGGATTGCCGCCGGTTGGGCTGGATTTACTCCCTTCTATCTGCTCCTCCTCTTCGTGCGCTTCGTACGGCAGGAGATTTATCAGGTGAGGATGCACAGTGACTCGGGTTCCAGGTGGGTACGAAGGAACTTTCACCTGCTGCTGCTGCTTCTGCTGCTGCTTCCATTGGCCGGATCCGCACCTATCAACGACGAACACGTGGCTTTTGTTGAACACCAGGCCCTGCGCGTTGACGTACACATCACGCAGCATGAGCATGCCACCTCCGCTGCCGTCCACGTCAGCAGCGGCCGCACCTTCCGCCGCGATCCGCGGGGAAGCCGCCTGAGCAGCGCGGAACGCGCTCAAGTCACACGTTTCCTCCGCGATTCCCGCGTAGAACCACGCGCGCTGCCGCATACACTCCCGCTCCGCTGCCTCTCCTCCCTCCTGCTTCCACCTAAACCAGTCGCCCATAAATTGCGCCGCTTTATTCGGACCACCGAGCATAGCCGAGCCTGATTCCGAGCCTGAGCGCCCCAGTCCAACGGCCGTAGCTGAGTACGAGGGTGGGAGAGGGTCTCCCCATTGACAAGCGGAGACGACGGCGGAAGACGCGCCCGCGAGAGGCGGCGCGAATTCCGGGCAGAGAGGCAGTCGCGGCTTGGATTTCGATTGGTCTGCTGGAGCCGCGGGTCCTATTCTCTTCGAGAAATAGTCGATCAGGCCGACTTGAGCTAGAGACTTTCCTAGAATACCCTCCTTAAGCGTGCTTCCACCCTGTGTCCTCTCTCTACTGCCCGCATTCCCCGCCGCAGTGACCGCTGCTTCCCGACGGCCTTGAGCGGCGGCCTGTAGGATTGCCGCTCGCGGCTGGGATGCCGTCACGGCGGCGGGTCTAACGCCGCCGTCAATCACGGCCTGGTGTTGCGGCTCCGCCGCTGTTACCGGCCGCTCCAATTGGATCTTGCCACGTCGGCCGTCAGCGCCTGCTTGAAGTCGCCGACGTGGCAGTACGAGGCTGTGCGGGTGGAGGGTCTGTGCCAGTGGTTGTGACGCGGTCCCAGGCGAGTCGCCCTCTGCGCCATTGTCACGCGTGCTGCAGACTGCTAGTAGGTGCGAGGGAGCTAGCAAGGAGATAAGAACGAGGGTTGTGAGGAGGTACCGCGATAGATCGAAGCTGGTGAGACTCATTCTTGAGGTTATGGTCGGACACGTTATTAGTGGGCCAAGGCTCGAGTCTCGCGCACGGCTGCGGGCATTAGAGAGGACGAGTAGAAACGCAGACAGGTGGGCTGAGATGGATTTTCCGTCGAAGCTTATTAGGCTTGAGAGTGATCCTTTAGGTAGCCGAGGTCTACTTGAAGCCTTCTACACCAGATTGTTATTACAACGCGAGAATGCAGGAACTAGTATACTGCACGATCAGCAAGCCTCCTATCTTAGGTTCGGCGGGTTGGCCGCGTGCGAACGACACGTTGCCTATGCTCATGGGATGACGCAATCTATGCACTGGACTTGATTTGTCAGGAACGAGACTAGAAAATTTGCAGGGAGTGAGGGGAGGAATCGGGCAAAACTAGAGACGTGACTTTTTTAGGTAGGTGATGCGAGTTGTAGGAGGCAAGGATTCAGGAGGCGATTCGAGGGGTGGAGGTTCTGCGAATGCTGCGAGGCACGTTGGCGACGAGGTTAGTGTAGGGTAACTCGAAGGTGGATCTTCCCATTGGCGCAGCGCGAACCGCATGTTGATGGTTTAGAGAGTTATTGGGCGTGACGAAAAGTTCCAGGCTGGCGAATCTGAAGGATGCATTGAGTGGTGTAACACAGGGGAGGAAATTGATGGCGACAGGGGTCTCAGGTTGTGTTTCGCTGGCGAGTGGCTGCCATACTCCACCAGTCAAGCTGTGTCAGGTGATCCCTTCCAAGGCCTGAAGCATGTTTGAGCCAAATTTCATTCCTATATCTCTGAATAAACGAAAGGTGCAAGAAAGGTGAAGTTTCCGTGATACGGAAACCTCACAATCGGGGACGATATCGTCACATTTTCCAACCATGAACACCTTCCCCATACCAGCGTGGCAGGTTTCTCAATCACATGGAGCTCCACCTGGCAGCGTGACCTGGATCCGTCACCATTTCAGCCCTTGAATGCTCTCGACCTCCTAGAAATTGCCACATGAAGGATCTAGCATCTTCGTTAGCGTCAGACGCACACTTCGCACCAAACACTTTCAGGGTGGATTTGAAGGCTTCTAGCCATTGGCTGGCCGTGCATCAACTGTACTGTACTGTACCACGAAAAGTACAGCAAGTTCATATTTTCACCTCAGCATTCAGCCAAGCCACCCACGCCCAAGCCATATTTGAATGATCACAGCACGCTCACAGCCTCACATCCCGCTTTCAGAAAGCAGGCTTCGGAGTTTACATTGAATCTGGTCGTCTGAACACTCGCCAGCTCCTCAGGCGTGCCATATTCGCCTGCTCCTCATCCTTCAAATAACACCGCCTTCAGGTCAGTTGGCAATACTCCTTTGCCACATTTTTAAGCATTGAGCAGTTCTTTTGAGAAAGGTCGTCCGTGGCGTCGGACTTAGTGTCCAAATCTCGTCGCGCGCCCGATCCTGATCTTGTCGTCGCTCCCAATGGCAGTGTCCAGAATGGCGGCTCTCTCCCTCTGCTCGCGCGTCGCCTCACGGGCCGCCATGTCGGCGCTCAGGGCGCCGGCTCCCGCGGTGGGGTCCCTCCAGACGGCGGCCATTGCGCCGCTAAAGGCGGCGAGTTTCAGCGGCCATCAGATGATGCAGCGACCCACCTGGTCCCTCACCAGGTACTAAAGGTTGCTCAGAATGCCGCATGTCTTATCAGGTACGATCGTTACTAGCATCCCTCCTCACCAGGTGGTAAAGGCTGCTCATAATGCATGTCTTCGCTCCTCACGCAGTGTTCACAGCCTTAACTAAGATAAAACAAGATTTTGTCTTGTTACATGATATTGAAAATAGGAACCTTCGAGGCATCCCGATTGGAGCGCCTGAAATCATGCAGTGGTTGCGGAGATTTGGAGTGTTACGAAGCTTCCATTCTGGACCCTCTCCTTCCCTTCCCGACACCCCAACCCGTGCGCAGGTCGTTCCACCGCAACCCCGTGGTGTGCGCGGAGCTAGCCGCTTTGATTTGAATTGACTCGAAACACACCCCTCCCTCCTTCCCCCACCCCGCCACTCCCCCGTCCTCCTTTCCCCTTCCCACCTGCGCAGGTCGTTCCACCGCGGCCCCGTGGTGTGCGCGGAGCTCAGCCGTCGTTATTAGAGTCGACTGAAAGGCACCCCTCCCGTCTTCTACCTCCCCACCTCTTTCCCTTCCCCACCTCTTTCCCCTCCCCACCACTTCCCCTCTCCCCCGCACTGCGCAGGTCGTTCCACCGCGGCCCCGTGGTGTGCGCGGAGCTCAGCCGTCGTTAGGCACCCCTCCCGTCTTCTACCTCCCCACCTCTTCCCCTCCCCCCTCTTCCTGCGCAGGTCGTTCCACCGCGGCCCCGTGGTGTGCGCGGAGCTCACCCGATCGCTCAGCCGGTCGTCGTCCGGCGAGTTCGAGACGCTCGAGTACCGCCTCTTCTTCCAAAATGACCAGGGCGAAACCGTGAGTATCATTAGACGCATAATATCGGGAATTATGACGCACTGTAACGAGTACGCTTTGTATCGAGTTCGAGACGCTCGAGTACCGCCTCTTCTTCCAAAATGACCAGGGCGAAACCGTGAGTATGATATTGGGAATCACGACGCACTGTATCGAGTACCCACTGTATCGAGTACCCACTGTATCGAGTACCCACTGTATCGAGTACCCACTGTATCGAGTACCCAATGTATCGAGTACGCACTGTCTTGTGCTGCCAAGCACACTGTTTCGAGTACCTCCTCTCCTTCCCCAACGATCAGGGCGAAACCGCGAGTACTTATCACAGTCGTCGCGCGGAAGAAGCCTCGTAGTCATTTCCCCCCACCCACCTCCCCCTTTTCAGCTCTCCCCGTGGCACGACGCGTGCGGGCGACGGCCTCTTCAACTTCATCTGCGAGATCCCAAAGGACACGAGCGCCAAGATGGAGGTCGCTACAAACGAGGGCCTCTCTCCACTGCTTCATGCTGACTCCCCACCCTTTCCACTCCCCCCCCTTCCCCCCGCAGCTGTCCCCGTGGCATGACATTCCTCTGCGCGCGGGCGACGGCCTCTTCAACTTCATATGCGAGATCCCAAAGGACGCTCACTTGTTCTCCCCCCTCACCTTTCCTCACAGCTCTCCCCATGGCACGACATCCCTCTCCGCGCTGGCGACGGCCTCTTCAACTTCATATGCGAGATCCCAAAGGACACGAGCGCCAAGATGGAGGTTGCAACTGACGAGGGCCTCTCTCCATTGCTTCATGCTGACTCCCCATCCTTTCCACTCCCCCCCCTTCCCCCTGCAGCTCTCCCCGTGGCACGACATTCCCCTGCGCGCCGGTGACGGCCTCTTCAACTTCATCTGCGAGATCCCCAAGGACACCAGCGCTAAGATGGAGGTTGCAACTGACGAGCCTGGCACGCCCATCAAGCAGGACATCAAGAAGGGCAAAGTCCGATACTACCCGTAAGTTCTGAGGGGAATCTTGTTTTGTAGAGACTCTGATTTTATGTGGCCGTAGAGCAGACAAGGCCAGTCGCCCATCAAGCAGGGCGCGTCAAGAGGAAACCTGAATAACCGTTGCCCAAACCTGAAGAACAGGTTTCACAGAACCTGCAAAGTAACGCAAACACATTTGCCGAGTATACTATTCCCCCACTCCCCGCAGCTGCAACATCCACTGGAGCTATGGCATGCTGCCACAGACGTGGGAGGAATGATATGAGTAGACTCAAACACATGAATATGAAATGATACCATCCCTTCCCCCCCGCAGCTACAACATCCACTGGAACTACGGCATGCTGCCCCAGACCTGGGAGGACCCTTCACACGCCAACCCCGAGGTCGATAACACCATGGGCGACAATGACCCCGGTCAGTATTTAAATAGATATATTTATATACATATACGTACTTATACATACATACATGTATACATATATATATATATAAACATAATACATATACATACATGCATGCATACTGTACTACCTTACCTTGCAATATTGCTCCACCAATCTCGAGGATGTCGGTAGTCAGGGTGGCAACACCATGAGCACTATTTTGTGGGCCTTGAACTGCACGGCACGCGGTGAAGCCACTGGCACTGCTGTCCTGAATTCACCTCCCCCCTCCCTCTCCCGCCCTTCCATCTTTCTGTCTCCCGCCCTTCCATCTTTCTGTCTCCCGCCCTTCCATCTTTCTGTCTCCCGCCCTTCCATCTTTCTGTCTCCCGCCTCCCTGCCTGCCCGCCGGCACGACCACCCGCCTGCCTGCATGCCCACCCGCCTGCCTGCCTGCTTGTGTGGTGTTCAAACGTCACAACAGTTGATGTGGTGGAGATCGGGGCGAAGCAGGCGGCGCTGGGAGAGGTGTATGCAGTGAAGCCACTGGCAGTGCTGGCGATGATCGCTGACTCGAGTCACACCCCCCTTCCCCTCTGCTCTATGTGTCTCTCTCTCCATCTGCCAGTGGACGTGGTGGAGATCGGGGCGAAGCAGGCAGCGCTGGGAGAGGTGTATGCAGTGAAGCCGCTGGCGGTGCTGGCCATGATCGACGATGAGTCCAATCACACCCCCCCCCTGCTCTCCTCTCCTGACTTTCCATCTCCTTGCCTGCTTTCCTCCCCTCTGATTTGCCCGTATCAGTGGACGTGGTGGAGATCGGGGAGAAGCAGGCAGCATTGGGAGAGGTGTATGCAGTGAAGCCGCTGGCAGTGCTGGCAATGATTGACGACGGCGAGCTCGACTGGAAGGTCATCTGCATCCGCGCTGATGACCCCAAGGCGGACCTTGTCAATGATGTGGAGGACGTGGAGAAGGAATTCCCCGTGAGTGCCTGCCTGTCAGACTGCCTACCCTAGTGCCATCTCATGCCTGCTCTGCCCTGGGCCTGTTCGTTTGCCTTAGCGCCAGTTCTCTGGTTTGCCTTGGCTGTCATCTGCATCCGTGCTGATGACCCCAAGGCGCACCTTGTGAATGACGTGGACGATGTCGAGAAGGAGTTCCCCGTTAGTGCCCCTCTGAGTGCCATCCCTAGCACAGTGCCGTCTGTTTGCCTTAGCTGTCATCAGCAGTAAGGCTGATGACCCCAAGGCGGACCTCGTGAATGACGTGACGATGTGGAGAGGAGTTCCCCGTGAGTGCCTGGCCTTGCTGCTGGCAGCCCTGCTGCTGTCTGTCCATACTGTCATTTCCGTGCCGTCTCTGTCTGTCTGCCACTGCCTCGACTGGAAGGTCATCTGCATGCGTGCCGATGGTCCCAAGGCGCACCTTGTGAATGACATGGAGGACGTGGAGGAGTTCCCCGTGAGTGCCTGCTTGAGTGCCATTTTTCCTTTTCCCTTTATATATCCCCTCAACAATCCCCATCTATGTTTGCATCAATCTCCACATCTTCGTCTCCCTGCCATTTTACCCTCTTCTTTCCCCAGTCAACTCAAAATTCAAATATGTCTCCTCCCCCCAACTCCATTTCCCCCTCTTCTTCCTTCTCTCCACCACCCCTCATCCTTCCTTCATCCCCCTTAATCCCCACCACCGGGGCACGCTGACAGCGGTGCATGATTGGCTCTCAGAGACTGCGAGCTGCTGGACAGACATATATCAGAATTCTCAGTGCTAACTTGAAGGAGCAACTTTTGATCCCATCTTCAACTATTTCGTCTTGTTCGTCCCCCATCACCCCGCCTACACCATCCCCCATTCTCCATCCAATCCAGGGCATGCTGACGGCGGTGCGTGATTGGTTCAGGGACTACAAGCTGCAGGACTCACTCCCCTCTTTCCTCACACACACATCACCCCCCATCCGTCCTCTCTTCCCAGGGCACGCTGACGGCGGTGCGTGATTGGTTCAGAGACTACAGGCTGCCGGACTCACTTCTGGTAACTCTGCCAGTTCACACCAGGGAGCCGCTTTCACCTCCTGCCTTCAACATTTTTTGTCTTGTTCTCCCCCCACATCACCCCCATCTCTTCCCAGGGCACGCTGACGGCGGTGCGGGATTGGTTCAGAGACTACAAGCTGCCGGACGGCAAGCCGCCCAACAAGTTTGGTCTGGGCAACAAGCCGGCCGACAAGGCCACGGCACTGCGCGTGATTGAAGAGACGAATGAGTTCTGGTCGAAGCTGGTCAAACGGGTTACTCCCAAGAACGGCCTCTCGCTGGTGTAGATTTTTATTCTTTCAAACAAATGATGTGACACAAATGTTTTGTTACTGAACTGACGGGTGATTGAAGAGACGAACGAGTTCTGGTCGAAGCTGGTCAAACGGGTTACTCCCAAGAACGGCCTCTCGCTGGTGTAAAAACTACTTGAAACTAGTGGAGTTTCGTAATAACCGTTACCGTACTACACAACGCATGATTTTGATTAAAAAACGGGGTGACTGTTGGAAATCTGTTGCACTTGCAGCGTCAAACACTTGAGGAGTAAGAGCATCAATGCGGCCTGCACTGCACGCTTGGGAAAAGAATGGTCACATCTTAGCTTGTGTGACACACACCCCATGACACATTACCCCAAGAATAGACAAGACACATACCCCAACTGTACGCCCATGCCGCGACCCACCCTGCCAACAGCACCTACCGTACCAGTGGAACAAGGGAAAACCGCCAGGCTACTTTTTATTATATAGTATTGCACACTAAGTGATTCACTTCGTATTTCGTCTGCATCTCCTTGGCAGCTGAACTCAACCCAATTTTCCCATAAACGGTTCACAACAAGTACTAATCACATCCTCTCCCTTGTCCCTTAACGACTTCAGCTAGCTCAGCCCCCTCGCAAGCACAATGTCCTCCCTGTGCAAATCCGCGTGTAATGCTCTCGTTGAGAAATTATGTCACAGGCCTCAGATTGGTTTCGGGCTAGGCTGAAAGATCAGAGTTGGTTCAAAATTCTATGCTGAAAAACAGAGAAATCAGCCCATTTTATGCCATTTTACACTACAAATATAGTAAAAAATCATGTTTCTTCCCAAAACATTGCTGGAAACTCAGCCTCAATTCTGAAAAAGGTCTGAAATCTCAGCCTTTTTTTACCTAAATCAGCCTTTTTTCGCTGACTTCTGAGGCCCAAGACCGAGTTCAGCTAGCTCAGCCCCCTCGCAAGCACAATGTTCCTCCCTGTGCAAACTGTGAGAATCCCAAAACTTTCCCTCCTGTAGTTGGTGCGTTTGAAGAGACATCTGATGCGTCACTTCCCTTCCCCTCCTCCCTGCGAGCTGAGATCCCTCGAGAGTGCAAGCAGGCCGGCCGCAGCAAAGGCAGAGAGCAGGCATGAGCCGTAGCCCATGGCGAGGAGGGCTCCCCGCAGGGACTGGTGGGGAAACGAGGGGAGGAGGGAAGGGGTTGGAAAACGGAGAGAAAAAAAACATAAGGTTGTGAGGGAGAGTGGTGAAGGCAGAGAGCAGGCATGAGCTGGTTTTTGAGAATTCTCAAAAAGAGGAGCGAGAGGAAGGAAGGGGATATTAGGTTGCGGGAGAGTGTTGAAGGGAGAGAGGAGGCATGAGCCGTAGCCCATGGCGAGGAGGGCACCACGCAGGGACTGGTGGGATAAGGAGTGGGTGGGGAGAAAGGGGGTGGGGGTGTAAAGGGGTGGGGAAGTGGGCGGAAGGAAATAGCATAGATATCTGAAGGAGAGTGTTGGAGGCAGAGAGGAGGCATGAGCCTAGCCCATGGCGAGGAGAGCTCCTCGCAGGGACTGGTGGGACAGGGGGGTGAGGAAAGGGTTGGAAAGGGTGGAAAGAGATACCATAAGGTTGTGAGGGAGAGCGTTGAAGGCAGAGAGGAGGCATGAGCCATAGCCCATGGCGAGTAGAGCCCCTCAACGACTGATGGGGCAAGAAGGGAGGAGAAGAGGGAAGGGAGCGGGAGGAGAGAGCATAAGGTTCTGAGGGAGAGTTTTAAATGCAAGGAGGAGGCACTCACTGGACTCACAAGAGCGAGGGTGATTGTGTTGTCGCTGGCATAGGCTAGGGAGGTCTCGTCCACTGCCTGCAGCCCTGTCACCAGCTCACACTCTGCACTCACACGAGAATCATCCCCAGCACACTCACAAGTGCGAGTGTGAGGGTGGTGTCGTTGGCATCGGCTACGGAGCTCTCGTCCACTGCCTGCAGCCCTGTCACCAGCTCACACTCTGCACTCACACGAGAATCATCCCCAGCACACTCACAAGTGCGAGTGTGAGGGTGGTGTCGTTGGCATCGGCTACGGAGCTCTCGTCCACTGCCTGCGGACCTCTACCACCTCTCGTCGCTGTGCTGTCTCGCTTAACCTTCCAAAGAGATGGTGCTGCACTCACGAGGCGTTCCAACAAGGAGCTCTGCACTCACAAGTGCGAGGGTAAGGGCGTTGTCGTTGGCATAGGCTAGTGAGCTCTCGTTGACAGCCTGTAGCCCTGTCACCAGCTGCCAGCTCACCACTCTGTGTGGGAGAGAGGGGGGATGGGAGAGGAGTGGACATGGGAGAGGGGCAAATTGGGGGATATGGAGAGTTAAAACTGTGGAAACGAGGAGGAAAAAGGGAGGATATAAGACGAAAGTAGGAAGAAAGGAGGCGGAAGGAAACGCAAGGGAAAGGGCGTGCGAGGAAACGACCGGAAGACTCACGCAAAGGCTGCAGCAATGGCAGCGCCTGTGAGTGCCTTGGATGGCGTGACATCCACTGTTAGAGGACCCAGCTGATGCGAGGGAGGAGTGAGGGAGAGAGAGGAAAGAGGGGAGTGTGGAGAGGTTATAGAGGTTTCTTGAGGCGCCAAGGAAACAGCAGAGCCTGTGAGCGCCTTGGATGGGTGACATCCACTGTGAGGGGCCCGAGGTGATGAGCGGGAGAGAGGGAGGAGAGATTGGGAGAGGAAATAGAGGGTGCTCGAGATATCAAAACAGCAGCACCACACAAGCGGAGGGGATGGGCGCACACAAGGGGCACTCAGAAGCACAAGGCGCACCTGACATCATAAACAGGTTCTAACAGGGTCGAAGTTGGGAAACCTATGAGACGTCTCGAAATATGCAAAACGCACCTTGAAGGTTCTAACGGTTGAAATTTGGAGATATCTCGAGAAAGGCAATGCCCACCTTGAAGGTTCTAACAGGGTCGAAGTTGGAGGCGCCATCGTCAGTGCACCCCGCTGCTACCGCCTCCCCTGCTGCTGCCATTGCCTTGCCGAGCTGGGTAGAGGGGAGGTTGGGATGAGCAGAGAGTGGGGGGATAGAGAGGGGTGGGAGGCTCTTCGGGGTGTACGAGACAAGAGGGTACCCCCCCACCTTGGGCTGTCATTGCACCCCGCTGGTACCGCCTCCCCTGCTGCTGTAATGGCCTTGCCAAGCTGACATGAGAGGGGGCTGGTGTGAGCGATAGAGAGGTGGGGGAGATCCAAGAGGGCGAGGTTTCTTTAGGCAGATGAGACAAGAGGGTACCCCCCACCTTGGGCTATCATTGCACCCCGCTGCTACCGCCTCCCCTGCTGCCGCCATTGCCTTGCCGAGCTGACATGAGAGGGGGTTGGTGTGAGCGATAGAGAGGTGGGGGAGAGTCAAGAGGGCGAGGGTTCTTTAGGTAGATGAGACAAGAGGGTAACCCCCACCTTGGGCTATCACTGCACCCCGCGGCTACCGCCTCCCCTGCTGCTGCCATGGCCTTGCCGAGCTGAGGTGAGAATGGTGTGGAGGGATAGAGAGGGAAGGGTATGGCCCTTTAGGATAGAAAAGAGGAGGGCAGTGCACCCCGCGGCTACCGCCTCCCCTGCTGCTGCCATGGCCTTGCCGAGCTGGGTAGCGGGGAGGGGGATGAGTTTGACACGGGAATGACGGTAAAACAAAAAGCAGATGGGATGGGAGAGTATTGAGACAACTCAGTAAGTTTATCCAGGGAAAGGAATGTTGGTAAAGAAAAAAAACACGTAAATAGGGGAGGGAAGGAGGAGGGATTGGAGAGGAAAGGGGAGAGAGGATAAGCTTAGGGAGGGAAAATGGCAGAAGGATTATCCTTTGCTGACCCGAATTAGCATTTGCTGACCTGGATAACCCTTTGCTGACCTGGAGCACCCTCTGCTGACCTGGATAGGTCTTTGCTGCAATGGCACACACACCCCTCACCTTAGCAGCCTTGACCTGTGCGTATGCCCCCATGCCTGCCAACCGCCTGCCTGCTGCGGTTTTCACTGCCTCAAAGGTCCCCTTTCGTTTCTCTCTCCCCTTCAAAGGCCCCCTCTCACTCCCCTCTCCCCTCACCTGCGCAGCCTTGCCCTGTGCGTGTGCCCCCATGCCTGTGAACCTCCTGCCTGCTGCTGCTGTTTCCATTGAATCTCTTCCCCCCCACTTACCCCTCCAAAATGCCCTCTCACTCCCCTCCCGCCTCACCTGAGCAGCCTTGCCCTGTGCGTATGCCCCCATGCCTGTGAACCTCCTGCCTGCTGCTGCTGTTTTCACCGAATCAAAGCCTCAAAGGTCCTCCTTTCTCGCTCCTCTCTCCCCTCATTAGTTCCCTCCTGCCTCACCTGAGCGGCCTTGCCCTGTGCGTACGCCCCCATGCCTGTGAACCGCCTTCCTGCTGCTCTCAGCCTCCTGCCCAGCACTGCCAGGGAAGGACATGAGAGAGGGAGGAGGAGAAAGAGGACAGAAAGGGAAAGAAGAAAGAGATAGGAAAGAAAGAAGGGAGAAAAGATAGCAGTGAGAGGTAGCAGAGGGAAGAGAACATCAATGCAGCTGCCTGCCTGCCTGTGAGCGTTTTGGTGACTTTTGGGTCGACTCAAAAGCTTCCTCCCCCCCCCATCCCCCCCTGTATTTCCCCCCTTCTCTCTCCCCTGCCTATAGTTGAGTCGACTCAAAAAAGGCTTCCTCTCCCCCCCCCACCCCCCGCTGTCCTTCCCCCCTTCTCTCGCCCCTGCCCTCCCCAATCCTCCCTCCATCCCTTACCTGCCCGTTCTCTTCCTCCAGGGGGAAGCTTCGCAGCAGCATCCTTGAGCCCAGCCACAGCAGCAACGGCAGCAGCAGGGGCGCCCTCTGAGGCCGTGAGGGCGGCTGCGAGGCCGGCGAGGGCCGCTGACACTGCTGGTCCGCACTGCGAGGAGGTGAGAAGAGGAGAGTGGGAGGGAGAAGCATAGGACAGGGGGGTGTATGAGAAGACAAGTGAAGGCAGCGGCAGGAGCGCCCTCTGAAGCCGTCAGAGCAGCTGTGAGGACGGAGAGGGATGATGACACTGCTGGTCCACACTGGGTGCGGGGAAGAGGAGGACAAGGGGGGGGGGGCAAGCAAGAGGGTATGGGAGCAGGCAGCAGCAGGGGCGGCCTCTGAAGCCGTCAGAGCGGCTGTGAGGACGGAGAGGGATGATGACACTGCTGGTCCACACTGGGTGCGGGGAAGAGGAGGACAAGGGGGGGGGGCAAGCAAGAGGGTATGGGAGCAGGCAGCAGCAGGGGCGCCCTCTGAAGCCGTGAGGGCGGCTGTGAGGGCGGAGAGGGCTGCTGCCACTGCTGGTCCGCACTGGGAAGGGGAGAGGGGGGTGGGAGGAGCGAAAGGGGGTATGAAAGATGCCCAGACAGCAGCAACAGCAGAAACGCCTTCTGAAGCTGTGAGGGTGGCTGTGAGGGCGGCTGTGAGGGTGGTGAGAGATGCTGACACTGCTGGCCCGCACTGGGTGGGGGGAAGAGGAGGACAAGGGGGGCAGGGCAGCAAGAGGGTATGGGAGCATGTGAAGACAGCAGCAGGGGCGCCCTCTGCGGCCGTGAGAGCGGCTGTGAGGGCGGAGAGAGGTGCTGACACTGCTGGTCCACACTGGGTGGGGGAGGAGGAGAACAAGCAAGATGGTATTGGAGCATGTAAAGACAGCAGCAGCGGCAGCAGCAGGAGCACCCTCCGAGGCCGTGAGGGCGGCTGCGAGGCGGAGAGAGCTGCTGAAACTGCTGGTCCACACTGGGTGGAGTTGGGGGGGAGGGGAGTGGGAGGGGAGTGAGAGGTGAGGAAAAGATGGGGCCGGATGAAAGCCGTGAGAGCTGCTGACACTGCTGGGCAGCCACGGCCACACACTAGAAGACTTGTTTTTCAAACGTCTCAGAAACAAAAACATTTATCACGGGGATGCTGACGGTGCTGCTGGGCCACACCACACTGGGTACAAATACAAAGTCCACCCTCAACAGCCTACTCTTGAGACGCCTCAAAAAACGTTTTACAGGTGGATGCCGTTTGAGGCGCCTGCTGGGCCACACTGGGTACAAAGTCAACCCTCAACAGCCACAACCACACGTTGCCACTGGTTGGCTCACCCATCGCCCCTTCTCCCGTCCCCCCCCCTTAAACCGGCCATGTTCCCCTCCTCCTCCTCCCACGCTCCCATTGGTGGGGTCAACCACTGAGACCTCGAGCTGATAGTATGGGAGGCAGGCAAACCCTCCTCCTGCCATCCCCTCCACCCCTCTCTGTCTCTTCCCTCCCCCCTTCTCTGCTCCGCCCTCCTTCCACAACGCACCTCGGCAGAGACGTTCCCATTGGTGAGATCAAACACTGAGTCCTCGAGCTGATACAGAAGCAACAGGGGGGGGGGGGGAAGGAGGGGGAGAAGGGGGGGAGGGGGAAGGTGTGGGGAGGGAGGGGGGGAAGGGAGAGATCTGAGGCAGCATTCCTGTTGGTGAGATCAAACACTGAGTCCTCGAGCTGATAGTATGGAGGGCAGCAGGGGAGGGAGCAGCAGGGGGTTGGGGGTGTGGAGGGACAGGTAAGGGGATGCGGAGGAGATGCGAACTGATGAAGTGACACCAAATCTATTATTAAAGGCAAAGGCCAGGTTTGAATGTGCAGGGAGGTCAAATCAGTTGATAAAACGAGCAGGGTGTGAAATAGAAATACCTTCTCGATCTGCACTCTTCTCTCCCCAGAACCCCCCACACACATCATCAACCTCTCCCCCCCCCGTCCTCCCCATTCCCCTCTTCCCCCCAAACCTGCTCCACCCCTCGCCCCATCTCCGCGCATTGCCCTGACCCCTGTTTTCCCCCGCTACACAGATCCACTTAAAACGTCCCCCCGCTATACTCACATCCACTTGGAACGTCCCCCCGCTATACTCACATCCACTTGGAGGTCCCGAGGGAGCGAGGAGAAGAAGTCCGCGTCTAGAGACGCTAGGGACGACTGGGGGAAGGGGGAAAAGGGGAGAGAGGGGAAGGGAGGAAGAGGGAAGGAGGGGGGAGGGGGAAGCGAGTTCCCAAGGGAGCGAGGAGAAGAATTCCGCGTCTAGAGACGCGAAGGACGACTGGGGGACGGGGGAAAAAGGGGAGAGGCGGAAGCGGAGGTAAGGGGAGCGGAGGGGGATGGGGAAGCGGAGGGAGGGCGTTGCACGGAAAGGGGGTGAGGATAGGCAGGAGGTTGGTTGGACGTGAAGGATTGGGAGGACGGGGACGGCACGTGGGAGAACGGGGGAGATTGCGGGGGAGAGGAGGGCGCGGTTTGGAGGACGCGCGGGAAGGGGAAGCGGAAGTGCATTTGAAAGTGTGCCTTGCAACATATTTGTCCAACCTGTTCCCCTGCGCCCATTCCCCTGCGCGTGATCACCTGCGCCTATTCCCCTGCGCCTGACCACCTGCGCCCGTTCCCCTGCGCCTGCTCCGCGCGTGCTCCGCGCCTGGTCCATGACTTTCCCTTCGCCTCGGACCCACCTGTAGAGTTTTGAACGCAGCGCCTTCCGCGCTTGCCTGAGCTGGCACCGACGCATCCGATTGGCTCGCGGTGCACCTGACGTCAGAACGGCGACACCTGCCGCTGAATCCGTTCGAATCGCTACAAAAGGCACGTCGAGATGTACGCGGTAATAAATGAACCGTTTGGATGCGGGCGCCACCACCACGAGCACTGACGCTTTTGAGCGCGGAAACGCAGGGTGCGCCGCATGATGCGCCAAGTTTCGCACGCAGCGAAAGAGACAAATGCGGAGACATGGCGGAATAATTACGAGGAGTGAAGGATCGTAGTTAGGAAACAAGGGTCCGCACGGTGCTGACAGGAGAACGGTTATCGCGCCAGGATGTTATGAGCATGCGATTATGCCTGTGACACTTCATAGGTCTCAGAACTGTGCGCTGCAGCCAAGCACCAGCATTTTACAGTAGTAGAATCTCCCAATGTTCGAATGTTCATAGAATCTCCCAGTGTTCGAATGTTCCAAATGTGTCGTCCAATCAAAGTGTTCAGTTCTGGAATGTTCGACACGCTGGATTTGGGGTAATGCAGCGTGGATGTAACCCGCGAAAAGTGTCTACGATTGGCTGCTTGCACGAAGATCTGAATGTTCATTGGCTGTATACACAGCACAGCATTGAAATATGAAACTCGTAAAGGGAAACACGCCAAGCAGCATATCAATTTTGTTGGTGTTTACTCTATGTACTCATCTATATAACAGCACCCCATGAGCGTTAGGCATACCTCAATCTATTGGACGAAACTCATACCGAGGGCCATGGCAATCAAAGCCCCAATAGAGATATTGATCACATTCACAATGTCATTTGTCATCTGCACACCAAGTCACAAACAAGCAATCACACGAATTAACTTGGACCATATAAGTCTTGAGAATTACGCTTGAGAACCTGCTAAATAGATTGCTCAAAACCATACGCACATCAACGAGAGCGTGCATGCACTTACCCATTCGTAACCGGGTTTGTCTTGGAGTCTAGCCCCAATGTAACTCTCTCCGAAATTGGCAATTTGCGATGCCAGCACGCAGAAGAAGGCTCCAACAAGGCTCACCTGCAGGACATGCAAGAGGGTGAATGGGGCACAAGAATGCAAGATGCAGTGTGGAATGAGCTGTGAAGTCCATGCATGTCCCAAATTGTGATGTCAGCATACAAAAGAGGGCTCCACCAGGGGTCACCATTATGACTTGCGAGGAGACAGGGTACGTGGGGCGAAGGGAGGAGAAGCGGGTGGAGACAACAATGGGTGGGAGCATCAATCTCGCACAGCAACAATGTGAGTTGATTTGGATACATAGTCTGCCTCATACATATGAATGCCCCTGTCTGCGTGCACGTATGCAGCGAGCGTGAGAAATCCCCTTCTTGAGACTCACTGAGCTCGCGAGCAGAGCAGCAGCGGACAGAGCCACAGAACCACAGCAGTTGAATCTCGAAACGTCCCAACCATCGTAAGACACAGAATTGAAACAAATTCTCAAAGGCGTCTGAAACCACAATCTTGAAATTCACCTGATTGGTGAGCAGAGCAGCACCAGACAGCACCACCGCAGCCGCCAGACCTGCCAACGTTCCCTCAAGACTCACTGCGCCCTCTGTGCCCCTGGGAACTGGCTGGAAGGAAGTCACCAGGAAACTGCAAGGACAGCGCCAGCCAGGGACACAAGAGGCTGTTATAACTGCATGTAGCTACCACTTGTGCAATGTGCACTATAATCATCGCACTGTACACACTTAACTAACACAATTCTATTGACATGATTTATCTTCTCGGTAGTGATTATCACAGTTCCACTTGCTACACTCACGTTCGCTTGCCGAACGCGCTCCCAGCAGTGTCTGACAGTTTGGTGACAAAGCTAACAACATACCCCTGCCGCCACACCACCACACTAGGCAGCACCACCCCCAGTTCTACAGACATGAGTTAGCTTCTCGGTATTGTTAGTCACAGCTCCTATCATTATACACTCACGTGCGCTTGCCGAACGCCTTGCCAATCTCGCTCGCTGCAGTGTCCGACAGTTTGGTAGCAAAGCTGGCCACATAGCCCAACTGCCACACCGCCACACTCGGCAGCACCACCCCCTCCATCCCCACTCCACCTCCCCCGCCTGCAGCAGCAATGGCTCCCAGGCAGCACACCACCGCAGCAGCAGCTGACCCCACCACGCTCCATGGCCCCCTTCTTCCGCTTCGCTTCTCCGCTATTCCCTCCTGCTGCTTCTGCTTCAGCTTTACTTTGGTTACCAGTGTGCCCTGGGAGCAGAGAAACAGGGGTTGGGGGAAAGGAGAAGCAATGGGAAGGTGTGTTTCGTCCATTTGATCCTCCTGCTGTTTCTGCTGCAGCTTCACCTTGGCCACTGTGCCCTTGAGAATGAAAGGGGCTTAACCTAGATCTTTACAGAAAGCAAATAGCAGGGGCTTAACCTCCATACAGTCACGTTATCTGAAGTATTACTCACGAGAATGAAGTACAGCCAGAGGATGAGGTAGCCCGGCCAGTAGAACGCCCTCCATACAGTCACACCGAGGAGAAATGCGGACAGAACCCCTGGCACGGTCAGCCCGGCGAGCAGTCCGGGCAGCAAGACGGCGAAAGTTGTGGATGTGACAAGGAGAGCGGATTGCCACGTGGCGGGCTGGAGGAGGAAGGCATCGACGGTTGGCTGCACAACGGTAGCGACAGAAGCGGGAATTGCTGTAGCGCGGTCCATTTAAGATTTAGCGCGGTCCGCTTCGTACACCGCGGTACCTTCCCGAAAATTGGGATTGTGACACAAATGTCCCCGCAGGAATGTTCCCTTAGAACGGTTGGTTAAGGTACTTTGCGAAAACGTAGTTTCGGGACCCACCCCAAGCAAACGATTATGCCGGTGACACTTCAGAGTGTGCGACTACCGCCAAGCGTCAGCATAGATTTCTCAACCTGCCGTCTCCTCCAATAGGTGTTCAACTTCCCAAACCTAGACACGCAGGTACATCTCAGGTGATTAGTCGCATAATGTTTAGGATGAATGCCATCCCGATGGAGTATTAGTTTGTTGATCCCGGCCGTCAGATTGACGGCCAAGGGCGTCGCTCCATCGTTGTCGCCCCCAGGAGCGGGCCGGCTAATCCCCTGAGACATACAGCGTGAATGAGCTCACGACACGAACTCTTTGGCAATTGGTTGTGTTTGCACGAAGATCCTCGAATGTGGATGCTCAATTGCAAGCTACGATATGTACAGGACATGATTGAGATAGGAAACTCCTACCAAGGGAAGCATGCCAAGCAAGCTGCAGCATATCCATTTCTTCGGGTGTACTCTAATCTAAAGACATATCTGGAAATTGGTACTGAAGGCACCTCCTTGAGTGGATACATCAATCTATGGGACGAAAATGGTACCAAAGGCCATGGCTATCAAAGCCCCACGTAGAAATATTGATCACATTCACAATGTCATTTGTCATAAGCACAAGAAGCCACAACAACACATACAAGCAACCACTCGATTTAGCTTAAAGCTCAAGGCCCAAATTGCAGGCCGCGCTGGGCAAGATTACTAATCTTGCTCAGCTGCTGTTTGGGTGCTGTGAGTTGGCGAAAGTTGGGTTACACTAGAACGAATGAATCTGATGGGTCGAAACCAAACGCACTGCGCAAACTTCAAGTTTCCGTTTTCCTCAATTTGGGACTCTCGGACCCAAACATAATGTTTGGCCCAGAGTTTGCTGACTCAGCAAGTGTTGCGAGAGTTTGTGCGAAATAAGTCAACCAACTTTCTCGACTTTCTGTTCACCTCCCGAACCACCAGCCCAAGCCCTTGCGCAAGATTACTAATCATGCGCAATTTGGGCCTTGAGCTTTAAATGGACCGCACAAATACTGAGAATCACACAGAACCTGAGCTGAATAAATTGTTCAGAACCATACACACATCAACAAGAAGGTGTCTGCACTTACCCATTCGTAACCAGGCTTGTCTTGGAGTGTAGCCCCCACATAACTCTCTCCGAAATTGGCAATTTGTGACGCTAGTATGCAGACGAGGGCTCCAACCAGGCTCACCTGAAGACATGCAAGGGGGGTGAATGGTGCACAAAAAAGCGAGGTGCAGTGTGCAATGAGATAGGCTGCCACAATTTATCTGCACACACGCCACAAATTATGATGCCAGCTTGCAAAAGAGGGCTTCAACAGAGGTTACCTTTAAAACATGCGAGCGGACGGCAGGACGGGGGGGAAGGGAGAGGGAGGAGAGGGGGTTGGACGAGCTCACTCAACAAAGGGGAGCATGAAACTTGTACAACAACAATGTGAGTTCATTTGGATATATTGTCTGCAACATGCATATGAATGCTCCTCAGCGCGTGCATGTGTGCAGAGCAGAGCAGCAGACAACACCACAGCAGCTGAGTCTTGAAACGCCCCAACCATCTTAAGATACAGTCTCAAAACAGAACCTCAAACATCGCCTTAAACCACAATCTTAAGATTCACCTGGTTGGTGAGCAGAGCAGCAGCAGACAGCACGACAGCAGCTGCCAGTCCTGCCAACGTCCCCTCAAGACTCACTGCGCCTTCTGTGCCCCTGGGAACTGGCTGAAAGGAAGTCACCAGGAAACTGCAAGGACAGGGCCAGCCAAGGACACAAGAGGTTGACACTGAGTGCAAATAACTTTCATATGCGCCGTGTGCACAATAATCATGACACTGTATTTCTGGGGACACTAATTGGGGCATACCGCAGACCTCAGCACCACAGTACTAACCGCCTGCTACGCACTACATGCCAATTCTAGGAACATGAAATAGCTTCTCAATATCGTTTATCACCAATTCTCTCATCACACTCACGTGCGCTTGCCGAACGCCTTGCCAATCTCGCTGCCAGCAGTGTCCGACAGTTTGGTAGCAAAGCTGGCCACATACCCCAACTGCCACACCCCCACACTAGGCAGCACCACCCCCTCCATCCCCCCTCCAATTCCCCCTCCTGCAGCAGCAATGGCTCCCAGGCAGCACACCACTGCAGCAGCAGCTGATCCCACCACGCTCCACGGTCCCCTCCTCCCGCTACGCTTCTCCGCTATCCCCTCCTGCTGCTTCTGCTTCAGCTTCACCTTCGTTACCAGTGTGCCCTGAGAGTGGAAAGATAGGGTTTGAGAAACGGAGCAGCAGCAAGAAGAGGCGTTTCGTCTCTTCAAGACTCTCCTGCTGCTTCTGCTTCAGCTTGGTTACCAGTGTGCCCTGGGAGCAGAGAAACAGGGGTTCAAATAAAGGAGGAGCAATGAGAAGGTGTGTTTCGTCCCTTTGATCCTCCTGCTGCTTCTGATGCAGCTTCACCTTCGTTACTACCAGTGTGCACTGGTTGTAGTAAAAAGGAGAGGCAGCGAAAGGGGAGTTTTGTCCCTTCAAGTCCCTCCTGCTGTTTCTGCTGCAGCTTCTCCTTGGTCCCTGTGCCCTTGAGAATGAAAGGACATGAATAGGTTTTTACAAAAAGCGAAGTTTAGGAGCTTTAACCTCCATACAGTCACGTTATCTGAAGTTTTTCTCACGAGAATAAAGTACAGCCAGAGGATGAGGTAGCCCGGCCAGTAGAACGCCCTCCATACAGTCACACCGAGGAGAAACGCGGACAGCACCCCTGGCACGGTCAGCCCGGTGAGCAGTCTGGGCAGCAAGACGGCGAAAGTTGTGGACGTGACAAGGACAGCGGATTGCCACGTGGCAGGCTGGAGGAAGGCATCGACGGTTGGCTGTAGAACGGTAGCGACAGAAGCGGGGAGTGCTGTAAAGCGGTCCATTTATGATATAAAGCGGTTGGGTAGGGTACTTTGCGAAAACGTAGTCTCGGGACCCACCCCAAGCGAACGATTATGCTGGTGACACTTCAGAGTGTGCAACTACCGCCAGGTGTAGTAGATTTCTCATTTTATAATCACCAAACTTTACTCTCCGAATGTTCCAACCTGCCGTCTCCTCCATTAGTAGGTGCTCAGCTTCCGACGTGCTTGACAGCGGGGATGCTCGCGAACTCTGTTTGCAATTGGCTGTGCTTGCACGAAGATGTGGATGCTCAATTACCGGACAAGCTATGTACAGAAAATATTTGAAATAGGAAACTCGTAACAAGAAGCAAGCCAAGCAGCATACCCATTCCTTGGTGTCTATTCTACTCTGAAGGCATATCATATCTAGAAGAAGGTACCTCCTTGAGTGCATATATCAATCTATGGGACGAAAAGGGTACCAAGGGCCATGGCTATCAAAGCCCCAGTAGAAATATTGATCACATTCACTATGTCATTTGTCATCTACACAAGAAGCCACAACACAAACAAGCAACCACACGAATTACGGTAGCTTTAATGGACCGCACAGAGAATCACACAAAACCTGAGCTGAATAGATTGTTCAGAACCGTACACACATCAACAAGGTGTCTGCACTTACCCATTCGTAACCGGGTTTGTCTTGGAGTGTAGCCCCCACATAACTCTCTCCGAAATTGGCAATTTGTGATGCTAGTATGCAGACGAAGGCTCCAAGCAGGCTCACCTGCAGGACATGCAATGGGGATGAATGGTGCACAAAAATGCGAGGTGCAGTGAGCAATGAGATAGGCTGCCGCAATTTATCTGCTTACATGCCACAAATTGTGATGCAAGCTTGCAAAAGCGGGCTCCAACAGAGGCTATCTTTAAAACAAGCAAGGGGACGGCAGGAAAGGGGGCGGGAGGGAGAGGGAGGAGAGGGGGTTGGAGAAGGGGAGCATATAACTTGAACACCAACAATGTGAGTTCATTTCGATATATTGTCTGCAACATACATATGAATGCTCCTGAGCGCGTGCATGTGTGCAGAGCAAAGCAGCAGACAACACCACAGCAGCTGAATCTGGAAACGTCCCAACCATCTTAAGACACAGTCTCAAAACAGAACGTCAAGCATCGCCTTAAACCACAACCTTAAGATTCACCTGATTGGTGAGCAGAGCAGCAGCAGACAGCACCACAGCAGCTGCCAATCCTGCCAACGTCCCCTCAAGGCTCACTGCGCCCTCTGTGCCCCTGGGAACTGGCTGGAAGGAAGTCACCAGGAAACTGCAAGTGCAGGGCAGGCCAGGGACACAAGAGGCTGACATTAAGTGCAAGTACCACTTGCACAGTGTCCACGATAAATGTCCGAATGTGCATAAAGGGACACTAACTTAGCACACCAGTGACATGTGCACCACCATAGCACTTACTTACCGTGCGTTTTGCGCACCACACACACTTCTATAAACATGACCTCGCTTCTTGGTATTGCTTATCACAATTCCTCTCACTACACACTCACGTGCGCTTGCCGAAGGCCTTGCCAATCTCGCTGCCAGCAGTGTCCGACAGCTTGGTAGCAAAGCTGGCCACATAACCCAGCTGCCACACCGCCACAGTCGGCAGCACCACCCCCTCCATCCCCCCTCCAGCTCCCCCGCCTGCAGCAGCAATGGCTCCCAGGCAGCACACCACCGCAGCAGCAGCTGACCCCACCACGCTCCACGGCCCCCTCCTCCCGCTCCGCTTCTCCGCTATTCCCTCCTGTTGCTTCTGCTTCAGCTTCACCTTCGTTACCAGTGTGCCCTGGGAGCAGAAACACAGGTTCGGGAAAAGGAGTGGCAGCAGGAAGATGTTTTTGACCCTTCAACACCCTCCTGCTGATTCTGCTGCAGCTTCACCTTGGTTACCAGTGTGTCTTGATAACAGGATTTGGTTAAGAAAAAGGAGTGGCAGAGAGAGGAGGTGTTTCGTCCCTTCAAGACTCTCCTACTGCTTCTGCTGAAGCTTCACCTTGGTCACTGTGCCCTGGTTGAAGAAAAACAGGGGTTCGAGAAAAGGAGAGCAGTAGGAGGAGGCGTTTCGTCCCTTCAAGACACTCCTGCTGCTTCTGATGCAGCTTCATCTTGGTCACTGTGCCCTCAAGAAAGGAAAGAAATGGATATATCATTACAAAAAAACAAATAGAAGGAGCATAACCGCCATATAGTCACATTATCCGAAGAAATACGCACTAGAATGAAGTACAGGCAGACGATGAGGAAGCCAGGCCAGTAGAACGCCCTCCATACAGTCACACCCAGGAGAAAGGCGGACAGCACCCCTGGCACGGTCAGCCCGGCGAGCAGTCCGGGCAGCCCGACTGCGAAAATTGTGGACGTGACAACGAGAGCGGATTGCCACGTGGCAGGCTGAAGGAGGAAGGCATCGACGATTGGCTGCACAGCGGTAGCGACAGAAGCCGGGATTGCTGTAGCGCGTACGGATAGGCGATTTTTGGAAAGCCGCGAGTGAGACGAATGGGGAGACGAAGACGAGGGATGAGAGTGGGAGAGAGAGGTGGAGAACGAAGGAGAGGCGAAGGTAGAGGAGAGCGCGACCCGCGACTGACGGTGTTGCTTTAGGCTGAGAGCGACACGTGCACGGGAGGACGCGATTGACGGCGCTAAGGACTGCGCACGAAGCGCGACGGCTTTAGGAGGAAACGTTAGGGTGGTGGAACCACGGGAAGGACTGACGGACGAAACAGCAGTCTGTGCACTCTGGAAGGTTCCAGGACGCTGCATCATGGCCGTCACCATGGTGACGTCAGCCCACTAGGAGCAGCAGAATGGCTGGTGTGATAGGGTTAGCCGGGTTTGACTTTCTAGTTGGTAGTTGGTGAAATGAGCTTTGCCATAAACGACCCGCTCTGGAGATTGAAAGTTATTGGCGAAGCAGCGAAAACTATCTAGAGGAAAAAAGGGTGAGTGTGACAGCGGGATGGTCGAGAAGTGTACTGCAGCGAAGGGATTATCTTTGAGAGTGACCCCCCAGCGGCAGCCTCGAAAGCTTCCGGACGGAACGGAGAAACCAAGAAACTGAAAGAAGCTGGAACCGATGTCACCAGGTCCGCGTACCGCGTCCTAAGAGGTCTAAGAGTTTGCGGCCAGTCGACACCTGTCAGCCTTTCGCGCTGTTTGCGGCGCCTAGAAGTTGTCATGGTGAGCTGTTGAGGGAAGCTGAAGAGGGGTTAATCCTCGTTGTAGAATGCTTCGCTGTAACGTTCGTGTATCAGCATACTGTAAGCTTAGTGTAAGTACATTTGGGAGAGAAGCAGGCCACACCATTGTTTTCTTGATTGGGCAGAACAGTCATGCCAAGTCAACAAAACTTCTACGACGGAAGCCAATCGCAACCTTCATCAGACCGCCATTCGCGCCGTCGACTGCTGCCAGCTCGACACGATGGCACCTTTCCGAGCTGGACTCGGATCTGGAAGCCGCTTTTGGGAGCTCAGCAAGCCGCACCTTCCGCACGCGACAGGGTCGCACCGACACCGCAGCGGCTCGATGTTGGGAATTCCTGAAGTGGCATTTCATTGCGTGGGTTGGGTACAAATGTGGCAAGAATTTGCTCCTCAGAGTATCACCAACTCAGAAGACCAAGATTTCTCGCTGCTGCTCGCTCATCCTGTCTTCAACCATTTACTAAATGTTTTTTTCTCGAACAACTTCGCAAAAGCTATCATGGCTCGTCTTCAGCTATTTGTTTTGTTCTCTCTTCTTCTACTGACGCTGTCAGCTGCAACTGATGACGACTTCTTTCCGACTGGCGTTGCAAGGCCTGCAACGTACAACCCTGGCTACAGGGCCACCAAAGCGCTGATTGACGCTCTGGAGGACGACTACTCTGCATTTCTCTTCTTCTTCAAACGCGCATGTGAGAACTCGGAAACTCGTACCGAATCTACCAACTTCTCCACCGTCGCTTCACTCCTTCTCCTTCCTCGAAACGCGAGTTCACGCATAAAAAAAAACAAAAACCGTAACAACTGAAACAAACGTCATGTTCTTGTTTCAGGTTTGGACAAGGAGTTTCCCGACATGCTGAACAAGTACACGGTCACCATATTCGCGCCGACGAACGAGGCGTTCAAGTCTCTCGACAGCGACCTGAAGAAGAAGGTGAAGGAGGACAAGCTGCTGCTGCGGGAGCTCATGCTGCTGCATGTCGTCAAGGGAAGGAAGACATTCGCACGCCTCCTCGAGCAGGAACAAGGCCATCAAGTAAGAAAAAACTGCACCTGGTAAACTCGCTCTGCGTTATTTGGCTATCTAAAACCGTAATTTGTTTTGTTTTTTTTTTTTTTTCCAACAACCGTGCATTTATCCCCTCTGATTCGTTTTTGTTACATTTACTGCCAGTATGAGTCCCCCGCTGCTCGCGGCCAAGCCAAGCTGGTCAAGCGCAGCGAGGAAGACGACAAGCCGGTCATCATCTCGGCCAAGCAGGGTAAGAACACAGCGACTATTGTGGACGAGGATGTGTTCGTGAGCAAGTTCGTGTCAGTGCAGGGGGTCGACGAAGTCATCCTGCCTCGCAAGCTGCAGAAGCCGCACAAGTTTGAGACTCTTGTTGAGTGCATGAATAATGTGAAGTGAAGAGGGATGTTGGCCAATGCACCCCAAGTAGGGCAATAAAATGGCAACACTAGGACAAGCAATCATAGAGTGCGGAATAAGGAGTGTTTGTCCTTGTATGGTGTGTATATAGGTAGAGAGGGAAAGGGAAATGGGGTGGGGCTTTGAAGGGGGGGTGGGAGAGGGGGGGTGTAAGGGGGATGACCTGATAAGTTGAGTGAACTGGGTGATAGTGATTAGTATGCGGGTTTGCTCAGCACACGTAGAGTGATTGTGTTTTTGTCTGAGCATGTAGTTTTGTACATAGATATAATAATTGGGGTGCTACATAAACGCAAATCTACATGAAGTGTACTTTTTTACAAAGGTGGGCAAGCAAAGTAGAAATTAGTGAAAGAAAGCATATTCCTCGAAGTAATCACCTCCCAAACATTTGAAGTGTACACAACACCACGCCCCAACAGAAAAATATGGGAAAATATGTCAATGGTAACTTACATGGGGCATTATAACGCGTACGGTAACGATTTCAACGCGTTTGGTAACTCGCTTAACGCGTCTGGTAACTCGCTTAACACGTTTGGTAACTCGCTTAACGCGTATGGTAACTAGACACTAGCAGCCCATCACGCGAATGGTAACTAGAAGAAACCCTCGCCCAAAATGACCCTGATTCTGGTTTTTCCCGCTCGCGTCAGACTAAATTGACGAATCTTGAAGCAGAAACCTCTGACACACTCTCCGAAATTCTGTCACAATTTTCCGAAATTCTGACACACTTTCCGAAATCCTGACACACTTTCCGATTTTCAAGTTATTTGCAAAAACGTAAGTGTTGTGAAACGAACTGTTCATACATTACTGATATTCTGGCGCTCTTTCCGCAAACTGTTTGTACTTCATTCTATCGTGCAGCCGGGGCAAACAAATCTATACCCCTTTCAGATGGCAAATGAATTTGAGAGGCGACCCTAAACTCCTTGCGACAAGGCGTTTATGGTTTTTTTTTTTATGAAACATGTAATTCCAAAGAGATGTATTTTTCCCACATGCAAAAATTCTCCAACGTTGCAGTAATTACAAAAAGTAAAAGCCCCGAGGTCCTTTCGGGGAATGTTTTTTTATCATTTTGCAAGTTCGCAATCATGCTATCAAAAATATGATTTTAACCGTTTTTGTACGAGCTACATATATATTTCAAACGGCTCTGAAACTTTTCGGTCCGTGGTAATAGAACAAACGGGGTCCTTCAAAGTCGCGGCGGGACTTGTTAAAAAACAATAAAACTGTGCGTAAAATCTTTCAAAGTTGATAAATTCCTCTTTGTCAGGATCATTTCGGCGGGAGTTTCATGTAGTTACCATTCGCGTGATGGGCAGCTAGTGTATAGTTACCATACGCGTTAAGCGAGTTACCAAACGTGTTAAGCGAGTTACCAAACGCGTTGAGCGAGTTACCAAACGCGTTGAAATCGTTACCGTACGCGTTATAGTGTCCCATGTAAGTTACCATTGACATATTTTCCCGAAAAATATCACGTTCAGTACTGAACTCCATGTCCGCCATACTGTCTGGGGATTTGCCGCCTCCTCAATTCTATTCACTCTCCATTGGTTTGCGGAATCGCATACGGGTCGCACGTGCCACTGATCGTCGCAAATACACATTTCGCATTTTGCGGCTCAATGGGCTCCGTAACCCTAACGACCGCTGCGACGACGCTGCGACACAGAGCGATCTCGTCGCTACCGCATTGCTACGAATCGCATGCACAATGCACGTCGAACCGCTCCGCGTGCGCCTATCAGTCGCTTCCACGTCAGCTCCGTACATCCACACATGGCCTCGTCAGCTCCCGAACCCTCCCTAGAGCAACCCTTCCAGTTCCAAGGCTAGTCGTTACCGCAGCCGTGGCAGCCGACAGGCTCGGCCTGGACGTGGACGAGGAGGCTCGGGGTGAGGTTCGGCGGCGGCAGGCTCGGCTCCTGTGGAACGTGGACGGCACAGAGCGCGGCGCGAAGGCGGACTCGGAGCGGCGCGGCGAGATCGAGGAGGCGGTCGTTGACTTGGAAAGACTTGGCGGGACGCCGTTGACCTTGGGATTGGATCGGCTGGACGGGTGGTGGGAGCTCAAGTACAGTACCGCTGCTGACGTCGCCGGCATTCTCATGGCTCCGTCGTCGTTTCCGCTGCCCATTCTACAGGTGCAGCTCCGTGCTCTCTGTTTTTGGGTCAAATGCCTCTTTCATTTTCACCCCCAAAACCACTCTACCCTCGCACCCGCCTTCCCCTACCCCCCTCCCTCCCTCCCTCTCTCCGACACTGTCTCCCCGCCTTCCTCTGCGCCCTTCCCCCCATTCCCCCCCTCTTCCCCCCACTGTCCTCATGGGGAAGGATTGACTCTTCCCCATGCCCCCTCTCTCCCCCTTCCAGCACTGAATCCCCCTTTTCCCTTTCCCTTATCCACGTGGAACTTAGCTTCTAGCACTGTATCCTCCCTCCTTCCCTTAACCCCCCTCGGTCCAGCTGAGCCATATCTTCCAGCGATGCATCTCCCTCCATTCCCCCCTTCTCCCCCCCTTCCCCCCCCCTTCCCCACTTCTCCCCCCATTCCCCCTTTCTCCCCACCTTTCCCCCTTCTCCCCCCATTCCCTCCTTCTCCCCCCCTTTCCCCTCCCCCCCTTCCCCCCTTCTTCCCCTTTTTCTCTTCCCCCGTTCCCCATCCCCCACTTACATGTCCAGTTGGGTAGCATTACATCTCCCCACCCCCCTCTCCCCCTGCTTCTCTCCCCATCCCTCCCCCCCCCCCTTGCCTTACATTTCCAAGTGGGTCGTATCCTCCAGCGCTACATCTTTTCCCTCCATATCTCCCCATTCTTCTCTCTGCCCTTCGCTGCCCCTTCCTTACATGTCCAGGTGGGCCGTATTTTCCAGCGCTGAACCCCCCCCTCTCTCTCCCTCCACTTCTCTCCTCTCTTCCCGCCCCTCTTCCTTGCATGTCCAGATGGGCTGTATCTTCCGGTGCTACATCTTCCCCCCTTCTCTCCCCCCTCTCTCTTACCACTTCTCTCCCCCATCCCATCACCCTCCTTGCATGTCCAGGTGGGCCGAATCTTCCAGCGCTACATCTGTGCTGGGAGAACAGACGGAGGCACGGTGCAGAACGTGGTTCGGTGGAGCCTGCCGGGCCTGCAGGTATGGCAATGAGGTATGGGTTTGGTATGGTAGGCGCAGATATGGTAACGATTTTTTTCATGCATTAGTACCTATCAACGCGACCAATTCCAAAATTGGCAAAAAATCCTTTGGGCTTTTATCCGCCTTCTTCCTTCTTTGTCTTCCAATGCTTTTGATTTCCCACCTTTCCTCCCCTGCGCTCCCTTCATTCTCTCCTCTCCACCCGCCCTCTCTCCCCGTCCGCTCCTCTTCCTCACACAGGACAAGGAGGGCGCGTCCCTAATAGTGACAGCGGAGTTTGATGTGCGCAGTGGCCGTGCCATCCAGCTGCAGTTCGAGCGGGCGGCAGTGGGCGGCGTGAAGATCAACGAGCAACTGCAGGCTCTTCTGGCGCCGGCTGCTCTGCCCCGCACCCAGCTGTCACTAGATGTGAGAGACTAATGCATGCATGCAGACATACAGATACATGCATTCACGTACCCTGCTGGCGCCGGCTGCACTGCCCCACACGCAGTTGTCGCTAGCTGTGAGACGTGCATGCATGCATGCAGACATAATGCATGCATATACGTGCGTATACATGCAGTCATGCACCAGTTGTCGCTGGATGTGAGAGACACGTGCATGTATGCAGACATGCACACACATATGCGGACATGCACACACATATGCGGACATGCACTCAGTGGTCACTAGTCTATATGTGATACGCACAAGCATACATGCACTCAGTAGTGACTAGATGTGCAACATACATGCCGAAAGACATACATCCAGGCAGACATGCATACGCGGACAAGGCATGGGGGCAGAGTTGCCGTTGTGTGATCCCATGTTCCCGTGCTTTGCTTGCAGTATTTCCGTTGCAGGTGTTGCAATTTCTCTGTTCCATATGTCGCACGGTGCACTGTGTGTGTTACAGGCGCTGCAGTTCTTTCGTTCCTTGGAGCTGTCAGTGCCTCTTGGCTTCCCTCTTCGCTCCACCACAGAAGTATTGTCAAGGTACACCTCATACCAGTTGTTATTTATTTGCAACACATAATAGGTAGTCTTCATAATGCTCATCCGCATGTTGCATGCCCATCCTCATCCTTCTCGTATCCACCCACACTTTCAAGGCTGCATTACCTTCAAGTCCTTTGAATGCTGGTAGCATTTGAATGCCAGGTTGGTGCTAACGAGCTCGAATTTGTTTTGCAATTTTCTGCTTTGCCCATGTTTCAGCTCCATTCCCGCCAATCGCTTCATGATCACGTTTCTCGACGAGCGCATTTTGGTTGGCCGAGCTGTTGCTACAGGAGGTGTGTTCATTTTCGAGAAGTCGGAGGAACCGTCGTGAGTTGGGACCAAGCTGGGTGCAAGCTGGGTCTTAGGGTAACCTGGACCAAGCTGGGTCTTAGGAAACATCCAATCCGTGAAAGCATTGCCCTTAGAGGTTGTGTACATGTTCATAGGTAGTAGGGACCTACCTATGATCAACATACGGATCTATCAATCAATTATGCTGTCTTGTATCTCAAAATACGCCTTGATGCATCATCATCACCATCATATTATTATGGGCCTTAGATTTGAAAAACATATGTATCAAAGCTTTTGCAGTCAGATTGACAATTTTGTGAGTTTTTCACATTTGAGCTTTCACACAGTGGCGTTTCGCCTACGTCAAAAGGTTCGAGGATGTGCTGACAGGATGCTTGCCTGCTACGTGGCAGCTTCAGACGTGCCTTGCGTGATGCTGTCGATGTCGCGGGGCACCTCCTCCCTTCTCGTGCAATCTCAAGCGGACACGACCGCAACATTCCGCGGGCGTGTCCTTTGGGATGATCACGCAATCAGTGCGCAACAGTCTAGCCAACCAAAACATGCTTTGGGAGCTTTCGCGGAATCTCGAAGTCCCCGCGCCACTGACGGGGACAACGCGGAAATAGTGTAGGAATGGGGCAATGTGTGATGCTTTGTGGTTCTGCGCTAATCACCGTTAGTGTTTTCCGCAACAGCTTGTCCTACCGCATTGCAAGCTACACCACACCACACCACTCCACCCTCACACCCTGCCCCTCGCTGTTCCGAACATTCATAAAGGTTCACCATCTTTATAATCTCTCTTTGACCAGTTTTAGAGCTCTCTCTGCTTGCTGCTGCGACTCAGCTTTCCTGTGAAAACAATTGTGCTCTGGTTTGACGCTGCGCGCGTCAAAGAGTCCGTCAGACGCTCCGATTGAGCTGAACTTGCCGTGCCCATTGCTTACGTTCAGTCGAGTTTCTCGGCCATGGATAGTGTACTCTCTATGGCGTCCACGTCAGCAAGCCTGACATCCCAGTCCGCAATTGGGCTTAAAAATAAGCTTGCAACTTCTGGGTTTCCCGGAGGACTACGATCTGCACCGTTGAGGTTTTCCCCATCTCACGGCCATCGTTACATCAAGCAAGCAGGAAGGTCTAGCCTTGCCGCGAGGGCCGTGTTCGATCCGCTGCATTTAGACGCCGCGATTTCCACCCTTACTTCCCACAATTTCCTCTACGCCGTTGCCGATGCGGCGGACGCAGCGGCCTCCACGGCCGCTGACGTGTCAACAGCTGTGACGGCTGTAGCCGCTGACGCGGCGGCGTCTGGCGGAGACGCAGCGGCTGCTGCGGCTTCCGATGGTGGCTGGTTCGCTGGGCTCGCGAACGTTCTGGAGAGCATTTTAAAGGTGTGAGTGAGAGACTTCTCGTCGACTAGCTGTGGAGCTTAATAATAGTAACCGACTAATTAAAGTTCTAATAGTGCAGTCGTACTAACAAGCAGCTGTTGCGACCCCTGAGTCCGCATCCTTGCGTCGTCGGACCCTCGCGGAACCGATGTCCCACGTTCCCTTTTCGCCCTGTGACTCAGTGTTGATTTTAGGCATAGTTTTAAGCAGTGCACGGCCTGTACCAATGCCCGTGTGCACTGGACCTTATCTTGGAACCCTGTCCGATGGCTCTGTTGCAAGGGTAAAAGGCCGTGCTTGTATCACTTCTGAAAATTCTCAGAAGTGGAACCCTATCCGCTTGGTTCTGCTGGAAGAAAAGGCCCGTACCCTGCTGGTTGACGCATTCAACGAGCGCACGGTGCACTGGACCGCTGCCCCGCTGCGCCCTGCCGTCCACGCGCGGCTCACTGCGCTTCCTATGTTCCTCGTACCGCCGTCTTTCGTCTCTTTTCCGATCATCCCGCAAACCCCTTTACCCCTCCTCGTCTCCTTCTTCCCTCCCTCCACTCCTCCTCTCCGCGTGTGTCCCGCTCATCTCGCAAAATTCCTCCCCGCAGGTGCTGGAGCAAGGGCTGGCGCTGGTGAACGTGACGTCTTTCTTACCCTTTCCTCAACCCCTCCCCCTTTCATCCGCACATCCCGCGAACTTCCTTGCCGCAGGTGCTGGAGCAAGGGCTGGCGTCGGTGAACGTGCCGTACGCGTACGGGTTCTCCATCATCCTGCTCACGCTGCTCGTTAAAGTCGTCACCTTTCCGCTCACCAAGCAGCAGGTACGCGGTGCCCTCGCCCCCCTCCTGCACTTCCTCCCTTCTTCCATCGCCCCTCCTCCCCCCCCCCCCCCCCTCCCCCCCCCCCACCCCCCCTTCCTGCTCACCAAGCAGCAATTGCGCGATATTCCGCTTCCTGTGGTAAAGAAAAAGAAAAACGATTTTTGCATCAGAAATGTTGCACATTTTTTCCCCTCATTTTCAAATCCAGTGCTCTTTCTCGTTCCCCGTTGACGCTTTCAATCGGCCCCCCACTTGTTTTGAATTTCGCTCGATCTCCTATCTTCCGCTCGTAAAATCCACGTAGAAACCTCGCGCCTGTAGGAGTCAACGATGACCAGGTCAAGGTCGTTTGATTCCTAGCACGTTGACATGCCTGTCGTTTTGGGTTCCCTCTCTCCGTTCCCGTTCCTCGCCTCCTTCCCCTCCCTCTCTCTCTCCCTCTTTGCAGGTGGAATCCACGATGGCGATGCAGAACCTCGCGCCCAAGGTCAAGGCCATTCAAACCAAATATGCTGGCGACCAGGTACAAGTCGTACACTCCTCCCCCCCACCCTACCTTCGCCCTCCCCCCACTTTCCCCGTTCCCCTAATCCCCTTTCCCCCTCCCCACCACCCCTTCCCCTCCCTCCCCCACTTTCCCCCTCCCTCTTGCTTCCCCCCAACACCATCCTGTTGTTCCGCGTATCAAAACAGCAACATTCGCTCTTACTTCCGTCCCTTTCCCCACTTACCCTCTCTTCTATCTCTCCGATTTCCCTCTCCCGTTCACCTCCCCCGTTTCCCTCTCCCATTCCTCTATCCCACTGCTCCCTCGCATCGCTCTGACATCATCAGGAGCGCATTCAGCTGGAAACATCGCGCCTCTACAAGCAGGCTGGCTTCAACACGTTCTCCTATCTTGTTCCCCTCTTGTGTTCCTCGTTCCCATTCCCCTCCCCCATTCCTCTCTTCCATTCCCCCCTCGCATCGCTCTGGCGCCATCAGGAGCGCATTCAGTTGGAGACTTCGCGTCTTTACAAGCAGGCTGGCGTCAACCCACTTGCTGGTAAGGACAGTGCTTGCTTTTACTAGTTTCCTGATATGTACAAAGATTCCTTGTGCTACTGATGAGCCTCTCCTTACTTCGTTCCCGTTGAGCTAGCCCCAATGACTCCAGATTGGCGATTGAACCTCTTGGACGCTTTGACTTTAATTTCATGTACCATTGTAATTTGCTGCACTGCCTTTCATGCCTTTGTGGCGCTAATGGTCGTCAGTGGGTGTGTGTGCCATCCTGTGCTGCTATACTTCCATTTTCAACACGTGTTTTATCTGTTTTCTGGGTTTGTCCCTTTCCCTTCACGCGTGTCCTCCTGCAGGGTGTCTGCCCACGCTAGCCACGCTACCGGTCTTCATTGGACTGTACCAGGCGCTCAGCAACGTGGCCAAGGAGGTGAGACGCAAGCATTTGTGTGATTGTAAGGGGGGAACAAGAAGGGTGTCTGCCCACGCTAGCCACGCTACCTGTCTTTATCGGACTGTACCAGGCGCTCAGCAACGTGGCCAAGGAGGTGAGTGAAGAGAACGTGACTGTGGAGAAGAGCATCTAGAGGAGTGGAGAGAGGTGCCAGGCCCTGAGAAACGTGGGCAAGGAAGTGAGGCTAAGTGAAGAGGTGAGGATGAGCAGCAGGACCGCCAGTGAATGAAAAAAATAATGCTGGCTGTAAGAAGGAAAAGGAAAAGCTGTGTGACTGTTGACGCTAGCCACTCTTCCGGTTTGTAGCAAGGGGGTGAGAGTAGCGAATGTGACTTATAGGAGCATATAGAGGGCTGTTGAGGGGTACCAGGTCGTCAGCAACGTGGACAAGGAAGTGTGGATGAGGGGAGAGGGAGGTAACCAATAGATGAGATTCAGTGCGTGATGTCAAAAGAAAGGGGAAATGCTGATTGCCTGCCTACGTTAGCCACTCTTCACCGGTCTTCACCGAACTGTACCAGGCTCTCACCAACGTGATCAAGGAGGCCCGGAAGAATAGAATGTGTGATTGTAACGGGAGGAATAAGAAGGGTGCGTGCACACATGCGAGCTTCTCTGCTGGTCTTGATTGGAGAGTAGAGAGCTCAGCAGTAGAGAGGATAGAAAAGGGTATCAGGTGCTCAGTAACGCAAAGGGTGATATATGAAGGTATATGAAGGGGTAGTTATAGAATGTGTGATGGTAAGGGAGGTTCGACAAGGGTGACTGCCCACCTCAGCCACTCTGCTTGTCTACAGCCCGTCCCCTTCTCCACAGCCTCATCTGCTCTCACCCTATCCCACCCCACCCCCGCCCGCCCGCCCGCCTCCCGCCCGCCTCCCGCATCTCACCACCCAATGTCGGCCCTACGTCCATACGTGTCTCGCACCCCACCACCTCTTCCCCTCCCCTTTTACGTGCTCCCCTGCCCAATCACACATCACCCCATGGCAGGGAGTGCTAACAGAGGGCTTCTTCTGGATCCCTTCCCTTGCCGGCCCCACATCTATACATCCCTTCCCTCACACGTGCTCCCCTCCCCTAATCCGGCCCGCACCCCATGGCAGGGAGTGCTAACAGAGGGCTTCTTCCGGATCCCTTCCCTTGCCGCCCTGCTGTGTCATCAGCCCCATTCCTCTTTCAGCCTTCTCATTCCTCTCTTGCCCCCCTCCCATGTGCTCCCCTGCCCAATCACACATCACCCCATGGCAGGGAGTGCTAACAGAGGGCTTCTTCTGGATCCCCTCCCTCGCGGGCCCCACATCCATCGCTGCTCGCACCTCACCACCTCGTCCCCTCCATCCATACCCACGTGCTCCCCTCCCCAATCACACCTCACCCCATGGCAGGGAGTGCTAACAGAGGGCTTCTTCTGGATCCCTTCCCTTGCCGGCCCCACGTCCATTGCTGCTCGCGACAGCGGCTCTGGCATCTCGTGGCTCTTCCCTTTCATTGTGAGTCACAGCTCAATCAGTTCCTCGTGTTTTAGTTATTTCAAAAGCAGGTCGGGGCTGGCAGCGGCTCTGGCATCTCGTGGCTCTTCCCCTTCATTGTGAGTCACAGCTCAATCCGTTCCTCGTCTTTTAGATGTCTCAAAAGCAGCTCGGGGCTGGCAGCAGCTCAGGCACCTCCTGGCTCTCCCCCTTCATTGTGGCCTCTTGCTGTCCTTGCCTTGTTTGAGTTGCTACTTCGCTTGCCTTTCTTGGGCTGGTACTTGTCCTGCTTTGTTCGGGACGTGACTTCCCTTCTCCCTCATCACAAGTCGATGCTCTCTCGCTTATCCTCTGTACCTTGGTATGGTTTCAATTCGCCTTGTTCGCTGTAGTACCTTTTATTCTCAGTGTGTGTTTTAATCCGCCAGGGTAGGACATTTTCTTTCCCCTTCGCCTTTTCTGTCCTTGGACTCCAACCCACAGCACGTGTGGAACCCCACTGCTTGGGTAAGAGGCGATGGGGCTGTATCTGGTGCTGCATAGGAAAATAGTTTAGTGCCCAGCACTCAACCAAGAAACAAAAGCCCAGTGCGACTGTATCTGGTGTTGCCACTGCTGCTCCTCCCCTCACTTCCCTTTGTCGCTCGCTATAAATTTACCCCATTCTTCTCTGCCTACTCTTCCCCTCGCCTTTCCTTCCTCCCTATGCCTCCTTCCTCCTCAGGATGGGTTTCCACCGCTCGGTTGGGGGGCGAGCTGCTTACCTGGTGCTGCCAGTGCTGCCCCTCCCGTTATTCCTCATTTTCCTCCCTATTCTGTGTTTCCCTGTTCGTTCTCTCCTTGTTGTTCTCTCCCCCTCAGGACGGGGTCCCACCGCTCGGGTGGGGGGCGACAGCAGCGTACCTGGTGCTGCCGGTGCTGCTGGTGGCGTCTCAGTTCTATGCCATGCAGATCATGCAGCCTCCTCAGAGCGACGTGAGTGTGATTAGGGTTTGGTGTGTCTGTGTGTCGGCATCTGGTGCCACTGTGTGTTGGCGTCTGGAGTGTGCCGGTGCTGCTGTTGGCGTCTCAGTTCTATGCCATGCAGATCATGCAGCCGCCTCAGAGCGACGTGAGTGTTGGTAGCGTGTGATGGAGTGTGACAGTGCATGGAGTGCCAGTCAGTTCAGTTCTACGCCATGCAGATCATGCAGCCGCCTCAGAGCGATGTGAGTGTGGTTAGAGTGTATGTGTTGATGACGTGTGGGTTGCATTGAGGGGTGTGGAGTGCCAACCAGTCAGTTTTACACCATGCAGACCATGCAGGCCCCTCGTGTGCTACAATATACTCCCTTCCTTCCTCTCCTACTTTTCCTGCCTAATGTCCTCTGCCACTAATCCCCCCTCCCTCGCCCCCTTTTTCCCCCCCTGCGTGCCTCCTCCCCTCACCAGGACCCAGCACAGAAGAACACGCAAGTGATTCTCAAGTTCCTGCCTCTCATGCGCTCCAACTCACTCTTTCCTTTCCTCTCCTTCTCCTGACTGTTTTCTTCTGCCACTACCCCTCGCCCCAACTCCCCCCCCCCTCGTCCCTCCTATCACCAGGACCCAGCACAGAAGAACACGCAAGTGATTCTCAAGTTCCTGCCGCTCATGATTGGCTGGTTCTCCCTATCAGTCCCCTCCGGTCTCTCCCTTTACTGGTAACGTCACCACCAACCGTGTAGGGTTACCACCATGGCTCTCCATTTACTGGTTATGTTATCATGTAATGTTACCACCATCATATCTCTCCCTCTCTGCCCCATCCATCCTTTCCCTTGTCTACTAGAGCTACAAGTAGTTTTCCATTCTATTTTTTGTTGGGGACTAGCCTGTCAACTTATAAACCTACTCCCCCCTCACCCCCCACCGTCCGCTCAACCCCCAACTCATTCCTCCCCCTCCCGCACACATCTTCCGCCCCCCAGGTTCACCAACAACCTGCTGAGCACGGGTCAGACCATCTACCTTCGTAAGATGGGAGGCGCCACCCCCAAGGTGGCAGCTGGGGGAGGTGACATCATCGACGTGGGGCAGGCCAAGCGCTCCTCCGCCGCCTCCGCAGTCATTGCCACAGAACAGGACAAGGAGAAGCTGCGCGGTGAACAGTTCCGCAAGCAGAAGGAGACGGACGCCGCCCGCCGGTCGGCCAAGCGGGCGGCGGAGGAGGCGGCACGGTCGGCGGAGGCCAAGGCAGAGAGGGAGAAGGCCAGGCTGGAGCAGCTGAGGGCGGAGATATCGGGGGAGGGGGAGGAGGAGGTGGCAGTGGTGGAAGCTGAGGTGAGTTCTCAACATATAAACCGCGTGTAATGAGCCGATTTTTTAGTCGACCTAAAAAAAAGGAGGGGGAGGAGGAGGAGGTGGCAGTGGAGGAAGCTGAGGTGAGCTGCTGTTGTGGGCTTTAAGTGTTTCTGAGAAGAAGTTTCTCTGTAGTTCATTCTTCTACAACGCATTTCACTCTGTTGGTTCCATGAGAGTATGTCCGATGACTGGTGGCATTACCTGTGGGGGTCTTGAATCGGTTTCCTTCCTCCTCCGATCCGACCTTTCACTCCTCTCCTCACACTTGCTTTCAACCCCCTCCTCTGCAGGTGGTTCCTGTGGCTGGGCAGAACGGAGCAGCAGCAGAGGAGTCCAAGGCCGTAACACCAAAAGCTGCGGCGGCGCCATCATCAGGAACGCCACGCCGCAGCCGTCGATCTCGTAGGACCCGGAAGGCGACCCCTGAGTAGGGTTCAGTTGTAGATGTTTGTTTTTCTAGCTGCTGTGGTTTTGTAGTCTAGAATTGATCAATGTGTGCTTGAATGGGCATGTTGTTAAAAATCAAGGTTCAAACACTACTGATTTGATTCATGACATTATGAGGGCGGGTCCAAAAAGTTGGTATGATGAGGTATTGTTGAACTGAACTGTATGGAATGCACTTGCACCAGAATTATGGGAGGTTAGATCGGTGCAGTCAGGTTAATCACGTAGTGCTTCGTTCGGATACAGAGATTTTGAGTGCGGGGTCTCAAGAGTCAACCTGGTGGTTGAACAAGCTTTAGGTTCGGTATAGGCTCGAAAGTCTCCCCAGTAGTCAGGTTCCCTCCAAACCTCGGCGCCTATTGGTCTGGCTGTTCCCGCAAGCTGCGGTCCTCCCTTCTGTGAGGGGTTGCGTTGTCGCTGCGGGACCAACGCACCCACAGCTGGCGCCAAACCTGATCCCCCTCGCAACGCGTCCCTGGAGCCCTGCGACAACATGGTCGGTTCGGGACAGTGTGATTCGGCAGTTGTACCAGACCTCATTGTCTGGTTCGCTTGGTAGGGCCTAGGCTCGGATCTGAGGCATCTGACAACAGCAGTGGTTGTGGCTTCACTAATCACCAACCACCAAACCTGTTCACGCGTTCCTTGTTCCGTTGCGGAAAACCTAACCCCCCATGCACCATGAACAGTTCGTAGAGATGGCTCCCTCCCCTACGATGGATGGTGGTTATGAATCTCATGTACAGTGCCTGGAACTCACCCAGAAATCACATGCCTCAGCCCAAACCTACATCACAGGCTGTGATACACGTGTTAGCTGTGTGTGGCACCCCTGAAACGCCATGGCTCATGGTTGAAAGTTCGCGACTCAGCACACATTCGATGACTCAACCGAGAAATAACTGTTTTTACCGTACTAGATCATGGTAAGCCGAATGAGAAAACCTGGTCAACCAAACCCGAACCTCTCTGTCACATCAGCCACGCCCTAACCGAGCCAGAAACTCTGGTTCGGCTCTTCGACTATTCACCAGTCTCCCAAACCTGCCCATCACCTCCCTCCCCTCACCTGCCATGGCCATGCTCGCAAATCTTTCTTAGTCAGCCATGGCCTCACCGCATCCCCCGCAAGCATGTGATCATCCAACCAACCCACCCATGCTTGCTGCACTCCACTCTCCCTCACATTCGCAAAACTATCGCCGCAACCCCAAACTCGCAGCTTCAAGAAATTTCTTCCAGCTGTGGTCAGGCTGCGTCGCTCGTCTTGGCCTTGCCTGTGTCATGTTACTCCTCCTCCACTCCAACCTTGTTTCTGAAAAGCTCTTCCATTTGCTCTCCTCCCTGATTACTGACGCACTTGCGCTGGCTCGTTTTCTGAGATGGCGGCCGCTGCTCTCTACTCGCTGGCTGTGTTCGCCATGGTTGTCGTTCACGAGTCAGCTCATCCTGTCATCAGCGAACTGCGTAACCTGGTCCTCGTCGCCTTCGTTTTCGCCAGAGCTCTTCTTGGTTTCGCAGCCGCGCTGATCTTCCGTGCCGCCCATTTGCCTTCATGTCATTCTGCCACGTGTCATTCGGCCACGTGTAATGGCACTTGCAACGTCAGGCCAACTTTTGAAGCCTTCCACGTCAGCTCGACAGATTCTCCTGTTGCCGAACCTTCCACGTCAGTCTCCAATCTTCCTAACTTGGATTCGCCGCCAGCTTTAAGCCAGCGGAAGGTTCAGACCAGCCATTGGGTCATTCGCCGCCGCTCACACTCGCTATTGTCACCGTTAGTGTCACGCCCGTCAGTGCGAGAGAACGCGACAGTAGGAGCGGATAAGAAATGGATAGCCGGTGGCGGACTGCGGTCCCGGCGGGCTAAGTTAGTGTCTCGCAATCTGGCGGAGGCGGCTTTATATCGCGTATTGCTGAGCTGTCAGGGGCAGGACAGGCGGAGACTGGGACTTGGGGTGAGGGGAAAACGAAAGTTCCGGGATGCTGGCGAAAGGGGAGTTGAAAGGGGGAGGTCGGGACGCGTGTTGGCGGAAGGTGAAGGGGAAGAAGTGAAGGGACGGAAAGCTCACAGGCATGGCAAGAACGGGAGATGGGGAAGCCAAGAGGGTTGTTTCGATGCAGTTGAGGCACCTTATAAGGGGGATGTGGAGGCGGAAAAAGTGCTTGGTAAGGATAAGGCAGGGTGGGGACACTCATGGGGGGAGCATTCGGGGGAGGATGAAAACAAAGAGGTGGTGAGTGTGGAGTTTCGGAGAGGAGGGGTGGAGGAGGAGGAGGCGGAGGAGGAAGAAGAGGAGGAGGGGGAGGAGGAGGCGACGCGAGGAGGGACGGTGATGCTGTTCGAGTCGCCGCTTGAAGCGGTTGCTGGGAATACAAGGGCATTGGAAACTGTCCGCAAGAGAACTGCGGTTAGAACGGCTTCACGTCGGAACTTAGTTACAAGTTTTGAGGCGCCTCAAAAGTCGGCTTCACGTCGGAAGTTAGTTACAAGCAAGGATGATTTTGGAGCGAAGGAGTCGTGCGAAGGGCTGCGCGACCCGTTATTGGCAGAGATTGGTTGTTATAACGCGGATGAGGCGGACCGCGAGGTGGGAAGCGCGGAGGTTGAGGGATCTTGGGATTGGTCGCCTTGCGTAGCGCAGCAGCTCCGCTTTCTCCCGGACTTGCGCGACGCGACTCCCCCGTACAGTCACGACAGCCAGGCGGAAACTCTATACAGTCACAACAGCTTAGAGAGAATGTCAACCCGTTATAAGAGCCACGAGTCGAGGGCGAGCAACGAGACGAGGGCGAGCAACGAGATGGGGCCACATGCATGGCGTCTACACTCCCACGACGGCAGCCATCCCCATGCCTCCTCCTGCCTGCCTTCTCGCGATCACAGCCTTTCCCATGCCCCGTCCTGCCCGCCCTCCCTCTCGTCTCGCGAACCCTCCCGCCGTCGTTCGCGCCGAACCTGCCAACGAGCCTCGGTACCAGCGTCGTCCGGGACCTCACTTGATGATGATTCACTTGTACGTAACGAGCAGGAGGTGGAGGAGAAGGAGGGGGAGAAGGAGGGAGAGGAGGACGGGGAGGAGGAAAGGGAGGAGGAGGAGAAGCAAGAGGACGATTTGACTGTCCTGCGATGCGCCCTAGAGCGCGAAATGGAGCTCTCTGATTCGCTGCGGCGCGAGGTGGAGCAGGAGCGGGCGGCTGCCGACAGCGCCGCCCAGGCGAGCATGGATCTGATTCACCAGCTGCAACAGGACAAAGCTGCCGCCCAGCGCGCGGCCGGCAGTGCCGCCCAGAGAGAGCGGATTTTGGAGCAGAAGGTGTTATCTGATAAAGAGGAAATGGGATTGATGAGAGATGTGCTAGAAGGGCAAGAGGAGGAGGTAGCGGTTTTAAGGGAAATGCTGGAGCAGAAACAGGAGGAGGTTAGGGTTTTAGAAGCTGAGTTGGCAGTGTGGAGAGGACATGTGGCGGAAGCTGATTTGCAGGGGGGAAAAGAGAGGGAGGAAGGTTCAGGGGAGGAACAATGGCTGGTGGGTGAAGGGGAAGGGGAAGGAGCGGCGGTAGCAGTATCAGAGAGACATGGTGGATCAATCTCAGGCGAACATACTTTTGATACGTCTCAAGAATTAGCTGTAGACGAACAGATTCTTGAAACTTCTCAAGAATCGGGCTTGAATGGGGAGGGGAGTTTGGAAGTAGGGATAGAAGGGGAAAGTTTTGGGGCGATGGAAGAAGAGGTGGAGGAGGGTCGTTCGAGGGTAGAAGGGGCAGAGGAGAGGGGGAATAGAGGGAGAGAGGAGGAGGAAGAGGAGGATGAGGAAGAGGAGGAAGAGGACGAGGACTCGGAGGAAGAGGAAGAGGAGGAAGAGGAAGAGGAAGAGGAGGAAGAGGAAGAGGAGGAAGAGGAGAAGGAGGAAGGGGGGAGTTTTGGGGATGAAGGGAGAGATGAGGAAGAAGTGGAAGGGGGGAATTTTGGGGATGGAGGGGAAGTGTAGTGAGGTGATGAAATGGAAGGATGAGTGGATGGAAGAATGACAGTGGATGGAGGGAACAAGATGAGGGGAGCCTTGTGTGTAGATATGTAGAGCATGCCCTATGGCTTGTAGTTTACTGTATAGGAGTTGATTTAGGCACTGTGTTGTGCAACAACTGTAGCTGTAGGTTCCATGTGATTCAAATTTGAAAGAGTCAATGGGAATACTCATCAGGCAATGTTGATGCTATAGTGCAGCATCCAATCAGTTGAATACGCTGTATATGCAGCATGGCATCAATACTGAAATAAACGATAATTGGATAATAAAATACTGTACAGAAATCATCTCCACTGACCATGGTTTAATGCCAAGTACCCGCTAAACAATCGTCCATTGGTACACCTAAGTTCATCTATAAGCCTATTCCAATTCGACCCAAGTGTACCGACGAAATAGTCGCAATGCGACGCTATAATGAGGTTGACAAAGCTGAGTCCCACCAGCACATCCGCACCCACAGCAGCCTCGTACTCGTGCATGGTCATTGCCCCCTCCTGCCTTGGGTTCTGTGTGAACAGGAAGGTCCAATCCCGGTGCTGCTCCTTTGCCTCCTCAACCACACTCTGGGAGCAGGGTAAGGGAGAGGGGGAACATAGAAGCATAGACCAGATGTGAAGCCAATTCAATAATGAATCCCGGTGCTGCTCCTTTGCCTCCTCCACCACACTCTGGGAGGGAGAGGGGAAGGGAGAGGGGTAACAGAGAAGCATAGACCAGATGTGAAGCCAATTCAATAATAAATCCCGGTGCTGCTCCTTTGCCTCTCCCACCACACTCTGGGAGCAGGGTAAGCGAGAGGGGTAACAGAGAAGCATAGACCAGATGTGAAGCCAATTCAATAATAAATCACGGTGCTGCTCCTTTGCCTCTTCCACCACACTCTGGGAGCAGGGTAAGGGAGAGGGGGAACATAGAAGCATAGACCAGATGTGAAGCCAATTCAATAATGAATCACGGTGCTGCTCCTTTGCCTCTTCCACCACACTCTGGGAGCAGGGTAAGGGAGAGGGGGAACATAGAAGCATAGACCAGATGTGAAGCCAATTCAATAATGAATCACGGTGCTGCTCCTTTGCCTCCTCCACCACACTCTGGGAGCAGGGTAAGGGAGAGGGGGAACATAGAAGCATAGACCAGATGTGAAGCCAATTCAATAATGAATCACGGTGCTGCTCCTTTGCCTCCTCCACCACACTCTGGGAGGAGGGAGAGCAAAACAAGAGGGGGAGGGAGAGCGGTAACAAGAGGGAGAGGGAGAGGGAATGGTGGGAGAGGGGTAACAGAGAGGAAGAGGGAATGGGGAAGCACGGTGAGGGAGGAAGCGAGGAAGAGAGGGAGGAAGTGAACCAAGCAGCTTTGTTATTCGTGCATACAAATCGCACCCACCCAACCAACCACCCACACACCCACGCACCTGCATCTCAGATCGTATTCCAACGCTGGGACACCATGCGAAGTTTGGACAATTTGAGAGTTTTCTCGTGCTGCATGCCTAACTTCCCCTAGTTCGACGTGACCTAGACACGATTCCGAAATTTGCAATTCTGAAGTATACACACGAAATTCTGAACGATTTCACTACACTACAGTTCACACGTGTCTGTGAGTTGAATAAGCGGGGCTGAGTGAGAACACCCAACAGATCGAGACTAGCTTACTTCTGACGCAAGTTTGGGTTGAGGAACCATCCAGCCTTTTAAACTATGGGGTAACATTCTATGTAGACCTTCATTCGAAAGCAAATGAAAAAACCAACCAGGTGTCCCAACTTCGAATGGTGTCCCTGCGTTGGAATACGCCCTCAGTGCTGAGCCATATGTGGTTCAGATTCGGCGCATTCCGCCTCATGTGCTGCGCAGCTGCCACAAACGCCCTCAGCAGCGGCAGCAGCACCGTTCTCTCACCCCTTTAACCACAGAGGAAGAGGCAGGCAAAGAGGCAGGCAGGCAGAGAAGCACCCACGCAACCAACCACCCACCGACCCACGCACCTGCATCTCAGTGCTGAGCCCTATGTGGTTCAGATTCGGCGCATTCCGCCTCATGTGCTGTGCCGCTGCCACAACTGCTCCCAGGGGCACCAGCACCGTTCTGTCACCCTTTATATTTCTGAAGTCCCCCCTTTACCACAGAGACAGAGACAGGCAGAGAAGAAAGCAACCCCTCTCAACCCCCCCCCCCACCCCCCCCCCACCCCCCACGCACCTGCATCTCAGTGCTGAGCCAGATGTGGTTCAGATTCGGTGCATTCCGCCTCATGTGCTGCGCCGCTGCCACAAACGCCCTCAGAGGCAGCAGGCGCATCGTACTGTCACCACAACTGTCCCTTCAACCACCCCCTTTACCACAGAGAGGTAAGCAGGCAGAGAGGCCAGCACCCACACACCCACGCACCTGCATTTCAGTGCTGAGCCAGATGTGGTTCAGGTTCGGTGCATTCCGCCTCATGTGCTGCGCCGCTGCCACAAACAAATGCTCCCAGGGGCAGCAGCACCGTTCTGTCACCCTTTATATATCTGAAGTCCCCCTTTTACCACAGAGACAGAGACAGGCAGAGAAGGAAGCACCCCCTCTCAACCCCCCCCCCCCCCACGCACCTGCATCTCAGTGCTGAGCCAGATGTGGTTCAGATTTGGCGCATTCCGCCTCATGTGCTGTGCCGCTGCCACAAACGCCCTCAGAGGCAGCAGGCGCATCTCCCCCGCCTTGTCGCCCTGCCTCACATGCACACTCACTATCGGCCGCGGCAGGTACGGCTCCTCAGATAACCCCGCCCAGGATACCACCTCCCCCTGCCCCGCCTCCCCTTGCCTCCCTTTTCCTTGCCCCCCCTCCCCCTCGCCTGCCTCCCCCGCCTCCCCCCTCCGTGCTAGGGTTGTGCAAGCAGGGGTGTAGAGGCGTCCGCTAGCTGCTGCTGCTGGGTTGAGCGGCCAAATGGAGGTCTCTAGGAGGGACGAGTCGAGAGAAGGTCTGAGCGACAGAGGATGCTGTATGTTGGTACTTCTGCTGCTGTCAGTGGCACTGACGGTGCTTCCTTCACGCTTGCCTTCACGGTTGGCTTCACGGTTGCCATTACCACTTCTGCTGTCTTCTTCCCCAGAGCTGTTACGACCGTCACCCTGGTTACCACCACCATCACCACCATTATCACCACCAGCACCGTTACCATCACCACCACTATCTCGATCGCCATCCTCACCATCAACACCGTCAGTCACCACCCCCCCATCCACATCAGCTAGAGCACCCAACCATGCTTCATCCATCCCCCCACCACCACCACCACCACTGCCATCCCCGCTGTTGCCCCCACTGCTGCTGCTCCCGCTGCTACCCCCCCGGAGAATCTCCAGAGCAGCGGATTTGGCAGCAGCAGCAGCGGTGAGGGAGAGCGCGACTCGGAAGCCGTATGTGTGGTGGCGGGCGGCGTTGGTGAGATGGCAGAGGTAGGCCGTGGGGGAGCGGAGGAAGAACCGTACGGATTGGCTTCGCCACCAGTGCACCTGATGGGGGGGATGGGTGGATGGGAGATGGGGCGAGGGGAGAACAGGAAGCAAGGGTAAGTGAGATGGCAGAGGTAGGCTGTCGGGGAGCGGAGGAAGAAGCGGACCGACTGGCTTCGCCACCAGTGCACCTGATGGGGTGGGGATGGGTGCGCACGGGGAGGGGAGAGGAGGAGAGGATGAGGGCGAGCGCGACTCTGAAGCCGTAGGTGTGTTTGGCGGGCGGCGTTGGTGAGAGATGGCAGATGTAGGCCGTTGGTCCCCTCACCACCGCTGCTGCTGCTTTTTCTAAGGCGCCTAAAAAAAATCCTCTCTACACGCGGACTTCATACGGAGAGAAATATTACAGTTTTGAGGCGCCTAAAAAATCGGGGTGGCTTAGTAGTCCCCTCACCACCGCTGCTGCTGCTCGCCTGCCTTCTTGAGCAGGCAGGCGGTGGCAAAAGCAGGCAGGAGCACAGTGACTTGCGGTGTTATCTGATTGGTCCGTTACCTTGAGCAGCTCATCTGACATGGCAGGAGAGCCTCCCACGTGGTGCACTGTGATTGGCCGGTCGTACCAGGGAGCACCCCAGAGACTGATGTGATTGGTGTGTGGTGGGGAGAGGAAAACCGAGGGGTGAGAGGGAAGAGGGGGAGGGGTGAAGGGAGGAAAAGGGGGAAACGGGGAAAAGCGGGGTTGTCAAGAGCCAGGTTAATGTTGGAATAGCCAGATTCCATAACTTCGAATACAAAACATGGATGTATGGCTGAGGTTGGCAGACAACGAACGAGCCCATGGCATGGCAGCTTCTCTCCCTCTGGGTGATTGGCAGCAAACGAGCCGGCTCGTTTGCTGCTGACATGGATCCTGGTTTGATGATGGTACACCAGGCAAATCTTACACGCAGGCAGCAATCCTACCTGGCAGCATCAGCCTGAAACTTGAATCGCAGAGGCCAGGGGAAGTTGGCGGCTATGAAATAAACGGGCTCATTTGAGGCGAGAGCGACCTTCATCTCCTCCAAGTTGCGCGGTGCATACGGTGCTCTCTTCTCCGCCACTGCCGCTGCCCCCGCGCGCTCACACTCGCTTTCTCTGCTACTCACCTGATTCCTGAGCCGCCTAGCCTCCTGAAGCACCTGAAACAGCAGCGATCCTACCTGGCAGCGTCAGCTTGGAATTTGAATCGCAGTGGCCAGGGGAAGTTGGCGGCGATGTAATAAACGGGCTCATTTGAGGCGAGAGCGACCTTCATCTCCTCCAAGTTGCGCGGTGCGTACGGTGCTCTCTTCTCCGCCACTGCTGCTGCCCCCGCGCGCTCACACTCGAGGGAGGAAATCGGGAGGAAGTAGCAGGCGAGGGAGGAAGGGTGGCCTGTGTCTGGGAGAGGTTGGATGAGAGGGGGGAGGAAAAAGGTGGGGTTGAGGTACAGTACATCATACGTAGGCACATAAGGCATGAGCAAACATGATGAGGAGTGGTGATAGGCAGCACAACACGGTCGAGGAGTGGTGATGCCAATGCCAAATCCCTGATGAAGAGTGATTCTCTGCCACTGCCACTGCTGCTGCACCCGTGCGCTCGCATTCGAGGGACGAGATGGGGAGGAAGGAAGTAGCAGGAGAGGGGGGAGGAGATGGGGAGGAAGGAAGTAGCAGGAGAGGGAGGACGAATAGCCCGTGTCTGGGAGAAAGGGGCAGGGGCGGGGGCATGGGTGAGCGATGTGATGTGGGTGATCGAAGTGGAAAGGGCGGCGAGGTAGAGTTGGTGAGGTGCACACATAGGCACTTAGGGCGTGAACGGACATGATAAGGAATGGTGATGAGGTAGCTAGCTAGCACACCATCGTCGAGGAATGGTGATGGCAATGCCAAATTCCTGCTAAAGCATCACCTTGTCATGCCATCGCCTCACCTTGGTAGGCCGAACGAACGGCGTGCTACAAACCCCAGGGAGCAAACTAGCTCAATCTGAGGACCAGATTAGATAGCAAGGAAAGGCAAAATGTTTACGGCTGCACATGGCCTTAACAAAAGGAGTCTCTAGCGTGGACCGCAATCACACGGGTGATTCACACCGTAGAAGTGGATACGGAGTTAAAAGACATGCGGAAGAATGTCAGGGGTGTTTGGAAGATGGGGAGGTGTTGGCATTGAGGATGAAAGGGGAAGAGGTGTCCTGCTGCTACTGATGGTGGCAGCTGATTTGCATCCATGCAGCGAGGCTGAGAGCAGCAGACATGATATGCAGCTGCACACCGATGGGTGCATGCTCTGCAGTTGGGGCTTAGGGGAGGGTAGCACATGCTACAGCTTCACACTCACCTCTGCAGGCAGCACATGCTACAGCTTCACACTCACCTCTGCAGGCAGCACATGCTACAGCTTCACACTCACCTCTGCAGGCAGCACATGCTACAGCTTCACACTCACCTCTGCAGGCAGCACATGCTACAGCTTCACACTCACCTCTGCAGGCAGCACATGCTACAGCTTCACACTCACCTCTGCAGGCAGCACATGCTACAGCTTCACACTCACCTCTGCAGGCAGCACATGCTACAGCTTCACACTCACCTCTGCAGGCAGCACATGCTACAGCTTCACACTCACCTCTGCAGGCAGCACATGCTACAGCTTCACACTCACCTCTGCAGGCAGCACATGCTACAGCTTCACACTCACCTCTGCAGGCAGCACATGCTACAGCTTCACACTCACCTCTGCAGGCAGCATGTGCGGCATGCTCAAAGCTCCCTGGCAGCACAGTGAGCACTCTATCATAGGCCACTGTGACACTGAGAGTGGTCGACATGATGTGCAGCTGCGCGCCAATGCCAAAGCCCTACCTTCAAGGCTTGGGCCAGCACACTCCACAGCCTCACACTCTCACCTCGGCAGGCAGCATGTGCAGCATGCTCGAAACTCCCTGGCATGTGCAGCATGCTCGAAACTCCCTGGCATGTGCAGCATGCTCGAAACTCCCTGGCCACGGCAAGGCTGAGGGCGGCAGAATGATGTGCATCTGCGCGCCAATGCCAAAGCCCAGGTTTCCACCCACCTCGGCAGCCCATGGATGGACTCACACTCACCTCGACAGGCAGCATGTGCAGCATGCTCAAAGCTCCCCGGCAAAACAGAGAGAATGCGATCATAGGCCACGGTAAGGCTGAGGGCGGCAGAATGATGTGCATCTGCGCGCCAATGCCAAAGCCCTGCACCCTCAGCCTGGAAGGACACATGCAGGACTCACTCACCTCTGCAAGCCGCATCAGCCGCATGCTCAAAGCTCCCGGGAAGTACAGTCAGAATGCGGTCATAGGCGACAGCAAGGCTGAGGGCGGCAGACATGATGTGCATCTGCGTGCCAATGCATACATGCATGTGCCACATGCTAAAACCGCATGGTACAGCCTCACCTCGGCAGGCAGCATGTGCGGCATGCTCAAAGCTCCCAGGCAGCACAGTGAGAATGCGGTCATAGGCCACGGCAAGGCTGAGGGCGGCGGACATGGTGTGCAGCTGCGCGCCAATGCCAAAGCCCATGTTTGCACCCACCTCTGCAAACCGCATGAGCGGCATGCTCAAAGCTCCCAGGAAGTACAGTGAGAATACGATCATAGGCCACAGCGAGACTCAAGGCGGCAGACATGATGTGCATCTGCGCGCCAATGCCAAAGCCCTGCACCGGCGGCCACGCCACCACCAGAAGCTTCCTCGCGCCTTCCCCCTCCCCCGAGCAGGAGCCGGGCGGCGGGAACTGGTGCCCCCAGAGGTCCGTCTGCACGACACGTGTCATCGCGAGACTGGCCGCGTCCGTGCCGCGAATCTGGGAAGACGGGGAAGGGGGGATGTGAGAGGAAATGCAAGAGGGCAGAGGAAGATGAGGAAGAGTGAGGAAATGAGCGGAAAGGAGTTGTTTTGGGGGAAGGGGAAAACGGGAGAGGAAAAAGGGGAAGGGGACAAGGGGGTGGACAAGAAAGCGCAGAAGGGAGGGGGGAGGGGAGGGGGGAGGGGAGGGCGTAAGGGAGGGGGAAAGGGAGGATAAAAGAAAGGGAGAAAGAAAGGGAGGGAGGGAGAGAGGATCGGAGCAGGTCCAGGGAAGAGAGGAGGAACGCGAGAAGGAAGAGGAGAGGAGGCCTGGCGGCGTCAATGTGAGTGTAATCAGCCAAATATTATGTTAAAAAAAAAATATGGGATTTGTAAAAAAAACTTGGTTAAGTCCCCCTCTCTCCGTCCTTCATCCCCCTTCCCGCATGCACGTCCCCCCCCCCCCCCCCCCCCTACTTCCCCTCCTTCTCACCCCCTACCCCACCCCTCCCTCCCCCTCCCCCTCCTCCTACCCCCTTCCCCCTGCCCTCCCCCTCCCCCACCTCCCCCTACACCAACCCAGGGAGGATCCGGCGACCAATCAGAGCAGTTGGACGGCCGCGCCCACGCGGGCATCTCCCCCGAGGGTCCGCGCATCTCCGCAGCCTCCCGCGCGCGCGTCAGCGCCGCGCAGTTCTCCATGTGCGGAGCCAGTGGAACACGCGCCCCGCGCCCGCCGCCGGAACCTCCGCCCGCTGACGCGCTCGAGGCGAAGCCCGGAGGCGGGCGGAGGGTTCGGGGGGGGAATAAAGGTGGCTGCGCGACGTGCGCGCGATCTGTGCTTATATCGGAGCCGCTGCTGGTGTAGTTCGTACGCGGTACGAGCCCGTACATGTAGGACCATGCCTGAGAGGGGGCGGAACGGGAAGGGGGGCAGAAGGGAGAAGTAAAGTAGTAAAGTGCCAACCCGTGCGACAGCCTGCGTCTCGCACTCTACAAACAGCGACGGCCTGCGGCTCGCAATATAAAAAGAGCGACGGCCTGCGACTCGCACCTTGAAGAGCGCGACGGCCTGCGCGTGTTGCGCTCCACCAGGGGCCACCGGATCGACGGGCCGCTGTCGCCCTCTCGGCCTGCCTCCTCGGCGAGCGTCGCAACGGATTGGCGAAAGAATCAGCGAAAGCAGAAGCAGAGAGAAGATCGGAAGTTTTGAAGATGCATGCGACATGCGTGATAGCCGGTAGGCGTGGCGACGACGCGTCACAGCTGCAGGGAAATGAAAGCGCGGCGATGGCGTGCTGCCAGCCATGCTTTTCTTGAGCGTTACACGCGGTGGCGCATCGATGCTAGAATTCCACGCAGTGGCTAGAGTTTGATATCTAGCATCTAATCAGAGACGATCCAAACAGCTGCCACCCAGCCACTGCATAGTGTACGTCAACGCCCCATGCGTATCTCAGAGGATTCGTGTCCGGCTCGCGTAAACATATCTGAAATGGTGTGCCGCGTTTAGCGGACGTTAGAAGGAAATAGGGCATTTACTTCGGAGGTTGGTGGATTGCTGGTCAGCGTACTCGTTTCGAGCGCGCTCAGTATGGCCCTAGGATAAGCGTATACATGTCTAATAAACTTCATTTGTACACCATCCCTTCCGTGATGCTCCCAGTTGTGCGATTGTTCAAAACGAGACCACTGATGTCCAATGTTCAAACCAACCAGACACGAGCCGCGGTCATGCATCTGCTCTGCTGCTGTCTGATTGTGTACTGTACAGTTCCGTTCTGCTGCTCTGTAGCACGCCCCTACGACTTGCTTGGGCTTCACTCCTTCCCGACCCCTTCCCATTCCCCTTCTTCCTTCACCCATTCCACTGACCCGCACTCTTCCACCCCCCTCCCCACTTCCACCCCAACAAACCCCCTCGTCCTCCCCAAGTGGTTTCAAATTTCTTCTGCTTCTAGGACCTGCACAAACACCAGACTGCAGCACATGCAAACTGCATCCAGTACACGGCAGAGCTTGTTTCAACAGGAAAGTGAGTACACTAGAAAATTATGTTCTGGTGTTTTTCCAATTTCGGTCATGGTACAGTAATTTAGCCATCTTGGCAGGTGAACTTTCATAATTTCTCCTCCTACAATACGCATCTGCACAGCACGGGAAGACCTGGACCGCGGTGAGCTCGGTCTGGGCGGCCACGAAAAATACAGTTGCGAAAACCACTCCAGCCGAAGCACCGGTTATCGTAAGGCCCAATCAACATACGACACGCTGGGAATATGGCAGGTCCTGGCTAGCGATTCGAATGCTGGCCGGGCTCTGGTGAAACCTCAGTTCTCAGATGTGGCGCCACGTGAGATGACGATGGCATGACCCAATCGACGGATGTAAAACGATATGCTTAGGTTCACGGACGTTCCAGACGAGCCTTCATTCCGAGAGCATAGCGAGATGGAAGCGGGAAACGCTTCATACTTTCCAGCCCTCGTTCCCTCCAAGCTCAAACCCTCTCGGGAACCCCACCATCCTCAACCTTCCCCCACACCTTCCCCCCTCACCCGTCCTTCCTCTCTGCTCCACGCGGAATTCCCTAGGTTTTCGCGCCAGAGGTTTGCGCTTTCGTGGTCATGCTGCAAGAACTTTCTCCCTAGAGGTTTCCCTCTCCTTCCATCCATTCCCCCTTCCTCCCATTCCCCGGATTTCAAACCCGTATGGTCCACCACTCTCCCCATTCAGCCCCTTTTGAAACAAGAGCCCCATTTTAACCCTAACACACAGTTTTAGAGTTCTAGCCAGGTTAGCCAATATATACGCTCGTGTCAGGCAGTGACGTAAAGAATGGCGACTATTATAGGGAGTCGTTCTGTTAGACCAGTAGTTAATCTTCCAGACACGAAGTCTTCATCGAGAAGCCGTCTTTCAGAAGTACGTATTAGGGTCGGAGGGTATTTGTTATTAGCGCTTAGTCCTTTTGAAGCATAAGTGTAATTGACTTATGGTTCTTCTTTCTGTGTTCAGTCACCTGGGAGCTGCCTTCCTTCTGGCGGATTTAACGGATTTTGCGGTTCTAAGCTGAAGCCGCCTTCCACCCAAGCCGCAAAACAACGGTCGTCGGGTCCCTTCTGCTGTTTTGGTAGGTTCCGTCTCGGCGACTGGCTTGAGTAGTTCGTTATTACAAGAATCACAACTGATATCGGATTGAAGTCGAATTAACAGTCACTTGAGTAGCCCCCTCGTCTCCGATATGACCTCGTTTCGACGTTCGACATTAACGTTTTGTGTGTTTTCCATTGTATTTCTCGTGCACAGCTAATGCTTCATGGATGGAAGACGACTTCGTGCCTCAACCTTCCTTCGCACACAGATTGTCGAGAGCATGGCAAGTCGTGTTTCCCACGCGAAGGAAAGGACCAAGGTACTTACCGTTGTTGCTCGTTTATTTGTAGGGTAATTATTTTCGTTCGTTCTCTCATCATCCGTCGTCGGTCATGCCATGCAGTGTTGCGGAGGTGGCGAAGGAGAGATTGCGTCTAGTGCTTTACAGCGACCGCGAGGAATTCCATCCCAGATTAAAGAAGAAGCTCTGCGGAGACATCGTGAACGCCATGGGTGATTTTTTGGACGTTGCTGTGGAGGACGAAGACGATGTGATTTTCAGAGTCACCAGGGACCCCGTGGTGGGCTCGATTTACAACGTCAGCGTGCCGGTGAAACGGGTGAAGCCAGCGCTTCAGAAAGCATCATAATCAATACTGGAATAGCCAGAAAGCGGAGTATGTTATCTACAGTTGTTTTTTTACAGTGGATGCGTGTGTCTTCTTGGCATGTTAGGAATACCTAGCCTCCAGGACGAACACACGGTTGAACCACTATTTTTCTGTTTTAGGCGTTCTTGAAACTGACACCTGACAAGGATGCAGGCTGTATAATGCTCCTTTATCGTTCCAATATAGATAAACATGTACTGTATATGTGAAGTTACGGGTGATTTTTCCAGAAGTTTGACTGCCTATACACACTTTGCTCAGTCTTCATCTGTTGCGTGGATCCACTCTGAGGTTTAACCCCTGTGGGATGCCTCAGTACTGGCCGAAACAATGCCGTGCGGTCAAGGTGGCAGAGTACTGTACTGAACAATATTCAATGTTTGGAACACAACCTGATACTGGTTAATGGGACAAGTAGCAGAAGCACAGGCATAATCATTCTCACCCACGAAACATTTTCATAAAATTGAGGGCAACTAAGACTGAGGGGATGAGCTTGCTGCTGCCTGCGAAGACGAGGCATGTGTGGCGAGTACACGTTGCACCTCCTCTTCTGACACTCCCACACCCTTGAATGCTGCTACAGCCGCCTCAAGAGACGATTCCCATCCCGCATCTGACAGCTTGAACTGATCAGTTATCATACAATGCACCAGACACAGCAGCCAGATAGAGGTGTGGGGAGTGAAGAGGGAAGGATGGGGGAGAGGGGGAGTGGAGGAGGGGGTGGAAGCGAAGGGGAGAAGGGAAGGAGGTGAGAGGATGAGGGCTAAATCACACCATTTATAGTGAACAAAAGACTTGGGAGGAATGGCAAGAGATTTTATCTGGCCGGCCTCACCTGGACCTGCGACTTGTCAAACACGCAATTGGCCAGCTGGAGGTTGACGTTCTGCCGGAATGCCGCCACGTCAGCGAGGAATGCATCCGGGTCTCCTGTGTGGTCATGCCCGTGGTCATGATTACATGCAGGCCCATGCTTGTGCACATGGTTGTCATGGTCATGATTGCATCCAGGACCGTGCTTGTGCTCCGGGTGGCCGTGCTTGGCAGTATGTGCCATACGCCCGGGCTCTTCCGCTCCATCCTGCTCCGTCTCAGAAGAGTTTTCCTCCTCAGCCTCTCCTTCTGCTGCTGCTGCTACTTCATGCTGCTTTACATGATCCTGCTCGATAGTGTCACATGCCTGTTGGGAAACGGGAAAGGATGGGACAAGAGACAAAAGGTGGGTTCTAGTCAACTCGAAATTCACGGCGTCACATGTCTATCAGAGAGAGGGGAAGTGTGCGGACAACGAAAGGTGCACTATACCATGGCGCATTGATCCTGCTTCAACAAGATAGCTCCGAATCAAGTTGCAGTAAATCAAAGGGCCTGAATAACTGCTTCAAGTAAACAAGCATAGCTTCGAGAGGGCCCAAAAAAAAAAAAAAAAAAAAAAAAAAAAAAAAAAAAAAACCGACAGCAGAGCAAGAAAAAAACAGCGTAGAATGGACTTGGAAAGAAGTATGTACCTTGACAGCAGCGCTGAAGTTCTCCTCTGCCTGAGCCAAACACTCCAGCACTCCTCTCATACGCTTCTTCCCCTCTCCCCCCTCATTCCCCTTCTCTCCCTCTCCCTTCTCCCTCTTCTCTCCCTTCTCCCCCTTCTCCCCCTTCTCTCCCTCCTCTCCATCTTCCACCTCCCCGCCCTCCTCCCCATCCAGCACTGCCAGAAACTCCTCCGCACGGGCCATCTCCACAAAGCACTGCCCCAGCGCCAGCAGCGCCTGCCAAGGGTAAGAAAGCACAGCAGTGAGAGGGATTTGAGCGAGTGAGTCTGCTCCCATGCCCCTCCCCCAACTCCTCTGCACGGGCCATCTCCACAAAGCACTGCCCCAGCGCCAGCAGCGCCTGTCCGGTTGGGTAACAATGGGAGGAGAATGGATGGAAGGGTGCAGGGGTGAGGCCGGATTAGAAAGAGGACATGTATGGACGAAGTCCCATCTCCACAAAGCACTGCCCCAGCGCCAACAGCGCCTGTCAGGACGGGAAAAGGTGGGAAGGGAATGAATGCAAGACTGCAGGAGTGAGGCAGCATCAGAAAGAGTACATGTGTGCACGGAGCCTTATCTCCTCAAAAGACTGCCTCAGCGCCAGCAGCGGCTGTCAGAATAGGGAGGGGAGGGATGCGAATGAGTGCAAGAGTGCACATGTGAGGTGTATGGAGTGCAGAGTGCATCAGAAAGAGAACATGTATGCGCGAATGAATGCAACAAGAGTGCACATGTGAGGGCGAATCAGAGAGAGATCGCGTATGAATGGAGTCCCATCCCCACAAAGCACTGCCCCAGCGCCACCAGCGCCTGTCAGGGAGGGGATTTGCATGGGAAAGCAGCACGCAGCGAGTGAGGGCACACCTCTAAGAAGCAGTACGTCAGTCACAGCAATCAAGTCAACCAGGTCAAGCATGTCAATTAAATCAACCAAGTCAACCAGGTCAACCAGGGCAACCAGGGCAACCAGGTCAACCAAGTCAACCAAGTCAACCAGGTCAATCAAGTCAACCAAGTCAACCAGGTCAACCAGGGCAACCAGGGCAACCAGGTCAACCAAGTCAACCAGGTCAACCACTCACATCTGGCAAGTTCGGCTGCACCGTCAGAGCAGCCTCATACTTCTCCCGAGCCTGCTCCAGCACCTCCCGAGCCGCCTCCACCTCCCCCAGCTTGGCTGCTCGCCTCTCTGGATCCCCCCTTATCTCTCTCAACGCCTCCTTCTCCTTCTCCGCCCTCCCCTTGTCCGCCTCCATCCCCACCTTCTCTGCTTCGTCACCCGTCTTGCCTGATTCAATGCCCCCTTCTTCTGCCTTCATTCCATCCTTCTCTGTGTTGCTAACCGCAGCAGTTGCTGCTGCAGCAGCGGTGGTGGTGTGAGCAGTTTCGGGAGCAGGTTTGAGCCCGAGCCTGCGCCGAGCCATCCAGACGTAGGTGTTGCCCCAATTCAGATGCGCCACTGCAGCCTGCTCGAAAGGGAAGAAAGGGGGGGGGGGGGGAGCAGAAGGGCAGAGACAAAAGGCATTGAGGTGTTGCCCCCGTTCAAATGCGCCACTGCTGCCTGCTCGTGGGGGTGGGGGGAGAGACGGGCAGAGAGTGAGACAGATAATGGGAATAAACCAGAGGGGGATGAAGATGGTTTTTACTCAATCACACGCACACTCACTCACTCACTCACTCACTCACTCACCATGCTCTGAAACTTGGCAGCCGCCTGCTGCAGCAACTCAGAAGCTTCCTCTGCCTCCACCGTCCCCTCCAGCGCCCTATTAACCGCTGCCACATCAGCATCGGCCAGGTCAAAGCTGGCGAGCGAATCAATGCCCAGCCGCTCCCTAAAAAGGTCGGCAAACTGAATAATCCACGAATCAACCAGAACCTCCTGTTGCGCCTCCTCCTCCTCCTCCTCCTCCCCTTCTTCCCCCTCTCCCCCCTCCTCCTCTTCCTCTCCCTCCTCCTCTCCCTCCTCTTCTGCTTCCCCCACATTTTCCCCGTCCCTCCCCACACTCACAGGGACCTCTATCTCCTCCTCTACCTCCTCCTCCTCTTCCACCTCCACCTCCTCCTCTCCCTCCTCCTCCACCTCCTCCCACTCCACCTCTGCCACGTCAGCATCGTCAGCAGGCACAGCTGGCGCCTGCGCCTGCTCTGATTGGCTGAGCGACGTCACATGCAGCCGCAGCACTGTGCTGACGATGCTGCTGCTGTTCTTTGCGCTGCTAGTGATGGTTACGGCGGGTGGTGCTACGGTGGCAGCAGTGGCAGAGGCAGTGGTGGTGGCAGTGGTAGCAGCGGTTGTTGTAGTGCTGCTACCATCACAGGGCAGCATGTCACTAGCCTCCTTGGCACCTGATTCTGCTTCCTTCACCGGCTCCAATTCACCCTCATCATTCCCCTGCTTCGACTGATCCTTTTTCTCGGTTTCCAGTTCCGCTTTTGACTCTGCAGAAGCACTCGCAGCAACAGGAGGAGCAACCGCCAATTCTTTTTTCCAAAGAGAAGCACCTTCGAGAGATGCAGCACCCAGAGAGGCAGCGAGAGCAGCCTGTGCGTCTGCTGCCGCAGCTGCAGCAGCAGCTGCTGCGGTGGCTGCTTCTCTTGCTGCTGCTGCCGCTGCCACCGCTGCCACTGCCACTGGTGACGATGCCACTCCTGCTGCTGTTTCTGCTGCTGCTCGTCCGATACTGAGTGCCGTGGCGATGTCTTCCTTGCATGTGATTGTAATGAGGTCGCCCTGGGAGATTGGGTTGCAAGGATGGCAATTGCAGCTAGTGTGACAATACGGGCGAGGCAAGCAAAGACGAACACAATGTATTCCAATTCGAAGAGTAACCTTGCAAGGTGAAGATAACTGCTCTTTTAGGATGGACCATATTTGCTATGCACTCTCGAAACTTCTCGCCTCGGCATCACCCTCACCCCAGAATCTGCCTCACCTCACAGTCAGTGTAATGCAGGAGCAAGGGCTTGCCGTTCAAATGGCTTTTGAGGGACCTCAATAGTCGCCTCAGAATTTTAGAGGCGCATCAAAATCACTCTCACCTCACAGTCAGTGTAGTGCAGGAGCAAGGGCTTGCCGTTCAAATGGGGGAAGCAAGCTCCCACGATTCTGTGCAGCTGCTGGAAGCTGCAGTCCGGGAAAGGTGAGAGGTGGGAAGAAGGGGCACACAGACACACACACGGGACGGGAGAGACTCGTGAAACATTGCATACGGGTTCCACTGCTTAACACAGGGAGAAGCAGCCGCCCACGATTCTGTGCAGCTGCTGGAAGCTGCAGTCGGGTGGAAAGGTGTGAGGCGTGCAGAGCAAAGGGAGGGAGCACATGCAGATGAGAGATATGGTAGCGACTGGTGAGATCTGACGCAGGGACTGTCCAACAAAACGGGAAGCAGGCGCCCACGATTCTGTGTAGCTGCTGGAACATGATTATTTGTGAACTCACCCACACCCCACAGGCATCTGAGCCAGCCTTGTGTCTCTGCCCGTCGCCAAAGTCACTTTGACTCGCACCGTCGGCACTCGCCTCTCCTCCCTCCGCATCCTCACCACCTTCTGCATCCTCTTCCTCACCACCTTCCTCCTCACTACCCTCTTCTCCTTCACCATCTCAACTCGCGCCTCCCCTCCTCCTCTTCCCCCTCTTCCTCCTCTTCCTCCTTCTCTCGCTCCCCTCTTTGACCCTACCTCCCCTTTTCTCCCAGCCTTCGTCTTTCCGTCTCCATTCTTTACTGCCGCCTCTGTCCCCGTTCCCTCCCTTGTTTCGGCTGCTGCCTGCTGCTTTCTGGGCGGCAGCTGCGGCATGTGGCTGATCCCGCCTCCCGAATCAGCACCCGAACCAAAAGCCAACCCAGAAGCTGAATCAGAAGCCGGAGCAGCAGCTGACCCAGAACCTGGAGCAGCAGCCAAATCAGCACCTAGTCCCTTGGTCGCGGTTGGAGGGGCAGAGGAGGAAGGCGGGACTTTGTTCTCAGGGGAAGGCTTCACTGCTTCTGCTTGGCTCGCAGTGGCGGGGTTGGGAGCAGAGGCGGGTGGGGATGGTGCAACAGAGGCGGTGGGAGCGGTGGGGATGGGTTGTGGGGTGGTGGTGAGCGATGAAGGCGTGGCGGTAGCAGTCGCGGCAGTGGGGGAGAGGGAGGAGGGCTGCTTGCTGGCAGGAGGGGCTTTCAGCTTCTGCAGCCGTTTTTTTAGCTCCCATGCGTCCTGATTGGTGGGTTCCGCCTGTTGGGCAGGGGATGGGGATGGGGATGGGGATGGGGATGGGGATGGGGATGGTAACAGGCGCACAGCAGACAGCACATGGGGTTGGGGGTAGGGTGGACAGAATGGTAAGGCAACGCCGCACACTGAACTAAAAGTGCAGATTCTGTGTGAGACAACTAAACGAACTGCGGTTGACATTTCACACGTCTCAGCGGCATGAAACACATCTAAACAAACTTTCGCTCGCAAGTGTGTAATATTCACGGTGTTCACATCACTGTGTTTGTACAACCATCTGCAAACAGCCTCCACGTCACCACGCGTGTATCTCGCGTCCACGTCAGCTTCTGCCTTATCAACGCGTCCACGTCAGCCTCGGCCTTATCCTTTCTGCCAGCGCGTCCAGCACCTTTGCCTTACCCCCCCTCCCTTACTCATCGCGTCGACATCAGCTTCTGCCTTATCCTCACCTTGATAATCACGTCCACGTCAGCCTCGGCCTTATCCTCTCCCCCAGCGCGTCGAGCGCCTTGGTCTTAGCACTCGCTCCCCTACCTGAACTACCATTCCTCACCTTAATAATCGCGTCCACGTCAGCCTCCGCCTTCTCCTACTCCCCGGCGCGTCGAGCGCCTTGGCCTTTACCCTCCCTCACCTTGATTGTAGGGCTCCTCACCTTGATGATAGCGTCCACGTCAGCCTCCGCCTTATCCTTCTCCCCCAGCGCATCCAGCGCCTTGGCCTTACCCCTCACCTTGATTATTGTTCCTCACCTTGACCATCGTTCCTTACCTTAATAATCGCGTCCACGTCAGCCTCCACCTTATCCTTCTCCCCCAGCGCGTCCAGCGCCTTGGCCTTTACCCTCCCTCACCTTGATTGTAGGGCTCCTCACCTTGATGATAGCGTCCACGTCAGCCTCCGCCTTGTCCTTCTCCCCCAGCGCGTCCAGCGCCTTGGCGCGGCGCAGCAGCGCGCGGCAGAAGCCCGGGTTGAGAGAAAGACTGGCGTCACACTCCGCCCTCACGCCCTCGTAGTCCACCGGGCGCATCTGCAGCAGACAGGCCGCACGGTTGCTGGAGAAGGAAAGGGCAGAAGGGGATGGGGGGAAGGGGGAGGGGGAGAAGGCCAGGGAGGGGTGAAGCAGCAGAAGCTTGGATTGAGAGAAAGACTGACGTCACACTCCGCCCTCACCCCTTCATAGTCCACCAGCCGCATCTGCAGCAGACAGGCCGCACGGACGCTGAAGAAGGAAGGGGCAGGGGTGAAGAAGCAGGGGAGAAGTAGGGTTGAAGGAGGAGCGAAAGAGGGTTGAAAGAGAGGCTGACGTTACACTCTGCCCTCACCTCACCTCACCCACTCGATGTTCGGGGGACAGGCGTCCCGGTTGCTGTGAAAGGAAGGGGCGAAACAGGGGTCAGTCAAGGGAAGAAGCAAAAGTGAACGGACAGGCCAAGTTCCAATTCGCGAGCTCGCACCACCACATGCTTGTGCACTGTAACATAGAGTATTCCTCAACTGTTGTGTCCAGAATTTAAACACAGCTGTGCACAACAACGGTGTATCGCGTATACAATACATTCACGCTTGTGCACTGTATATCGTGTTCAAGACTCACCTGTGAAGAATTGCCCTGTCGGCATGGCTGGCGGGCAGCAGCTTGATGGCCTTGCCGTATCGCTCCATGGCTGCTGCATATTCCCGCGCCTGGAAATGCTGGTTGCCCTCCGCCTTGAGCTCCATGGCGCGTGCGTGAAACACCTGCCAGGGGGGAGAAGCGAAGACACACGAGTGGGGAAGGCATGGCGCCTAAAAGACTGGACTGAGCTGCTGGTTGCCCTCCGCCTTGAGCTCCATGGCGCGTGCGTGAAACACCTGTTAGGGCGAGAAGACACAGGGTTGCGGTGGCGGTTCAGACAGGCCCGGCTGGAACCAGAATTGATCCTGTGTCACAGCTCGCCGCTTTGCTCGCACCTGACACTGCTTGTCGCCCTCCGCCTTGAGCTCCATGGCACGTGCACCAGGATTCCATGGCATGGAACACCTGCCCTGCCAGGGAGAGAAGACACAGGGTTTCAGTGGCGGTTCGGACACACTCTTAGCAGCCTGCGCTACAGCTCCTTGGTGCGCGCCCTGCCGGTTTTGAGGCAGGAGCGTAGCTTAGCTAATAATGTAATCCATGACATGTCCTCTCAGCTGTTGACGCTCTCTCGCGGAAAACCTGCAGTTGTGAACGTTGGTGTGGTTGCAAGCGAAGGTTGAGGCGTGTCAACGACAACTGAGGGAAGTCTTTTGAGGCTTTTGGGACACCGCGTAGCTGATGTGAATTAACAGTCCCAGCCACCCTTCACATCCAGGGCGCGCGCCCATTCCCCTTTTTCCCCTCCTCCCACCACTCCCCCCCGCTTTCTCCAGAGGGCACGCAGGGAGAACATGCAGGTTTGACAGTTTTGATGGCTGCGACGAGGTTCAGGGTTGAGGGCTTTGAGACACTGCTGAAACGGTCATCGGGAATTGAGTTCTGAAAACGTCTCAAAGCTAAAAAGACATCAAGAGGGACGTCAGATGCTGAGGCTTCCGTAACGAGAGGGAGCGACGGATATTGGGAGACCTTTTCTATTGTTAAGGTGTTGTTGGTGACTCACATCCTCGTCAGCGTCAGCAGCCTTAGAAGACGCCTTGGAAGCAGATCCAGCGGCTGGGGAAAATCCCATTTTCGCGGAAGATGCTGCTTTTGCTGACGGCACTGCATTTGAAGCCGCATTCGACGCCGCATTTGCCAACATCTTGGCGGAAATGCCATCGCCAGAAGCAGCAGCGGCACCGCCACCAACGGACGACCCTCCGACGGTCCCTGACGAAGCAACCGGAGCGGTTTTTTTAGCGGAAGTTGCGGCGAATTTCGCGGCAGCCGAGGGAGGGGTGGCTGACGGAATGGCTGCTGTTGACGGGCCATTCCGGGTGTCAGATGCTGTTGCCGCCGCTCCTGACGCTGCTGCTGCTCCTGCTGATGCTTCTGTTGCTGCTGCTGTTGCCGGCGCGGCCGCTGCTGATGCTGCAGTTGATTCGGGTGCTTTCCCTCCGCCACCTCCCTGCGGCCCTCCTTTGCTCTTCTTCTTCCTTCCTCCCTTACCACCTGCCATGATGTCCTGACACGCGACAACACACCCTCCGCTCAGCAATGGCAGAGCAAATTAAGACGCTTATGTAGACCAAACCTGGCCAGGCCCTCCCTCAAGCTGGTACCAATGGCGGCGGCAATTCTATCTGAACAGCCGTTTGGTTTGGCAAGGAATCAGCATCAGGCAGGTTTGGATGGTGCTGGGCTGGTTTTGGCTGGTTTTGGCTGGTTCAGCTGATGTTACCGTTGGGCTTGGCGCGAAATGGATAATGGATAACGTCGGCTCATTTGCCTTCGAGAATGTCGCTGAAAAGCTTGGCGACAGTCGCTGTAGCGTGTGGCGAACTACGCGATAGTGGGATATCTTCGCTGTACTTGATAGCGATAGCAGCATTTGTTTCGGCACTGTAACTCAACCCCCGATTCTTCGCTTGTGGGATGCCAGGTCATCAAACACACAGCTCGCAAGTCGGGTGGGACTGCTTTGGCGCTTCAACAGTAAGAGGTACACCAGAATCGAATGAATGAAGTACCAGACCTAACAGATAGGTCTAGAACATTCTGGAGCCCTGAGAAATCAATACTAATGTTTCCTAATTTACAACAGTTCCATAGCTACTCATTGACGAGCAGTTTCTAATTTCACCGCCATGATTTCTCTCTTCCGTTGCTCCAGCCCCTCGATCATACTTCTAAGATTAGCCAGAGCAGGGTGAAGAGGCGGACCTCCATTCGGATCCACATGGACAAACTTCCGCTGGAAACCAGCAGGGGTGAATCGGGTCTCAAACCTCACTCGCCCGTCCTTGAGAGCAAAGAGAGTGTGGTCTCTCCCCATGCCTACAAAATCCCCGGGGTAGAAGCGGGTTCCCCGCTGCCTCACAATAATGTTGCCAGCCACCACTCCCTGCCGACAACGCGTCAAGGAGACAGAAGGGAAACGGCGTATGTACAGGAGGAAGGGGCAAGGAAGAGAAAAAAAAGGGAGGGAGGGAGCTTTAGAAACACATTAAGGATAGAAATAATCTGACAGCAGACAAAAGACACACCGAGTGGTGATAGAGTCAGCAGATGGAGAGTGCAAACACACATCCCCTAACGAGTCACTTGTCTGCTAGACCTCTTCAACTCCAGGTGACTGCGTGAAAGTGGATTCTCTCTGAGACATCTCAGAACGATTTTACGTTTACGTGGCAAACACACATCCCCTCACCTGTCCGCCCGACTTCTTCACCCCCAGGTGCTTGGGCTGCGAGTCCCGGCCGTTCTGTGTGGACCCCATGGCCTTCTTCGTCGCACTGCGCTGCTGCACCAGCGACCATGCCCCTGCTGGTGAGGGAGCGTGCTGGGAAAACACCTCCCCGAGAGGCCCTGAGGAGCCTGCAGCTGGGAAAGTCCCAGCAGGCTGAAAGGCTTTGGTGATGCTGCTGAAGCTGATCCCCGCTACCTGTTGTGCTAGTCGGCGAGACATGATGGTGGATCTTGATGCGACCACTCTCTACCAAGAGCCTTCAACTGATTCCTTTCAGGGGTCGCGTAGTGCCTCACAGTCAGGTTCCCGCCAAGCGCTGCTGGTTGGCAGAGAAAGGGACAACGGCACAGGACAGGTGAATGAGCGTGACAGATGCCAGAGCGGTGGAGGTTAGCGTGGAAGAGGCACCTGCTTGACGAAATCGCAAACGCCGTAAGCTTCTAAGGCGAACGCTGAAAGATTGCGACAAGTGAGTAAGTAGGGTGCGAACGGGCTGACGAAGATATGGTGTAACAAAGCGCATCAATCAAACCTATTCGCGATTCGCCCACAGTTCGCGTCGGCCTTAGGGTTCGTCGCTGTGAGATCCTAATCCGCTCCTATCACACGAATCCAACAATAGGACTCTTTTCATCTCTCACCTCACTGAACGGTCGCGATGCGTCTGGTGCGTAGGCCGGCCAGCTTCTGACTGGCAGTACGTCCGCTTGCCCAAATGCGTCAGGGCCTGCGCTCTGGAATGATCAAGCACACGGCACAAAGGGGCGCGTTGCATTTGGCATATTTTGCTCAAAGTTCGAACGTACCGCTTTGCACGGTGACGTAACGTTTCTTAAATGTATTCTACCGTGTAAAACCTCTCTGAAAGATCGAATTCTGGCAAAAGTTCGGTAGGACATGTGGTGAACAACTGCGATCCTCGCATTTCCGTGTGTACGAGCCCCACTACGAACCTCAACCCCACACCTTGATTGGTTTCTGCGGTAAGCTGAGGTGGTAAAAGTATATGCGTCGGTACAATGCTGTAACTTGGGAATGACCTGTTGCGCTGAAACAGGATTCACTATTAGGTAGTTTAACATTCCATGATCGGTTTTACATGAAAGTACGTCCAATAATAAAAGGAAAACCAACCAAGCACTATGGCAAAATGCCTTCATTAATTATTAGTCCTACTACGGAGTCCTGCCTTTGATAGCCCAATCCCTTTCCTCAGAAATTCACCTCCTGTTAGTGAGGCAAGGAATCATGTACACAGAAGTGCCAGCCACATTACTCTCCCTCACACAAAGAAACCCTCCATGGGCTTTCCATCGAAACAATCAATAAGGGTTGCAAAGAACTCTCCATCCGCAACGTCCATGTCGCGGCCCATCATCTGATACCCGCCTGCAGGAGCAATAGGGTTTCCCTTGCCATCACCGGCGGGAAGCGCAGCTGCAGCTCCCTCAGCAGGTGTGATCGCCGTGGAGTCAGAGAGCTGGCAATCCGACTCATCCTCACCGTCCGTACCCACATCGCCCTGCTCACTCAGAAAGTGAGATTCAGCCTTCACAACATCGTTAACGGCTGGAAGGAGGACCGGATCCGAAGAATCATTTGGAGAATCGTCAACGTCTGCCGCGTTCTCCTCCGTTCTCTTCCGCTTTCCCGGTCCCTTCGCGTCTTCATCAGTCAGCCCGTTCGTAACAGCCGTGAGGGGAGACGACAGAGCTGATTCCTTCTCCGGCGATGACGGCTTGCTGCCTTGCGACAGAGTCGACCCCGCCGCTCCCGCGTTGCTTCCGCCACTGCAATCGTCCAGCTCTTTCCGCAGCCGCTTAAGCTCGCGTTCCAGATTCACGTTCTGCTCCTGGAAGCGACGGATCTTGTCGGTTGCCTCGGTCAGCCGTCGCTGCACTGCAGCATTTTCCATCTTGAGCTTGGCAGACTGGATCTCGAGCTCCTCCAGCCGCACCTGACGGCGCTGGCGCGATCTCTTCGCGGAAGCGCGATTCGACATCATTCTGCACAAAAAAGAACAGGCAAGCTCAATCGCGTGTCGGAACCGAAAGTAACACGGCTACAAGCGGATGGCTATCATGGACTGAGACATTGAGGTAGCGAACTGCGTGGCAAGGTAATCTTACCGCTTGTACTTCTTCTCATCCATTTCTTCCTCATCCTCCTCCCCGTGCGGATCCATCTCAGGATTGACTCCCCACGCGAATCCAGGCGCAGACGCGCTCTGAACTGGACGCGGAGCGATGTTGGCTGCTCCCGTAGACTTCGCCCAAGCCTCCAGGCTCCCTGCAGGAACGGCCTGCTGCTGCCAGGCGGGGACCATAGATCCTTGAAACTGCTTTTGCAGCTCTTCTTGAGAGCCAACTTGGAGAAGTCCCTTCGCGGGATTCCATGCCGTAGACTGAGCTTGTGCGAGCTGTTGTTGCATTCGCAGCTGTTGCTGTTGCTGCTGCTGTTGCTGAAGGAGCTGCAGTTGCTGTTTCTGCTGAAGCATCTGCAGCTGCTGCTGAAGCTGCTGCTGCTGCTGCTGCTGAGCTGCTGCTTGGTGGAGTTGCGAGTTCGTCATTGTGGGAAAAAACTGACCGTGCTGCTGAAGCCTGCGAAGAGAGCAGGTGAGGATAGTAAGAGCCGCGAACTCTGGAAGAACCGAGATACACACACACTGGAGAACGATAAAAAGAAGGAACCTAACTTCCAAGAATGAAAGCAAACTCACTGTGCGGCAGTGAAAGTGGCTTTAGGCTCCTCGTGAGCCGCCTGAAAGCGTCCATTCGGGAGGCCTGTTGCTCCAAGCATCCCGTTCCACGCCCAAGTCTGAGCGTTTGAATTATTGACTGCTCCAGCAGCCTTCAGAGCATGTCCTGGTATTTCAGCGGCGAAGTTCGCTCCTGAAGTTCCAGCTCCCGCAGGAACTCCGGATTCCGGTGGACGACACATTTGCTAGCTTCGTAAGTCTTACGCCGAAAGATAGCTAGACTTGGAAAGCAGTCGATTTCAGGAATGACAGTGCAAGGAAAAGTTCAGTAGACTAAATAACCAAAGTTGAGTCAGATGGTTTTAGGTAGGATACTGGAACTGAGTTTGAACCGGTGTGAGGTTGGCAAATAATACCTGGGTGAATGCGGAAGGCGGGGGAAACGTTAGAGGGGAAGGGGAAGGAGGGGAGGGGAGGGGAGCGTGTGTGCCAGACTGCCAGTGTACACTGGGACGGTGAACGGGGACGGGAAGGTGTTGGGGGAGCTGCGGAGATGGAAGCGGAGCCGTGGTCAAGTGACACTGCTCAATCGGGGATGGTTGCCCGAGGCGGGGAGGGGTGTGTGGAGGCGTTGCGGGGAGAGATGGTTGGAAGGATGCTGCTGAGGTGTTCCAGTTCGCAGTTTTCGGGTGAGGTTGTGGTGATTGGACACAGCTACTTGGCAGGGCAATGCTGCATTTGAACATGGCGGTGCACAACTGTCCAGTTCTGCACGAGCAGGAATTCGAACTGGGCTGCCCGTGAGTGGAATCCTGTACATTACGAAACCAGAACATCCTCTAAAAAACATTGGCCAATTATCAGGCTGCTGATGTGTTGATCAGAGAGTGGCCCAACACCCATATCAAAGCGGGCCGAATTGGGTGATACACGCGCTTGGACCACGACGAGGGGCGCTCGCAAGTATCTGACACCAGCGGCAAGATTGACAACCTTGGGGCAGATCTTTCTGGACTGGACATGGCTGGATGGACGATGCCCAAGCGTGGATTCACTCGCCCAGCTTCAAAGAATCTGCTCGTAGTGCTGTAAAACATCACCCGAGTTATTAGGAGGGTAGTGTGTAACTCCGTAAGGAGTAACACAAATGTAAATCCCGACGCTCACTCCTTCCAACCTTCCCCTTCGAGCAAGGACAACACTGTACTCCTATAAGTACGAGGTACTAAATTTACAGGGTAGCTCATTTATATTATTGTATGTGTACAATTTCCCCCCCCCGTTCTTTTTAGGCACCTCCTGCCATCACCCGTCCGGCTGCATCACCAACACTCCCCACTCCACTCCCACATTTGGGCACTGACTGACCTCATCATTTCGCGTGCGCTGACAAGGACGCAAGTGTCACAGGTGCCCTGCCCCCATTTCCTCCTCATTTCTCAAGGAAGCTGACGCTGAACAAGTTGAAGGAGTCTGTCCAGCAAATCCGGGATATTTGATCGTACGCGTGGAGATCAACAGTCAAATACTGCAGGAAGAAAGGAGGAAGCTGCTAGAGCACTGTGCGTCAATGAGAAAAGGCAAACTCCACCTCATCAAGCGTGTGGAAGGACAAAAAGTATCTTGTAAAGACACGAGCCGTGACGCAGTCAGCACCGCTTTTGATTGGGATCTGTACCTTTTCTTCAGATATTATGATCCGAGCTGGAACTACGACGACAACTCATGCCACTCGCCTTGATACTTCAATGAAAAGGGAGACTTTCCCAATATCTGATCATATAGTACAGCAAAATCCTGTGTGACTCTCCCCACACCTTCCTAAAGTCTAGTGAACTTTAAAACTGAATAACCTTATTGTCTATTATATTAGGGTAGTTGTTCCAATAACCAAAGCGCATCAACATGATACCTGCTTCAAATCAAGAACCTCAGTTGTGCTACATGATTCCTTGAATCCTAATGAGTCTCATCGTCTCTTTATGCAGAGCGCAAAAACATTGGTCCGTCAACGTCTTGAGAATCAAATTACGACGTTACGCACATCATGTCGTAATCTACCTGTTGCGAATATGATTGTGTGTTTTTATTAAAGTACACTGTTCGAAGTGTGCTAACGAACCTCGCCATAGCGAGGGTGTTGACTCAAGCACCGAGCTACAGGGGCGCAACCGCGTACAGCAGATGCAACCCGCGTGGCAGTTGAAGGGTCGAATTGGGCAGGAGGCATCGTCTACAAAACGCGAAACTGACCTTCGGGGCGCGGCAGGATACCGCGCCCTTGCCGAAGCTGAAAAGTCTCGCCAACGCGACTGTAACAAGGCAACTGTATAACAGTTGCGCCTTGGTAACCGTTTGCTCTATGCGTTTGCTATATAACAGAATGTAATGCCTTGCTATTATTACACAATACTCATCCTTGTGTCCGGCCTATCCTCGGCCGCCGCTCTGGCACCAAGTTACAAGCCACGAGAGCTACCTCTGAGTGACCATTTCCCCGCCGTAGGGACGTCGTTAATTCCTAGAGTATTTCCGCTACTCTAGCGACCTCTTAATTTCAACACTACCGTATTGCCAATCTTACTAATGTGCAATACTTAATAGTATATACGGTACCGTAAGCCCCCGGATATAAGCGCATGCCTATGATAAGCGCCGGCGTTTATAAAAGCTTATGGCGCTTATATCCGGTCCTCGATTAGAAGCCCACCCCTAATGGCTTACGGATTATAAGCGCCACCATCTCTTTTTTGGGTTGCGTAGCAACCTTATACATTTGTTTTCACTTTTCGGTTGACTGGTGTGAACAGTGATTTTCCCCCATCAATTTTGGAAGAAATCAATGTTTACTTCAGTTCCACGAAATGTGAAACCAAATGTATCCAATTATTCCAAAATCGTCGATAAGTACGGCGAATTGAAGAATTGGACAAGCACTCAAACACATATACCACACAAATGACCACACAAGGACTTGCACAGAATCCACAATGCATGTTTTGAGGTGAATACTGAATGCATCAATGCTACAACACTGATTGATATGGTACGGAAGAGGCGAGCAAAGCTGCCCCACCGACAATCACAATCCCAGTTCCATACACGAGGCATATAGCACCATACCCCGAAACAAACACAGACGGGTAACACGCAAACTTGTGCAAAAACAGATGACAATTATTGTGAATGCTTCGAAGCAAATGCTAAATGCATCAATGCTGCAACTGTGATATGAAGTTTTTTGAAAGTGTGTAACACTTTCTAAAAATGTATATTTCGAAAGCGAAGCTGCTTGTAATGCAGCAATGGCAACGGCGAAGTGCTCTACGCTCTTCGCCAACTATATAGCAGGGGGTGGAGGCCATTTGGCCTCCACCCACGTCTTCGTTTGAAATTTCGAATGTCTTATTTCATTCTCGTCCGACGACTTGGCGCTTCCCGTTTTCCTCAGTTTCTCACTTCTCTCATAAAATAGTAGGCATCAACTCAATTGACATGGCACAACGTGTTTCAGAAATGACTTGCGGGCGCACCCGTCCGCACAATAGGCGCGCTTGTTGGGGCTAATAAAGCGACAGCGCCACTGGCGCACGTGGCGACGAAATCGCCACAAGCGCGCGTGGCGACGAAATCGCCACAGGCGCGCGTGGCGACGAAACCGCCACAGGCGCGCGTGGCGAAGCAATCGCCACAGGCGCTCGTGGCGACGAAATCGCCACAGGCGCGCGTGGCGACGAAAACGCCTCAGGCGGGCGTGGCGACGAAAACGCCACAGGCGCGCGTGGCGAAATCGCCAGTGGCGCACGTGGCGTAAAAAATGCCAGCGGCGCAAGTGGCGCCAGTGGCGCTCATGGCGCCGAAATGGTCAAAATCGCCACTGGCGCACGTGGCTACGACATCGCCAGTGGCGTGCAATAACCAGGGGCTCGTCCAGCGGCAGTCGGCACCAGCAGGCTGGCGAAATCTCCAGAGACAAACTGGCGTGACATATGCTCTTCTGCTGCTGACATTGTCAGCAGATAACTTATTACCGTGCATATGTTTCCACCTGTTCTTCGTACGTATCTTCGATTTTTGTTTGTCTTCGTTTTTCTCTCGTGTTATTTATTACCTCTGGTCGCAGTAAATCGGTGCGAGGCAACTACCATAGCTTTGGGTCGCCATGAGAGACCATCGGCGAAGAAAGACTGCGGCAAACAATTGGCACAACCCCATGCGCTCCCGTGTGGTGCTGGCCAGCGAGCTCCCCAGGGGGGAGGAGGACCGGTGGGTCCTGTGCGGTGCTGGCCAGCGAGCTCCCCAGGGGGGAGGAGGACCGGTGGGTCCTGTGCGGTGCTGGCCAGCGAGCTCCCCAGGGGGGAGGAGGACCGGTGGGTCCTGTGCGGTGCTGGCCAGCGAGCTCCCCAGGGGGGAGGAGGACCGGTGGGTCCTGTGCGGTGCTGGCCAGCGAGCTCCCCAGTGGGGAGGAGGACCGGTGGGTCCTGTGCGGTGCTGGCCAGCGAGCTCCCCAGGGGGGAGGAGGACCGGTGGGTCCTGTGCGGTGCTGGCCAGCGAGCTCCCCAGGGGGGAGGAGGACCGGTGGGTCCTGTGCGGTGCTGGCCAGCGAGCTCCCCAGGGGGGAGGAGGACCGGTGGGTCCTGTGCGGTGCTGGCCAGCGAGCTCCCCAGGGGGGAGGAGGACCGGTGGGTCCTGTGCGGTGCTGGCCAGCGAGCTCCCCAGGGGGGAGGAGGACCGGTGGGTCCTGTGCGGTGCTGGCCAGCGAGCTCCCTAGGGGGGAGGAGGACCGGTGGGTCCTGTGCGGTGCTGGCCAGCGAGCTCCCCAGGGGGGAGGAGGACCGGTGGGCCCTGTGCGGTGCTGGCCAGCGAGCTCCCCAGGGGGGAGGAGGACCGGTGGGTCCTGTGCGGTGCTGGCCAGCGAGCACCCCAGGGGGGAGGAGGACCGTTGGGTCCCTTTCTGGCCTGTGGGCCATTTGTAGGGTAGATTCATGGTTGTGCAATTTAGTTACACTTCTCACACACCTTAGGCTTTGAAAGCCTTCAATTGCAAGGTCCGGATGCGGTCACACTTGAGTTGGTTGATTGAACAATGTTGTGGTGAGTTTGAAATGGTGCTCAAGTCTAGCAGATCAAAAAAAAAAAAAAAAATGCACACACATACAAAGGGCTCAAACGCCGGCAGATTTACCGTATCCGAATACAGATGCATGCACTCTTCGTAATGTGAGCACGGTTGTGACTGCTACAAGGGTTGGGCTCCTACAAGCATCACATCCATCATCACACAAAACACCAATGCCCGTTACCCGAGTCCTCCTATACTGCTTGCGAGTTTGTGTTCGAAGCTCACGTGTCAGCCGACTCTCATAAATCAACATTACTGTGCTACACTCGGGGCAACACTTCATCCAAGGCAACAGCAGAGAATACAGCATCACCATCAACATCGGTGCCAGCCTCTCCTTCGTGCGTGATTGGACCTCTACCGACATGTCATCGCATAAGCCACAAACAACCTTTACCATCTCGTTAGCATGACCCCGTCTCATGTCTCAGAAGACCCATTTGAAACGAAGCTCGTTGCCATTGCAAACACAAGAAAGCAAGCTTTCTAAATTGATATGGTACGGAAGAGGCGAGCAAAGCTGCCCCACCGACGATCACAACCCCAGTTGCATACACGAGTCACTTAGCACCGTACCCCGAAACAGACACGAACACTTACACGCGTATGGACATGTACGCACACATACATATACAGCCTCACACATACACAGACGCACACAAACAAGCAAAAAAAACATACTGCTAATAAACATGCAAGTATAACGAATGAAGTGCAGCCATGTATAAATCATCGCTAACCTGTCACCCTCCCTCCCTCCCTCCCTCCCTCCCTCCCTCCCTCCCTCCCTCCCTCCCTCCCTCCCTCCCTCCCTCCCTCCCTCCCTCCCTCCCTCCCTCCCTCCCTCCCTCCCTCCCTCCCTCCCTCCCTCCCTCCCTCCCTCCCTCCCTCCCTCCCTCCCTCCCTCCCTCCCTCCCTCCCTCCTCCCTCCCTCCCTCCCTCCCTCCCTCCCTCCCTCCCTCCCTCCCTCCCTCCCTCCCTCCCTCCCTCCCTCCCTCCCTCCCTCCCTCCCTCCCTCCCCTCCCTCCCTCCCTCCCTCCCTCCCTCCCTCCCTCCCTCCCTCCCTCCCTCCCTCCCTCCCTCCCTCCCTCCCTCCCTCCCTCCCTCCCTCCCTCCCTCCCTCCCTCCCTCCCTCCCTCCCTCCCTCCCTCCCTCCCACCCTCCCTCCCTCCCTCCCTCCCTCCCTCCCTCCCTCCCTCCCTCCCTCCCTCCCTCCCTCCCTCCCTCCCTCCCTCCCCTCCCTCCCACCCTCCCTCCCTCCCTCCCTCCCTCCCTCCCTCCCTCCCTCCCTCCCTCCCTCCCTCCCTCCCTCCCTCCCTCCCTCCCTCCCTCCCTCCCTCCCTCCCTCCCCTCCCTCATCTCCCTATCCCCCATCCCTTCTCTCTGCAGAAAACAAAGGCTGCAGCTTGAACTCCCTGCACAGGAAAAGGAAAAACAGCAAATGCGACTCATTTCCTGCACAAACAAAAACAAAAGCAGAGAATACAACTTTGTATGAGTTGCACAGGAAAATAAAACCATAGAATGCTGCTCACACGCTGCACGAGAAACATGATTTCAATGCACAAGAAACAAAACCAGCGCCATATAAATTGACGATGAATAATGCAATATACAAAGAAATGATGAGTGGTGAAAAACAACCAAAATTGACATCTCACAAGATGAATTGATAGTAAATATTGTGGCACCACACATACCCCACCAAAATGCATGCAATACCTTGCAGCCACCCTTGCATTCACTTTCACATTCACCCTCGTACTCATGCTCGCACTCACTCTCGCACTCACTTTCCCACCCACTCACGCACACTCAACTTTTCTTAGCGAACACTCAATCCCTAGCACTAACCCTTGCTCTCATGCTCGCGCTCACTCTTGCACATGGACACACAATTGCACGAACCCTCGCACGCACCCCTAACTCACCATTGCACTCACCGTCAGACTCACCCTCATACTCACTCTCGCATCCACTCTCGCATCCACTCTCGCACCCACTCTCACACCCACCCTCACACTCACTTTCGCACTCACCTTCACACTCATGCATGCACTCACGCTTCCAATCATACTTGCACTCGCGTTCGCACTCACCACTGCAATCACATCCACACCATTTCACCAAACCTCACACTCACACACACACACACACCCACACTCGCACTCACCCATGAACTCGCCCTCTCAATCACCCTCACGAGGGACGAGCACGAGTATAGAATATGAAAAAGCAAGAGTTTTTTTCACACACTCTCACGCGCACTCTCACGCGCTCTCTCACGCGCTCTCTCACGCGCGCTCTCACGCGCTCTCTCACGCGCACCCTCACGCGCACTCTTAGGCACACTCTCATTCGCTCTCTCTCACATGCGCCCTCACGCACTCTCACGCACATTCTCTCTCTTTTGCGCTCCCTCACGCGCTCTCTCACGCGCTCTCTCACGCGTTCTCTCGCGCGCTCCCTCACGCACTCTCTCGGCGCTCTCTCACGCGCTCTCTCACGCGCTCCCTCACGCGCTCTCTCACGCGCTCTCTCACGCGCTCTCTCACGCGCTCTCTCACGCACACCCTCATGCGCACTCTCAGGCACACTCTCACGCACTACCTCTTGCGCTCACTCTCTCGCACTCTCACGCTCATTCTGTCTCTCACGCGCTCTCTCACGCGCTCTCTCATGCGCACCCTCACGCGCTCTCTCACGCGCTCTCTCACGCGCTCTCTCACGCGCTCTCTCACGCGCTCTCTCACTCGCACTCTCACGCACTCTCTCACGTGCTCTCTCTCACGCACTCACTCACGCGCCCTCTCATGCGCTCTCTCACACGCTCTCTCACGCGGTCTCTCACTCGCACTCTCACTCGCACTCTCACGCGCTCTCTCACGTGCTCTCTCTCACGCACTCACTCACGTGCCCTCTCATGTGCTCGCTCACGCGCTCTCTCACGCGCACTCTCACGCGCACTCTCACGCGCACTCTCACGCGCACTCTCACGCGCACTCTCACGCGCTCTCTCACGCGCTCTCTCTCACGCACTCACTCACGCGCTCTCTCACGCGCTCTCTCACGCGCTCTCTCACGCGCTCTCTCACGCGCACCCTCACGCGCACTCTCAGGCACACTCTCACGCGCTCTCTCTCTCGCGCTCTCTCTTTCGCACTCTCACGCGCATTCTCTCTCTCACGCGCTCTCTGACGCGCTCTCTCATGCGCACCCTCACGCGCTCTCTCGCGCGCTCCGTCTCTCCCCTTCTTCAAATGAAAGTGTCATGCAAGAGGAGACCAATTGACACACAAAATGCAGGAAGAGAGAAAAAAATACAACAAAAAGGAAATTTCAGAGGGGGGAGGGAGGATGAAAGGAGCGGGAACGCACCGGGAACGCACCTGATAACCACGGTGCCTCAGAAAACAATCCCCGCTCGCGCTTGAGCACCAACCCGCGCTTGAGCACCAACCCGCGATTGCGCACCAATCTGCGCTTGCACACCAATCCGCGCTTGCGCTCCGGGCGCGACGGACAGCGGGTAGGAGGGAGGGCGATGGCGGGGAGGAGGAAGAGGCGACGGCGCGGAGGAGGGAGAGGCGACAGCGCGGAGGCGGGAGAGGCGACGGCGAGGAGGGAGAGGCGACGGCGCGGAGGCGGGAGAGGCGACGGCGAGGAGGGAGAGGCGACGGCGCGGAGGCGGGAGAGGCGACGGCGAGGAGGGAGAGGCGACGGCGAGGAGGGAGAGGCGACGGCGCGGAGGAGGGAGAGGCGACGACGCGGAGGAGGGAGAGGCGACGGCGCGGAGGAGGGAGAGGCGACGGCGCGGAGGAGGGAGAGGCGACGGCGCGGAGGAGGGAGATGCGACGGCGGGGAGGAGGGAGAGGCGACGGCGGGGAGGTAAGGGAGAGGAGATGGCGGGGTGGGACGGAGTAATTGTGAGTTGGGAGGAAGAGGCGATGGCGGAGTGGGAGGGAGAGGTGACGGCGGAGAGTGAGGGAGAGGATACGGGGGATGGGAGGGAGGGCGACGGCTGGGTGGGAGGTAGTAGCGACGGCGGGGTGTTAGGAGAAATGGCTAAAGAAATTGGGGCTGGGAGGAAATGGAGTGAGCAAAGCAGGTGCTTCTCGAAAGGAACCAAGAACAAGAACCAAGATGTGAAGAGCTTCGAATTCGAGTTTGACAGCTGTGAAAGGGACAGATATCTTGGGCTTGGTTGGGGTCGTGGTGGAGCTGGCGAGAAATTTCCTGCCAGCGCGGAATGAGGCACCAAAACTTGGGCACTTGGCAATACTAAAAAAACGCTCACACTAGAATTCTGTCACGTGAAAACACATGCGTGCCACGCTATCCAACTAGCTGACACATCAGATACGCGGTACAGTAGTTGCAAACATAAAACCCGCTATAGTAAGTACTTCTACAAGTATCATAATGTTTATTACACAAGGGACACAACTCTACGCAACCCTTCCAACGTAAACGTCGAATCTTTGTATCGAAACTCACTTTTGAATCCCTTGACCCTTGAATTTTGATACCCTTGACCCTCGCTCGGCTTACTGCCAGCGTGTCCAGTCAGAATGAGCCTTTTTTATTTTTATTTTTTTATTGAATGTGCATGCACTAGTCAACGCAATTACATCCTCAGTCGTAACTGTATTCAGGAGAGGACCGACACCCCAGCCTTGACTGTGGTGCCCCCCTCCTAACTGCTTCTATGGGGGACGGAAAAATGTCATAGGATTCTGCCAGATGGATAGGAAATCATCCTTCCACGTGGCTTGTTCGCCTGGTATGCATATCCTGTCCACCGCCGCCTTTTCGTCTTTAGCCAACCCCCTCCATGGGTCACGTGGCACCATTGCTGCCTCGTCTCGGTCGACCTTCCTTGACCTTTCTGCCCTGTAAATCCGCGCATGCCTCATGAAATCACAAATCGCCGCCCTTGCCACCTTCTTCCTTTGAAATCTTTCATTCCGGTAAACTGCATCCACCCTGGCCAACCAGATGCGCCGCATCGTCACCGCCGTCAGCGTGCCCCCCGGGAAACCAGACTTCGTGGACCTCTCTTGGAAAAGCAGGTCCCCCAGCGAGTGCACATGCACACCTGGGTCCGTTCGCTGGAGCGAGCTGAGCAGCGCGCCGATGACCGGCTGAATCACCGGGCAGGACCACATGCAGTGCTCTAGGGTTTCAGGGGCCCCATAGTGTGGACAGACGCCCTTGGGGCCCAAGAAAACCAACCTCCCTCCAACTTGGAGGTTCTTGCTGTGCATCCTCAGCACCACGTCTCTTGCCCTGTAAGGGGTGACTAGCGAGTCCCGCCGCTGCAGCACGGCTTTCCAGTCGATTTTCCTCCCCCAGTCATCTTCCCATTCGCCTCGCCTCCATGAGGTCGTCACTGGGCCCGTGAGCACCCTCCGAATTACCCTGGGCGCCGCTGGTTTCATGTCCTCGCCCACCAGCCTTGTCTGACACAGCTTCGCCCTTGGATCTCCCATCGCGCCTTAGACCGTTCCCACACGGATCGCCACCGGCACGACGTCCTTAATTGGGAATTTGACCGCAACAGGCCTTGGCGGGGCCACCAGGTTTGTGTCATCCTCGCATCTTAGGTCGTCAGTCTCCACTCTCCCATCACTGCTGACCCCGCGCACCGTCCAGTACATGTTCTCCTGCGTGCGCTGTAACACCGTGCGGACCACCTTAGCCGCTGCCACCACTGTTGTCGCCGTCCTTGGTGCTGCCAACAAGGCTTTCCAATCTTTTGGTGCCGCCTCATACGCTTTCGTCGCCCACCTGGCTGACGCCACACTCCCGAAAGCCTCCGTTAGCTCCTTAACCCCTTTTATCTCTCTGCGCCCATCTTCCTTTGCTTCCAACAGGTCCCCAATTGTTGTTCTCCATATGGCTGCTGTCCCTTTTTGGTTCCCGAAAGGGCTGCCCCCCCGGAACATGATACGGCGATTGAAACACAGTAGCTCATGCTCCACCTCCCAGACATTGCTCGGCTCCGGTAGTTCCGCGTATGGCGACCCCCAGAAAACCTCCGTCACCGCTTTCCATCTCTGGCTGCCCCTCTCCCAGTGCTTGCCCGCAAACTTGCGGGCATACAGAGTTGCCGTGCCCTGCGGTAGCGCCGCCGCCTTCTCCGCGAGCCATTTCTTTGTCACGTTCGTCTCCGTCAGCAGCTTCCCCACCATTCGGATCGCCAGACTGTCCAGACGGGCTTTCGGGTCGACCAGTCCCAGGCCCCCCTCCTTCTTCGGCAATCGGGCAAGTTCCCCGCTCCAGAGGACGAAGAGCTTCTCCGACGTGGCCTGGCCGCTGGATACATAGTTGTCACATGTTTTCCGGATTTTGGCCCACAACTCCTCCGGCGGCGGGTAAATCTGCGCTTGGAAAAGGAAAACCGGCATTATGTAACTGTTAATGACCGTGATCCTCGCCGCTGTTAGCAGATGTTGGTTTTCCCACTTCACCAACTCTCCTTTCCCCTGTTCCCACGCTTTCTCCCAGGACGACGACGCGTCCCCATCCGGTGTGACCCAAACCCCGAGCAGGCGTTCCGGCACCCCATCTTCCGCTCACTTGAAATCAACTCCTGGAAGCGACGTCCTCCCCTTGTTCCTCCCGAGTGGCATGATTACTGACTTCTCGCGATTTGTGTGCAGGCCCGATGCCTCTCCGAACCATGCCAAAGCCTCCGCCGCCGAGTGGAGCTGCTCCGCCCCCTGGAGGATCAGGGACGTGTCGTCCGCGTAGCCTACGTACGCCACTTCTTCTCCCCCGTCCGCCTTCACGCCCAGACTCCTTCTTCTGACCTCCGAGCACAGCGGTTCAAGCGCACACAGGAAGAGGTATGGTGCCAACGGGCAACCCTGCCTCACCCCTCTCCGCATTTCAACCTTTTCGCCAATCCATCCGTTGATCGCTATTCTTGTACATGACCCTCGATGTAGCCCTTCTGTCCACCGTCTGAACTCGGCAGGGACTCCCAGCTTGCTCAGTGTCTCGAAGAGGAACGGCCACGACACTGTGTCGTAAGCTTTTTGGAAATCTACCATCAGGAGGTACCAGTCCTCCCCGCCATTCTCCGCTGCTTCAATCGCATCTGCTACAACCGCTACCGCGTCCTCCAGGCTCCGGCCCGGGATGAACCCGTGCTGCTCGGCAGAGATGATCTGATGGAGCTCTTTTTTGAATATGTTCGCCAAAACCTTCGCCAACACCTTGTACACCATGTTCAGCAGCGTGATCGGTCGATAGTTAGACAACTGATCCCTCGCCCCCTTTTTGTGAAGCAAGACCGTGACCGCCGTCGTGGCAGACTCCGGCAGCACCCCCGACTCCTCAAACTTCTGGATGAAATCCATAAAAACTCCCCCCAGCAGATCCCAATGGGCGACAAAAATTTCTGCCGGCAGGCCGTCTTGACCTGGTGACTTTCCCTTTGGCAGCCCCACTAACGCCGCCTTCACCTCCTTCTCCGTCCACGGTGCCTTGAGTCTCTCCACTGCATCCGCCGGTAAAGTACGGTCGACCTTGTAATCCAGCCTCGCTCCCGGCACAGCGGTGGTCTCCATGAAAGCCTCAGCGAAGTACGCCGATGCTGCCTTGAGGACCTCCTTCGAGCCGCTGAACTTTCCCCCTTTGAACTGCACTTCCCTGATAATTGTACGCTCTTTCCGCATCTTCACTTTGGCCGACAGATAAGGCGACGGCACTTCCCCTTGAAGTTCTGCTCTGAGCCCTGCGAAAACCTCCAGTCGTTCCCTTTCATTTTCTCGGTAGGACTCCAGTTGCTCCTCCGTGGACAGCAGCTTCGTCCTGACTGTGTCGTCAACTGGACCCCCCATCTCCAGATGTCGCAGCCTCTCCACCTCTTCAACTAGGTGCCGTTGTGTCGCCGTGATTGTTTTCTTTCCTCCCTCTCATGTGCCCTCAGCCCCGCCGTAAGCCGCGAGAACGTTTGCTCGAGAGATCCTTTTCCGCCGTTGAAAGGTGTCTGAACCACCCGCTGAATCACCTTCCGGATCCCTTTTCTGTCTTTCCGTGTTGCCAGGAACCTCCAGAGACCCGGACCGTACTCCTGTGACGAGGCGATACGCAGGGACAGCCTGATTGCGAACCAATGATCTGTCAACGTCCTCGGCACTTCTGCATGACCCGCCTCCAGAAGGCTCCCGAGCAACGACGTCGATAACAGCGCGCGATCAATGCGAGATTTCGACATCGTCGCCCTCACTCGGAACGTGTACTCCCTCTCCGTGGGATGAAGCGCACGGAAAGCGTCGCGAAGGTCGTGCGACGGCCACATACTGATGAATCTCTTGTTCTCCTTCCCAGACCCCGCCCCCGATGACTTATCCAGGTCCGGGTCCGCTATTATGTTCAGATCTCCCACCACCACCAGGTGTGCAGACGATGGTTGTGCCTACACGAATGGTGTCAAGACCTCGGCATGGAACCTTGCCCTGTTGCATGCTTGCGCCGGGAGATACGCCGCAATCAGCCGGAATGACATTTCTCCTCCCTCCACCGTCACCCCAAGCAGCCTCCCCGATGGATCCGCTGGGATGTCCGAGAAACGTATATGTCGGGCGAAAGCAAGGACAGCAACTCCTCCAGTTGCCTGACTTGGGCTGACAGCAGCCCACGCCTTCGGTTTCAGTTCACTCCAAAAATTATGATCTTCCTTGATCCGTGTGTCAGATAAGACGACTATGTCTACTGCTGAGCAAAACCACCGGCGATTTTTTCTTCTTTTGCCGCTGCTACCGAGGCCGTTCACATTGACCCCGCAGATGGTAAGGTTGGATGTATTACCCATTAATCCACTCTTCAGAGAGCCCCACGCATCCACGGGCTTTATTACACAAGATGATACACACGACACATCTCGCTGATGCTAACTTCTCCCTGTTCAGAATACATGTGTCCCCTGCCGATGACCAGCACAGATCCGTACTGCACCATGCAACCACTACTTCCCGAACTCCTTCCGGACATCCGCCAGGCCCTGCTCCCCCCTGCTCTGGCGCGTAGCAGCTCCCGCCTTGAGCAGACCGCTGCAGTGGCGCTGCGACTGAGCATGCTCCATAGCCTGTTCGAAATTGCTTCCATGAGCCTTTCCGCACTCCTCTTGCACGCAGACCCACTCGTCCCGGACCCCTCCCACTGAGGTAAGGGAAATCGTCGGGTTCGCCATGATGATCTTCGCCGCCGCTGACAGCTTCAGAGAAGCAGCTGCTCGGGGGGGAGGCGGCACAGAGATCAGCTCGGAAGCCCGCTGTTGCAACCACCTGCAAAGCAAAGTAAGCGTGTCTGACTTTACCGTTAATCTCATGAGCACGCAGCAGCGACAGACCCCAGTTGCCGATATTGTTCTGCCTCTCCTTGACATACTCATCGTGGAAACATGTCATGTGCATGCCGTTGCAAAAACCGCAGGTGAGAGCAGGAAATGATACAAGGAGATCAATGCCATGAACCTTGTCAGTGACGCGATGCCACCACTTATACTTATCCCCCGGGTGCCTGTAGACCAGGCCCTTGATCTTGTCCGTGTCCGACCCCGAGACAGGATCCAGGACCCTATGAAACGCCGAACCCTTGCGGAAAGCCGTACGACCCCGCTTCATCAACAACGCAGTCACGAGATTCTTCTGGATCATCTCCGGTAAGATCACCGCCGGAACCCCCTTAAGGAGCACTTCAATCGCCTCCGGGTGGACCGCACGCTCCTTCAGGTACGCGGTGTTCTCCGGATGCTGCCAGCCGAGTGTCAGCTTCTTGTCATTCATCGTGTAATGATCCACCTCCCGGCTCCAGACGAAATTCGCATCCGCAGCCTGCAGAAACACCACCTGCATCCGGCCGAAATGCTTCTTGGACAGGTAGGTGGCCGACAACTGCTGAAACTTGGTCGTGTCCCTGACATTCTCCGAGAGGTGCTTCCCCCACACCAGCAGCAGGTGCCGAACCGTGTTGGTGGTGCGAGGGACTTCCTTGCTCCAGGCGAACGGGACCAGCAGGGTAATGGCAAAACCCGCCTGCGCAGCGATTACGTTGAGAATCTCCGGGTCTTGGCATTCGTCCGGATCATCGCTGAGGTAGCCGTCGCCGTTGTCCTTGTCCTCCACCTTTGCCTTGCCTTTGTCCAGCACACCAGGCGCCGACGAAGAGCTTCCAGCAGCAGATGGCTTAACCGTGCCATTTTCCTTTCCTCCCGCCGGCAGATCATCCAGCTTGAGAGCAGACGTACGGGCCGACAGCGTGTTAATCACTTCCACACCGAAAGGACCAGCCACTCCGTTGAAAAGCGTCTTCGGAGTGACCGGATCTGGTCGCGCGTCAACCGCCTTCTTCCCGTGCGCAGCCGCAACGCCTGGAGCGGACGAGACCGGCGCATCACCAGCAGGAGCCATGGGGTGATGATGAAGCTCAGAAAGAGGATCTGCAGAAGTAGATCGTAAAAGCGAACTGAGCCCCAGAAGCTCTTGCAGTGACTTGTGTCTTCCCTTCTTCCTACGCATGTATTTGTAGGTGAGTCATAATGAGCTGCCAGGGGCGCAAATTGACTCATTCTTACTGTTTGTGTTGGCAGGGAATCATTCCCAGCCAACTTGCGCGAGATTCTCATTGACTGCCCTATATAGTTTCGACTCGATTCAAATCGCAAGAGCGAGATGTACAGTTTGGTGTAAACCAGAACACATTTCATATATGTCATTATAAAAGCGCCGGCGCTTATAAATTTCCTCGATTATAAGCGAACCCCCTAAAAACAGTGTTTTTTTATACCCCCAGGGGCGCTTCTATCCGGGGGGAGACGGTACTCTGACAGCCGTGAAATTACCGTAACACAGAATAATGCCTAGCCTATGTATAATGCCTATGCCCAGCAGAAGACTGTGTACCTACCAGAACTTACTACGGTACAACTCAGTGTCGGACAATGAGCTTACAAAAACAGTAAAAGGATCAGAGAGCAGTTCAGTCCAACCAGTGTAAGACCTCCCAGCTTCTGGTTCTTTTCGTGCCACGCATTGTCCTTTGGCCAGGAGCAGGTTACTCTCACGCTACACTTATATACACTGTATGCGCAGCAGCATGCATGCGCTAAATCCAATTAGGCCGGCACGACGGGTTACCCGCCAGTGCAGCGAAGTACGGGTGCGGGAGCACCATGCGCGACAGCTGCTGCTCCTCCATGGGCCTCTTGAGTCGACTTAAGGTTACCTGCTAGAGCAGCGAAGAACGGGAGCACCACGCATGACAGATGCTGCACCTCAAAGGGCTTCGTCATGTACCCATCCACCCCATCCTTCGCACACCGCTCACGCGTACCCACTCCCATGTGAGCAAGGTGACTTTTGAGTCGACTCAAAAGTTACCCGCCAGCGCAGCGAAGAACGGGAGCACCACTCGCGACAGCTGCTGCCCCTCAATGGGTAGACGGCTTTTGAGACGTCTCAAAAGTGAAAAACGGGAGCACCACTTGCGACAGCTGCTGCTCCTCAATGGGTTTCGTCATATACCCATCCATCCCCGCCTTGGCACACCGCTCCCGCGTGCCCGCACCCACATCAGCAGTCAGCGCTATCACCAGCAGCCGTCCCTTCCCTGCCCTCGCTGCACCCGTCACTGCTGCTTCTGCTGCCGCCCCTGCTGGTGCGCTTCGTGGGGACGTTGATGCTGACGGGTTTCTGGTGGCTGGTGGGATTCTTATATCTGATAGGCTTTTTGGAGAAATTGATGCAGAGGGTGATGGGTTTGCAGGTGGGGTTGATGGGGATGGGGTTGCTGCTGTGGTTGGTGGCGCTTCCTGCTCCATGCTGCGAATGCGGGAGACTGCTTCGTAGCCGTCCATTCCCGGCATCTGACGGTGAAATAGCCATGGAGAGATTGGGAAGAGGAAGAGGAAGTGAGAGGAATTAGAATTGAGGACTTGCTAACAAATGTGTGTGTGTGTGTGTGTGTGTGAGTGTGTATGTGTGTGTGTGTGTGTTGATATGATGCTCTACTGCGCTGCTATAGTCTTATGTACTCCAGAGAGCATCGCATCATTACGTCATTAGGTTTGCCTCATACATAAGATAAGAAAATAAATATAACTACTTATACATACGGTCAACAGCACATACATACCATATAGATATACATATATATATACACATATATATACATATATATCCATATATATTATATACATACATATACATATACATATATATATACATATATATATGTATGTATACATAATTATGTATACGAAAGTGTGCAATGAAAAATTCAGCATAACGGGGTGGTGAGCGAGAGCATACCTGAATGTCCATGAAGACACAGTCAAGCGGCAAGGAAGCACCGTCGCACATCTCCTGGACTCGCTTCACCGCCTTGGCCCCCCCATCCACCTCCTCCACGCTCACGCCATACCTCTGCAGCATGCGGCCTATCACCTGTAGGGGAGGGAGGGGAGGGAGGGGAGGGAGGGGGGGAGAGAGGAGGGAGGAGAGGGAGAAAGAGCGGGCTGGGGAGCACAGTTACAGCACTCATTCACGCCTCACTGCCTTGGTCCCCCCATCCACCTCCTCCACGCTCACGCCATACCTCTGCAACATGCGGCCTATCACCTGGTGGGAAAGGAGGGGAGAGCGGGACGGCAGGCTGAGGAGCCCATTCACAGGGATCATTCACGCTCGCCGCTGCAGCATGCGGCCTATCACCTGGCGGGGGAGGGATGGGAGGGAGGGCGAGCGGAGGGCGGATAGAGAGAAAGCCAAAGGCTGAGGAGCACAGTCACAGCACTCATTCACACGATACCGCTGCAGCATGCGGCCTATCACCTGCCGGGGAAGGAGGAGAGGGAGGGAGGGGAGGGAGGAGAGGGAGGGAGGGGAGGGAGGGAGGGAGGGAGGGAGGGAGGGAGGGAGGGAGGGAGGGAGGGAGGGAGGGAGGGAGGGAGGGAGGGAGGGAGGGAGGGAGGGGAGGGAGGGGAGGGACGGAGGGAGGGGAGGGAGGGAGGGGAGTGAGGGAGGGGAGGGAGGGAGGGGAGGGAGGGAGGGAGGGGAGGGAGGGAGGGAGGGAGGGGAGGGAGGGAGGGGAGGGAGGGAGGGGAGGGAGGGAGGGGAGGGTCACTTTGCAGCGGCTGGTTACCTTGCGGTTGACCATGTTGTCGTCCACCACGAGCACGCGCCGTCTGTTGAGGCGCCTCAAAGATTTTATCACAAGGTGCCTAGGCTTCCAGAGTAGAAAATATTGAAGTATACACTCAATTACCTTGCGGTTGACCATGTTGTCATCTACCACTAGCACGCGCCGCCCACTTAAAGCCTGCGTCAGCTGCTGCGCACTGCTGCTGCTCGCCCTGCGCACTGCCACGGGGGAGGGAGTGCCTGCTCCTGCGGCTGCCGCTGCTGCTGCTGTCGCCGCCGCTGCTGCCATCCCCGCCGTCACTGCTGCTGCTCCTGGTGCTACTGGTGATAGAGTGCGTGGGCTCAGTTGACTCGGTTGACTGAGTTGACTCCAGGGGTTTTGTCTGCCAGCCTGTGCCACCCCCCTGCTTCTCGCCCCACCCCCACCGCTGTTGCTTCTGCTCGGCCGATCGTCCCCAATGGCACGCCTCACAACGTCGAAACTGAATCGCTTCCCCCCCCCCTCCCTGCGTAGACTCACACTCCCCCTGTTCCCACTCACACTCCCCCTGTTGCCACACGCACTCCCCTTGTTCCCACTCGCATCCTCCCCACCCCCACCCCTGCCCCCATTCCCACCCCCACCCGTGCCCCTGCCTGCCACACTCCTGCTGCCCTTACCCTCCCCATCCTTCTTCTGGGGGGACGCAGCGTTCCCCCCAGAAGCCTCCCTTCCCCCCACGGGGGTAAGGCTTTCCCCAAACTGCGGGCTCTCCCACCCCTTGCCCAGACTGCCGCCCGGGAAGTCCAGAAAGCCGCCCCAGCTCGCCGCCCGCACGTGGTGGGTGGGCGGCAGAGCGTTGGAGGATGGCGGCGAGATGGAAGCAGCAGGAGATGCTTTAGAGGAATTCAGAGGCCCGGCCTTGCTTCCTGCCTCGGATCCTGCTGCTCCTGCCCCTGCTGTCCTTGCCCCTGCGTCTGCCCCTATCCTTGCCCCTGCGTCTGCCCCTATCCCAAGCCCCGCTGCTGCTGGTGCTGCTGCATTGGCTACTGATTGTGCTGATGCTGGTGTTGGGGTCAGGAGTCTAGAGGAGGAGTTAGAGGCAGGGGATACGAGTGAAGGAGACAGTGATACTACAGAAGATGACTCTAGGTTCGGTGATACTAGAGGGGGTGGTGCTAGGTTCGGTGATGCTACAGGGGGTGACGTTAGGTTCGGTGATGCTAGAGGGGGTGACGCTAGGTTCGGTGATACTAGAGGGGGTGACGCTAGGTTCGGTGATACTAGAGGGGGTGACGTTAGGTTCGGTGATACTAGAGGGGGTGACGCTAGGTTCGGTGATACTAGAGGGGGTGACGCTAGGTTCGGTGATACTAGAGGGGGTGACGCTAGGTTCGGTGATACTAGAGGGGGTGACGCTAGGTTCGGTGGAACTAGAGGGGGTGAAAGAAGAGTGGGAGAGGACGTCACTAAAGGGGGAGCTTGGCTGTAAGGAGAGACAAGATGAGCAGTCAGGCCAGCAGCAGCAGATGCAACATTAGTGCCAGCAGCAGCAGCAGCAGCAGCAGTAGTGGTGGCAGAATCAGGGCCAGCCACACCATTTCCATCACCACAGAGAGGCCTCATTGTTGCCAATCCTCTCCGCCCTCTTTCTCCCTCCCCATTTTTGCCCACCCCTATCCCCTCAATCTCCTGCTCCAACAAATCCCCCCACTCGCTCACACTCTCTCCCTCACTCAAAACATCCCAATGGCTATTCTCCTCCTCCACACACACTCCTTCAGTCCCTCCCCTCTCCTCCCTGCCCCATGTCCCCTCCACTCTCCCCTCCTCTCTCCCCTCCCACTCCCCACCCCTGCTCCTTCCCTCCCCCTCCTCAGCTTTTCCCTCCCGCTCCTCCCCGCCCCCCTGCCTATCCCCCTCCCCTTCCCCCTCCGCTTCCTCCTCCCCTTCCCCCTCCCCCCCTTCTCCCTCCCCTTCCCCCTGCCCTGATCCCCCCATGAGAATCTCCCCCAGACAGCTGGCAAGGGCACTCATGCGTACAGGCTTGGAAAGGCAGGTTCGGAACCCAGCCTCGTTGGCAGCCTCGGCAAAGGCTGTGTCATGGTGAGACGATACGAGCACAGCGGCAATCCAGGGGGGTGAGCTGGCACTGTAGCTACTGTAGTTACTGTATCTATTACTGTATAAATTACTGTATAAATTACTGTATAGAGAATTGTTTTGACATCTGTCGCAGCTGCAGTTGCCACTGCGATTGCAGACGCCATTCCTACTTTGTGAATCTTCAGCCTCAGACGCAGCTGAAGCAGCAAGCGCAGCAGCAGCAGCGGCAGCAGAGACAGCAGCGGCAGCACCTGGAGCAGTGGCAGCAGCGGCAGCAGCAGCGGCAGCAGCAGCGGCAGCAGCGGCAGCAGCAGCAGCAGCATCTGGAGCAGAGGCAGCAGCAGCAGCAGCAGTGAGGGAGTCAAGGGAGGGCAAGTGGAGCATCCAATCAGTCATGGAGAGCGTTGAATGCAGCCCACGCAACCCCTCTGTGCCCCCGTACCCATACCCCCCCCTTGCAGCTGCAGTCACACCATCACTGCCAGCTGCACCAGCAGCAGCAGCTGCAGCTATGGTGGTACTGGTTGGTGGGGCAAGCGATCCAGCAGGGTGACTGTCTGTCTCTCTTCCTTCCCTCACCATCCCTGCCCCTTCCCTCCCCATCCCTGCCCCTGGCCTCACCATCCCTGCTGCTACCATCGCCTCCCATGCCTTACCTTGCCATGTCAACCTGCCTGGATGATCATGCTCCTCTGCATGCTCCTCCTGCGCCCCATCCCCCTTCTCCTCCTTCTCCCCACCCATCCCCTCCTCCTGTTGCCTTTCCTCCTCCTCCTCCCTCTCCTCCTCCCTCTCCTCCCCCTCCTCCTCACCCTCTTCCTGTTCCTCCTCCTGCTGTTGCCTCTCAAGCCACTCGTCATTGACAAACACAACCACCGCCTGCATCAAAGGCTGCTGCAAAGGCTGCATCATACGCGCCTCACCAGGAGCAGAGCTGATGCCGAACGTGGAGTTGAGCACCGGCATGCCGAACCTGTTGAGCAGGCTCTCCAGCACCCCGAGCCTCACCGGCCGGTCGTCCAGCAGGATCGCTCCCAGCCTGGCCCGAACCACAGCTTCCTTGATCCCGCTCAGGCTTGCCGCTCCATCCCTGTCTTCCAAACCAAAAGGAGAAAGGAAGGAGCTACTGAGAGGGCCTATGGCGTTAGCAGCATCAGCATCAGCAGCATAAGCACCAGCAGGAGCAGCACCATCTGCCACCCCAGCCACAGCACCATTTTCACTTCTGGAACACTTTCCCGAAGTGGAAACCAGGTCCGACTGCAGGTTCGGCACTGGCTCGGGCCGAGGCTGGTCGCAGGGCAGCAGGAGGTCAAAATAGAAGGTGCTGCCGAGGCCAGGGCGCGAGGAGAAGGAGAGGCGGCCGCCCATGAGGTCGACTAGGTGGCGGCTGATGGAGAGGCCGATTCCCGTGCCGCCGTGCGTGCGTGTCGTGCTGGGGTCCGCCTGGGTGAATGGCTTCAGGATGGTGCGCTGCGCTGCAAAGGGAATGCCCTCTCCTGTGTCCTGTGGTGGTGGGAGCGGAGCAGTGAAATGTACACATAGGGGGGTAGAGAGCAGGGAGGGGGGGAGGGAGTGAGAAGGGGCAGCATGTGCGTGCGCACTGTGCTGGGGTCCGCCTGGGTGAATGGCTTCAGGATAGTGCGCTGCGCTGCATAGGGAATGCCCTCTCCTGTGTCCTGTGGTGGTGGGAGCGGAGCAGTGAAATGTACACATAGGGGGGTAGAGAGCAGGGAGGGGGGGAGGGAGTGAGAAGGGGCAGCATGTGCGTGCGCACTGTGCTGGGGTCCGCTTGGGTGAATGGCTTCAGGATGGTGCGCTGGGCTGCATAGGGAATGCCCTCGCCTGTGTCCTGTGGTGTGAAGGTTGATTATGTGGGGCAGAGAGCAGGGGAGGACAGGGAAGAGGGTGGAAAGGTGCGCGATGGGGTCCGCTTGTGTGAATGGCTTCAGGATGGTGCGCTGGGCTGCATAGGGTATGCCCTCGCCTGTGTCCTGTGGTGGTGGGAGGGCGGATGAACGGGAGGGGACAGTAGGTATGAAAACGAGGGGAGGAAAGGGGAAGGGGAGTGAGAAGAGGCAGCATGTGCGTGTTGCATCGTGCTTGCGACTGCCGACCATTTCAACAAAATGCCGCCCATTTCAACAAAAAGCCACCCACTTCAACAGAATGCCACCCACTTCAACAAAATGCCGCCCACCTCAACAGAAACCACCAATCGAACGGTTTGAGGCCTGTCGTCTGCTGCCACTGCTGCGGCTGCCCCACTTCCTCCTCCCCCTGCTGCTCCTCCTGTCACCAACTGCTGCCTCTCCCACTCACAGTCCACTTCCACACACCCTTTCTTGCCTCCCTCCCCATCTCCCTCCTCATCCCCATCACGCCCCTCACCCCTCTCGCCCCCCTCGTCCCTCTCGCCCCCCTCTCCCCCTCGCAGCAGAGCCTGCTGCCGCCCCTGCTGCAGCCACGCGGCCCGCCTGGCAGCCAGCACGTGCCAGCTGTTGCAGCTCCTCACTGCCGCTCGCCCACTCAGTGTCACGTGCGCCTGCTGCTGCTGCTGCTGCTGCTGCAGCTGCTCCTCGTGATACTGCTGCTTCCCGCTGCTTGTAGGAGCAGCGGCAACAGCAGCAGCAGCGGCAGCAGCTGGTGGGCTGCTGGAATGCACCACCACTTCCAACAGCTCCTGCTCCTTCTCTTGCCTTCGCTCCCCTGCCAACCCTCTATCCCCTGCCAACCCTCTATCCCCTGCCAACCCTCTATCCCCTGCCAACCCTTGCACTCCAGCCAGTACCCCTTCATTGCCCACCTCCTGACACTCCATCTGCTCTTGCTCTTCCCGCTCCTCCTGCTCGTCTTCTAGCTGCTGATACGCCAGCAGCCGCTGCTCGCCCACGCATGCACCCAGGGGCAGCCCGCAAGCAGCGCTCATACCGCCCCGCCAAGCACTGCTGGCGACATCACCGCCACCTTCCATTGACGCAGCGGCAGCAGCACCTCCCCCAGCAGCACCTACCCCAGCAGAAGCACTCCCACCCCCAGCAGCAGCAGCAGCAGCAGCAGCAGCAGCGCGGGTCCTGCCACTCTTGGTGCGAGAGAGCAGCCTGGCAGGGCGAAAGGAGACAGTGGCTGTGGTGGTCGTGGTGTTCGTGGTGGTCGTGGCAATGGTTGACCCAGGGAGACATGCACCAGCTGCCTCACCATCCCTCTGCCTGCCACTCACCCAGGCTGCCTGCCATTCTCCTTCCCCCCCTTGCTCTCCACCACCAGTACCCTCAACGCCTTCTTTTCCACCATAGCTATCACGATTACCCCCACAGCCATTATCAGAGCTTTTTGAACCAGAAAAGAACAACGTGCGTAGCCCGGATAGTCCGTTCTTGCACGTGCTGCCGCTGTCTCCTTTTGTCGACCCAAGATTCGCCCGCCCCCCAGTGCCACCAGCCGTATGCGTGCTGTGTGATGCAGTGAGGCTGTTGATTGTCGTTGCAGCATCCCCCGAAGAGGAGGACGGGGCTGCCAGTGGCAGCTGCTTATCCTCTTCCTGCTGCTGCTGCTGCTGCTGCTGCTGCTGCTGCTGCTGCTGCTGCTGCTGCTGCTGCTGCTGCTGCTGCTGCTGCTGCTGCTGCTGTTGCTGCTGCTGCGGCTGGGAGACCCCTCGCTTGGACTGGGATCGGCTCGCGTCTCTCCGGAGGTCCTCGTGAATGTCGGCCGTGCGGATGGCGATGAAGATGTGTCCACGTTCGGTGTACTTGCACGCGTTGGACAGCAGGTTGATTAGTACCTGGTGTGGGGGAGGGGAGGAGGGGTGGGTAGACCGGGGGGGATGGCGATGAAGATGTGTCCACGTTCGGTGTATTTGCACGCGTTGGACAGCAGGTTGATCAGCACCTGGTGGGGACGGGGGGTTGTGGACGGCAATGAGGACGGCAATGAGGACGGCAATGAGGACGGCAATGAGGACAGCAATGAGGACGGCAATGAGGACGGCAATGAGGACGGCAATGAGGACGGCAATGAGGACGGCAATGAGGACAGCAATGAGGACGGCAATGAGGACGGCAATGAGGACGGCAATGAGGACGGCAATGAGGACGGCAATGAGGACGGCAATGAGGACGGCAACGAGGACGGCAACGAGGACGGCAATGAGGATGTGTCCCCGTTCGGTTCATGTGCAGCTTGTCAGAAGGGCCACGTGGAAGGCAGATTTCGAGCCGACACAAAAACCACCTGGACCGAACGGCTGCAGTTTGTTAGAGGAACCACCAGGAAGGAGCCCACACGAGCGGGTCAACATAGGCCGCCACCTGCAGGTGCGGCTTGGAGGTGCCTCGGATCGGAACAGATTTCAACCGTACGGAGACTAGAGTCCCTGCTCTCGCATCTCACCTGGCGGAAGCGCAGCGAGTCGCCGAGCACAGCACCAACACACGCGGGTCAACATAGGCCGCCACCTGCAGCAGCGGCTTGGGGGTGCCTCGAGAGTCAGGGGTCGTTTCAACCTTGTAGAAATCAGAGACTGGACTCTCGAGAGTCGGTTGGGAAATCAGGTCCAGTCTCTGATTTCACAACTGACCTGGCGGAAGCGCAGCGAGTCCCCGAGCACAGCAGCAGGCACGAGCGGATCAATGTACGCCGCCACCTCCAGCAGCGGCTTGAAGACGCCCAAAGAGAGGTCACAGCATTGGCCTTTGCAAAGACGCCCTAGCTTTGCACTAACCTGGCGGAAGCGCAGGGAGTCGCCGAGCACGGCTGCCGGCACGAGCGGATCAATGTATGCCGCCACCTCCAGCAGCGGCTTGAAGATGCCCAAAGAGAGGTCACAGCGTTGGCCTTTGCAAAGACGCCCTAGCTTTGCACTCACCTGGCGGAAGTGCAGCGAGTCCCCGAGGACAGCTGCCGGCACGAGCGGATCAATGTACGCCGCGACCTCCAGCAGAGGCTTGTCTCGGAAGTGCTCCATGAACATTGTGAGCACCTGCAGCCTGCAGGTGTGTAAGTGTCTCAAGGGGGATCACACTCTTGCAGAGAGTGCAGACCTAGCTTCCCCACTGACCTGGCGGAAGCGCAGTGAGTCGCCAAGTACAGATGCCGGCACCAGGGGGTCAATGTACGCAGCGACCTCCAGCAGCGGCTTGTCTCGGAAGCGCTCGATGAACATTGTGAGCACCGTGTCCACCTCTCCCCTCACGTCCATGGGAACATGCTCTAGCTGCATCTTCTGCGCCTGGTGGGTGTGGAGTGGCGTCGAGGATGGGAAGAACGGACATGGAAAGGGGAAGCTTGGGGTAAAGCGCTCGATGAACATTGTGAGCACCGTGTCCACCTCTCCCCTCACGTCCATGGGAACATGCTCTAGCTGCATCTTCTGCGCCTGGTGGGTGGGTGAGGGGAATCAGGGAGCACAGGGTTGGGAAAGGGAAAGTGGAGGGCTGGGGCGAGGGTAGCGCTCGATGAACATGGTGTGCACCGTGTCCACCTCGCCCCTCACGTCCATGGGGACGTGCTCCAACTGCATCTTCTGCGCCTGGTGGGTGTGAGGAGAGGGGTAACGGGGGAAAGGGAGGAAGGGGGAATGAGAATAGCGCTCGATGAACATGGTGAGTACCGTGGCGTGTGGCGGCGACCACTCCCCTCACGTCCATTGGCACTCGCTCCAGCTGCATCTTCTGCGCCTGGTGGGGTGGGAAGAGGTACAGAGGGAAATGCGGGAGGGGTTGTAAATTGTAATGTGAGTGAGGAGCTCCATCCCGCATCTGCAGAGCCGGGCCCTCCATGTGTTGGTTGGTGTTCACACATCAGTGCCCACACACCTCTTGAGTCGGCTCAAAAGTAACCTCGTTACTCACCAGCGCATGTCCACACATGTGACATGCCACACGACACATCAGTGTCCACACACCTCTCTTCTCTCACCAGTGCACCTCAATCTTGGAGAGGTCGAGGAGGTCAGTGATCAGCTCCAGCAGTGAAGTGACCCCACTGCTGGCCGGCCTACCTCTGCCCACCAGCATACATTAGAGCCTCACATCCTTCTCCAGCACCACACTTCTCTTCTCTCACCAGCGCACCTCAATCTTGGAGAGGTCGAGGATGTCAGTGATCAGCTCCAGCAGCAGCCGGCTGGTGTGCGCACACACACTCCCGCCTCGCCTCTCTCCACCTCTCTCCACCTCTGCAACGCACCTCGATCTTGGAGAGGCGCACACTTGTGGCTCACAGAGGAGTGCACAGTTACCCTTTCCTCTCTATCGTAAGCAGCGCCTGTCTCCACCAACGCACCTCAATCTTGGAGAGGCCGAGGATGTCTGTGATCAGCTCCAGCAGCGCCCGCCCGCTGCTGTGAGCATACACACTCCTACCTCACCGCTCTCCACCGCTCTCCACCTCTACTGTCAGCAGCGTCCGTCCGTGACCGTGAGCAGCGCACCTCGATCTTGGAGAGGTCGAGGATGTCTGTGATGAGTTCCAGCAGCGCCCGCCCGCTGGTACGCGCCGTATCCACGTAATCTAGTTGAGTCACCGTGAGGGGTGTTTCCAGCAGCAGGTTCAGCATGCCTGGGGGTGCGGTGCGGGGTGCGGGGGTATGGGGGGCATGTGTGAGCAGCAAGTGTGCGCGAGTGTGAGAGCATGGGGCTGGTGCGAGCCGTGTCCACATAGTCTAGCTGGGTCACTGTGAGGGGGTTCCACAGCAGCAGGTTCAGCATGCCTGGCATGGGATGGTGGAGGGAGGGGCGGGGGGTGTGCATGCACCAACACATGTGCCTGGCTGAACGGCCGTGCCCCATACAGCCCCAGCAGCCCCAGCAGCCCCAGAAGCCCCACCACCACCGTCAGAACCAGCAGCACCAGCAGCAGCAGCAGCAGCAGCAGCAGCAGCAGCAGCAGCAGCAGCAGCAGCAGCAGCAGCAGCAGCAGCAGCAGCAGCAGCAGCAGCAGCAGCAGCAGCAGCAGCAGCAGCAGCAGCAGCAGCAGCAGCAGCAGCAGCAGCAGCAGCAGCAGCAGCAGCAGCAGCAGCAGCAGCAGCAGCAGCAGCAGCAGCAGCACCATCAGCACCTGCACCACCAGCACCACCATTCACCACACAGCACCGCACACGACCACCCAACACACATCTATGACGCCATTTGGTAGTGTGCGCAGCTCGTGGCTCATAGTAGGGAGGAACAACCCCTTGGCTTTACTCGCCCGCTCCACAACCCTCTTGGTGGATACCACAATCACCAGCACTAGTACCACACAGCACCACTAAACACCACACAGCACCGCACAGCACCTCACAGCACCCACCTATGACGCCATTCAGTGGTGTGCGCAGCTCATGACTCATGGTAGTGAGGAACAACCCTTTGGCTTTACTCGCCCGCTCCGCAACCCTCTTGGCCGCTTTCATGCGGTTCTTCACCGCTTCCAACCGCTGGTAATCCCTCTCCAGCTGCTGCACGCGCTCACACGCCGCCCAGTACACGTAAGCTGCGAGGCCCATCACCACTATAACGAGGATGGCCCACCCTGCACTCGCCGCGGGAAATACATAGGTTGTGTAGTACCTGTGGAAGGTGGGGTGTAGAGGGAGGTTGAGGGGGGGTCGAGTCTCATCAACACTATAACGAGGATGGCCCACCCACCCTGCACTTGCATAGGTTGTGCCTGCAGGGAATACATAGGTTGTGTTGTACGTGGGGAGGGAAGGGTGGTGAGGGGGTTTGAGGTGAGAAGGGTGCGAGATGGAGAGCAAGGGGGATGCGAGGGAGAAAGCAGGGGATGGAAGAGGGAGAGCGATACGATAATTGCGCTTAAAACAAAAAGTATATATACTTCTTCCGTTTTGTACGTATGTAAGTGTACTTGAGCATTCTTATATATACAGAAGTATATATATTTGACCCAGCTGCACCGCATCGCACCCACCTGCACCGCATCTCGTATTCGCGGTATTTGTCCCCCAAATTCACCACGTTCACATGCGCGTACGAGTCCTCCTGTCCGGGCGGCAACTCTTGTCCTTTAGGCTCGTATATCACCTCCCCCGCCCGCTTCCCCTTCTCCCCGCTGCTCCCGGTGACGTCATAAATGCGTGCAAACATGGGCAGGGCCAGGCCGTGGTATTCCTGGGAGTCATTGGGAAAGAAGCAAGAGTGAGCGGGCGTGGGATGGCGTGGGGAGAGTGAGACTTCTGCTCCCAGTGACGTCATAAATGCGTGCAAACATTGGCAGAGCCAGGCCGTGGTATTCCTGGGGGTGAGTGGGGGAGAAGAAAGAAAGTGTGGGCGCGTGTGGGGAGAGAACGACGGTTGAGTTGACTCAGAGGCAAACATGGGCAGGGCCAGGCCGTGGTATTCCTGGGAGTCATTGGGAAAGAAGCAAGAGTGAGCGGGCGTGGGATGGTGTGGGGAGAGTGAAACTTCTGAGTTGACTCATATGCAAACATGGGCAGGGCCAAGCCATGGTATTCCTGGGATGAAAGTGGTTAGGGAAGGAGAAAGAGAGGGCGGGTGTGGGGGGAGAAAGACGCTTGAGTCGACTCATATGCAAACATGGGCAGGGTCAGGCCGTGGTACTACTCCTGGGATGGGGATGGGGGTGATGGAAAAGGAGCAAGACTTCTGAGAATTCTCAAAAGTCGCACCAGGGTCAGGCCGTGATACTCCTGGGATGGGGATGGGGGTGATGGAAAAGGAGCAAGAGTGGGCGGGTGCGGGTGAGCGGAAGACATTTCAGTTGATACTTGTGCAAACATGGGCAGGGCCAAGCCGTGGTATTCCTGGGATGGGGTTGATTGGGGAAGGATGAAGAGCGGGCGGGTGTGGAATGGGGGGGGAAAGGGACGACAGTTGAGTCGACTCTTAAGCAAACACGGGCAGGGCCAAGCCGTGGCATTCCTGGGATTGGGGTGATTGGGGGAGGAGCAAGAGCAGGTGCGTGTGGGGGAGAAAATCACTCTTGAGTTGACTCAAAAGCCATGGTATTCCTGGGTAGGATGCTGGTGATTGGGGAAGGAGCAAGAGTGGGCAAGTGTGGGGAGGGGAACAGAGAAAGACTCTTGAGTCAACTCAAGTGCAAACACGGACAGGACAGGGCCAAGCCGTGGTAATCCTGGGGGTGATTGAGTCACCTCCCAGCACCGTTCACCACCGCTCACCTCAAGCATTGCATCCCACAAGTCCAGTGTTTGAGAATTCTCAAAAGCGATTCCTTTTTTGAGTCGACTAAAAAAACCCCGTCACGTAGCCAAGGCAAACAGCCTGTATCCCATGATTCCCCACTTTCCCACCTGTAAACAACCCGCCCCTACCACCGCTCACCGCATGTCACCACCGCTCACCGCATGTCAGCACCGCTCACCGCATGTCACCACCGCTCACCGCATGTCACCACCGCTCACCGCATGTCAGCACCGCTCACCACCAGCATCAAATCCCACGTGGGCTCAAAGTCCACGATTGCCGTCACTCATGTAACCAAGCCAAGCCACACCCCCTGCATTTCCCACCTCCCACCTCCCAGCACCCCTCACCACCCAGCACCCCTCACCACCACCCAGCACCCCTCACCATCCATCCCCCTTCCCCCCCCTCCACCACTCCTCACCGCAAGCATGGCATCCCACATCGGCTCAAAGTCCACGATCGCCATCATGTAGCCGAGGGCACACCACCTGCAACCTCCAAACGCCACCCGGCACCTCCCAGCACCTCCCAGCACCTCCCCTCCCAGCACCTCCCAGCACCTTGCACCACTGCTCACCGCAAGCATCGCATCCCACATGGGCTCAAAGTCAACGATCGCCATCATGTAGCCGAGGCACGCCGCCCGGTACTCGCTAGAAGACAAACCGTCGGGGAGCGGGTCGGGCGTGCGGTAAACGGGGAAGACTATAAAGAGGCCGTGCGAGATGGGCCGCGTGGAGGTGGAGAGGGAGAGGTTGAGGCGGAAGGGCGGCGCCAGTGCCCCCATCACTCCATAGTCCCGCGCTTGCGTGACTGCCTCTATTGTTCCAGGGCGTTCAGCTGGGAATGGGGAAAGGGGTGGGGAAAGCGGTGGGGGAAAATGGGGAGAAAAAGGGGAGATGGGTCGCGTGGAGGTAGAGAGAGAGAGGTTGAGGCGGAAGGGGGGCGCGAGTGCCCCCATCACCCCATAGTCCCGCGCTTGTGTGACTGCCTCTATTGTTCCAGAGCGTTCAGCTGAGGGGGGATGGTGTGTGGGGAAGAGGGGAGAAGGGGGGGGGGGAAGGGGGAAAGGAAGGGCGGCGTGAGTGCCCCCAATACCCCATAGTCCCGCGCTCAAGTCACCGCCTCTATTGTTCCAGGGCGTTCAGCTGGGAATGGGGAAAGGGGTGGGGAAAAATGGGGAGAAAAGGGGGAGATGGGTCGCTTGGTGGAGGCGAGAGAGAGGTTGAGGCGGAAGGGCGGTGCGAGTGCCCCCATCACCCCATAGTCCCGCGCTTGTGTGACTGCCTCTATTGTTCCAGGGCGCTCAGCTGAGGGGGGATGGTGTGTGGGGAAGAGGGGAGAAGGGGGAGGGGGGAGGGAAGGGCGGGGTGAGTGCCCCGATTGCCCTGTAATCCCGCACTCAAGTAACTGCCTCTGTGGTAGCAGGGCGGTGGGCTGGTGGGGGCGAAGGTGTGGGGTGAATGGGGGGAAGGGGGAAGGGGAGTGCGGAGAGGAGGAAAAGTAGAAGGGGAGAGAAAGGGGGAGAGAAAGCAGGAGCTGGGAAATGACAGAAACGACCCCACACTCACTTCCATACTTACTACACACTCACCACTCACTCCACTCTCACCCCACCCACACTCACCCCACACTCACCCCACGCCAGAATTTCCTGCAATGCCAGCTGGTCAGCAGGCAGGTCAACAGAGTCAACGCCAGTCAACGGCTGGTCAGGGCGGTAGGAGCGGCCCAGCAGGCCCTGACCAATCATGGAGGCCGATGCGCTGGTGAGGACAATGGGGGCGTATTCCTGCTGCATTCCCGCACACACTCTGCCATGCCTATGAGGATGAGTGGTGGGGGGATATGGGGGGTGAGTGGGGGCAGAGAAGGGATGCGCTGGTGAGGACGATGGGGGCGTATTCCTGCTGCATTCCCGCACACACTCTGCCGTGCCTGTGAGGATGTGAGGGATGGGGGGAATGGGGATGGGGAAGAAGATGGAGGTTGGGGGATGAGGGGTGGGGGATTGGGGAGTGCAGAGATGGAATGCGCTGGTGAGGACGATAGGGGCATATTCCTGCTGCATTCCCGCACACACACTGCCGTGCCTGGGATTGGGGAGTGGATGGGGGGAGTGGTGGGGGGATATGCGGGGTGAGTGGGGGCAGAGAAGGGATGCGCTGGTGAGAACAATGGGGGCGTGCTCTGGCTGGCTCCCTGCACTGCACACACGCTGCCGTGCCTGTGAATAACGAGGGCGAGTGGGTGGATGGGAACGACGGAAGGGATGGGGGGTGGGTCAGGGAGTGGACGCAGGGGGGTGGGTCAGGGAGTGGACGCAGGGGGGTGGTTAATAGTGGACAATGGGGGGTGGGTCAGGGAGTGGACAATGGGGGTTGAGTCAGGGAGTGGACGATGGGGAGGATGGTGAGATGGGCAGGCATGAGGTGTTTTGTACTCAATACAATGTGTTTTCCACATGATACGACCTGTTCTGCACACAGTGAAATGTGTTTTGCACATGACATGATGTGTTCTGTGCCTGGATAACTTGACTGTTGTGTAACCAGTGCCACATGCATGCATGAACACTTGAGATTATTAAATATGATATAGAAGATAAAAGCCACCTCGTTTTGGGTCGACTGACACGCAAACTTGGCTGGAGTGGCCTCAGTCGACTAAACCCTCAGAAGCTATCTCGTCCTGTCTGTACCTGATGCAATGCAATACCCAGGATTCTCCTGCTGCTGCTGCTGCTGCTGCTGCTGCTGCTGGTTCTGCTGCCGCTGCTGCTATTTTCACACGTCTCAACTCAAAGACCATACCTGATGCAACATCTGCGTTCCAGCTGCTGCTGCTGCTTCGTTGAAACGTCTCAACAATCGTACCTGATGCAATATGCTGGGTCCCCCAGCTGCTGCTGCTGCTGCTTCTCAAACGCCGGCCGCTCAGCCTGGGTCACCCGAAGGGCAAAGGAGATGCCGAACAGCAGCGGGCGGGCGTAGTCTGTCTGGTTCACCAGCGACGAGAAGGTGGGCTGATTGAATGGAAGTGATGGGGAATGGGGAGGGGGTGGGAGGAAGATTGGGTTTCAACAGCAGCGGGCGGGCGTAGTCTGTCTGTCTTGTTCACCAGCGACGAGTAGGTGGGCTGATTGCATGGAAGTGATGTGATGGGGGGGGGGGGGGGGGGAGAGTGGGGGTGCGGAGAGGAAGGGGTGGAAGGAAGTGGGAAGGTTGAGAAGGGATGGATGGAAGGACAATGGGGTATTCACAGCAGCGGGCGGGCGCAGTCTGTCTTGTTCACCTGAAAGCAGAAGGTGCGCCGATTGGATGGAAAGGGGTTTGGGGGGTTGTGGGGGAAGGGTGGGGGAAAGCGGAAAGGGAAAGGAGAAACATGGAAGGTGGAGTGGGGAAAGGGGAAGGGGAAAGGGGCAAGGGAAGTGGAATGATGAGCACAAAATAGAGCAATTTAACCACCAGCAAGCAAAGCAGAGTTGTTGACCTGGTGGGCGGCTGACCTGGCGGGCGGCTGACCTGGCGGGCGGCTGACCTGGTGGGCGGCTGACCTGGTGGGCGGCTAACCTGGTGGGCGGCTGACCTGGCGGGCGGCTGACCTGGCGGGCGGCTGACCTGGTGGGCGGCTGACCTGGTGGGCGGCTAACCTGGTGGGCGGCTGACCTGGTGGGCGGCTGACCTGGCGGGCGGCTGACCTGGTGGGCGGCTGACCTGGCGGGCGGCTGACCTGGCGGGCGGCTGACCTGATCGAGAGTGGCGTTTGGCGTTTGGAAGTAGAAGGTGGAGACGACCGCTCCCAGCAGCCGCACCTGATAGGGTGATGCGGTGTTCAGTGCGGTGGGATGGGATGGGATGGGATGGGATGGGATAAATGGCGACGCACCATCAGTGCGTTGGTATAAGCACGGGGATATAAGCACGTGGGGATAGGGTGTAGTGTATGAACACAGTAGGCGCATGCGTATAAGCGCATGGTAATAAGTGCGTTGGTACAGGATCAGTCGTAATCACAAGGCCACGGAACCCTGCCGAACCTGTACACCTTGAGCCCTCCCATACCTCCTCCTCCCCTCCCTCGTCCCCCTTCCCCCTCACCTGGTCGGCCGACTGGCTGAAGTGGCTCTCTAGCAGCGACGACCATTTGTCACACTCCCGCTTCCCCGTGCCTAGAAAGCAAAGGAAGCAATCGCTTCAATCACCCTTCCACCCCCCCCTTCCTCACCTGGTCAGCAGATTGAGGTCCACTTGTCACACTCCCGCTTCAACCTTGCCTGCCTCACCTCTTGACCCGATTGACCAATCCCGTTCGCTCTTCCCCTTCCCATACCTCGTTCCCCGGCCTGTCCTGTCCCACCCACCTGGTCAGCGGATTGACTGAAGTGGCTCTCAAGCAGCGACGTCCACTTGTCACACTCCTGCTCCACCTCCGCCTGCCTCGCCGCCTGGAAGCTCCGATACGTCACCCAGAAAACGACAAACGCCACCGCCACAGTCACAGCCGCCCACATCAGCAGACACAGGAAGCGCGCCAAGTGAGTCAGCTCGAGGCACTTCTCCACGCTGCACTTGCTCAGAAGCTTCCACAGCAACCCCCGGTCCTGCCCTTCGTCCTCCTCCTCCTCCTCCTCTGTCTTTCTCCTCCTCCCCCCTCTGCCCTTGCTGCCGAACGATCCGTGTTTCTGTCGATTCTTATTCCGGAAATTCGCTGTTTTTGTAAAAGAACCACCGTTTCTGTCACATGCGGTTCCCCTCACCACCACCTCGACTTCCCCCCCGCCGCCGGCTGCCCCCCTCTCCGCTCCCCCTGCCTTCCCTCGGCTTCCCCCAAAACGTTTCCTGCCCCAACTAGCCCAGGAGGGGTAATTACCCTCAGTAGTCGTATCTCCGCGTTTTTTTGTTCCCCATCCCTCGAAAGACCACCACTTTCCGCAGTTTTCTCCCCCCTCCCCCCCCTCCGCAGACATCCAGTCGCTATCCTCCCACATCGCATCCTCGTCGTCCGTCCCCTCGCTATAATCACTCGTGCTGCTGCTTCCGCCTGGCCCCCACGCGCTCGACCGTTCGGACGGGCAGGCGGACGGGCGCGGGGAGGCCTGGGCTCGTTGACCCGGTTGACCTGGTTGACTCGGTTGACTCGAGTCGGTAATTCTGGCGTGCCCAGCGGACGCCGCATTGCCCCCCTGCCTGCTTCGCCGCTTCACCCTTGCTCCCGCGAGGCGGTCGACGCTTCCGCCGGCGCTACCCTCCCCGCAGCTCGAGGGGGCAGCTCCGCCTGCCCCTGTAATCCCCCCCGCCCCTGCCGCGCGGGCTGATGCGTTCCACGGCGCTGTCGCGGTTTCCCCAGCAGGCGGAAGGATTCCGCGGTACCGTCGCGCGCACCACGCGCGAGCGTTGGCGGCGGCGTTTCCAAGCGGAGATCTGGAGGTAAGTGGATGCGGGGACTGCGCTCTGTCGCTGAGAGAGGGCGGAAGCAACGGGGAGGCCCCGCGACCGCGCTCTGCGGCGGGTCTTGCGCCGCCGTCCGCGCTGTCTGCTTGCGACGAACCGGCGGCGGGCGCGGCAGTCGCGGCGGCGGGAATTGCGGCAGGGATGGCAGCCGCGGCGACCGTGGGTGAGGCTTGACCGTCCGGGCCAGTGGGCGAGAGGAACGCGTGCCACGAGCCGCTGCGACGCGCGCGGGCCGGCTTAGATTGAGCGACACGTTGCGGAGAGATAAGACTGTCGGCCATGGATGCGTGCGCGTCGCACTACTTAAGAGACCAGCCTGAAGTCGCTTCGGAAAATAAGGACACGTGTCTAGCGACCAAATAAATAGCAATACGAGTACTTATGAATGCTTATTCCTCGTAGTAGCACCAGCCCGGCTAAGGGCCTTAACTACTTCGAGGTCGGAGTCACTTGGAGCCAGAGTTCTAGCCTAAGCCCTCTGCCGCGTCGTTGAGAGAATATTACGGTTCTTGGCCGTGCAATTGATACGTACTACGAATACATTATCGCCTTTCTCCACTGGACACACGCCAAGTGGCTTGGAGGCAGGCTCGAAAGGATTTCAAGGAGGATTGTCGAGACCGCACGTGATGGCGCTTAGTGGAGGATTATGAACGGAAGGTACGCTAATCGTGGTTGGAAAAGGTAGGCTTGGTGTTGGGAAGCGTGGGATGCGCTGAATCAAGCAACTCTTCGTGCCACACTGCCAGGTCGTGGGGGAGGAGAGGAGGAGAGGAGGAATGAAAACAGTTCGATTGCTCTCGTTTCGTCTCAATTCAACCCAACTGGGCCAGAGCAAAAGTGTCGCAGAGAAAATAAATTATCTCGCACCCACTGCAGTACAGTGTACAAACCCAAGCGCAACGCAGGTGTTCCCGTTCCCGTCCACAAACCTGAACTGTGCCTGCAAACACCGCTGGCGTGATTGGGAAGGGTGCGTGCGAATCTAACATGGGACAGATTTGAGAAGGTTTGATTCACTACACCCTCATTCTCGATAGACTGGCATATGTTAGACTGACCGCTACGCTTTGACTGACAGCAACGCACCAAAGGAGGTCTTATCACAATGCATACAAGCACAATTTGTCGCCTCAATCATACCAGCCAGCTGGCCGATCTTGTTGACTGCACGTCTGACAACGAATGAGACGAACCGACCGAAATCACAATGACAGGGCATCTGCAATTGCAATTCTGTTGTTACTGTAGCATTTTGCCATTTGCAATGCGCGGACACTGTTTGATTTTGCCACCTCAACCCTGGTTTGTCGCCAAGTTCACAATTGCCTGTGAAACGGTTAGGGGCACCATCGCGCTAGCTGTTCGCACTGTACACAGTGCGCGCGATGGTGAGAAAGGTGAGAATGAGGGTGAGAAAGGTGTACAAGAAAGGCCAAAGCCGAGCCAACGATAAGGCAACCGAACCGAAACGAACTCAAAACTACCAACGCCGAAATCGACACGTCCACACCAATCTCGAGGTTATCGGTGATGAGGGAGGGTGCGCTGCGCACCACAACGCAGGGCCGAAGCACACCATGCTGAGCTGGACGGATGGGGTCGAGGACGATGCTCAAACTTGGGAGCTCGTGGTGGCACCGGATCGTGTCGTGGCCCTCAAAGATTCGCTGTTCACATCACGCGCTGGCTCGCAACCGCAATCCCGCGCAAGGGGCACTCCATCAGTGACACACCGCGCCGCCTACAGTGTGACCAAATGGGATCCGCGTCACAATGTGGTGGGAACAGCTTCATAATTGAGAATGCGTTTGTGAGTCGAAGGGCGGTTCCATTCAAACTACACTCGGTACCACAGACTACACTGAAAAGGAGCTGTCTAAAGGATGTCCACATCCTCAGATAAGCTTCTTCACAAATCCCCAAAACGCGTTCACGAAAAGCTAGCATTTCGTCAAGCATGTTTCTTTTTCGCCTCTCTCCGCCTGCCCGCATCCCATTCCCCTCTCCCCTCCAACCGCCATCCGCAGGAGTCTGCAAAGCTCCTTTCCCGCCCTCCTCCTTAGGTCGTGTCCTCCGACCGAACTCGCGACTCCTAATCCCTAGCACGGATCGCCCTGCGCTGAGGCCGTCCGAGGAGCCTAACGCATGATACCACGAGTCGAGTGAATCCTTAGGCCTCGATTGGGCGATTGAATTTGTAACTTAGAACCTTGCTTCCACCGCCGGCCACTATGGGTCGCGAGGTCGAATCCAGCGAGGTGGAGGTGGAGGTGGAGCCGTTACCCACGCCTCCTAAGTTCGATCTGAACATCGACTGGTCGCAAGTTAATCTCGAGGCCCTTCAGTTGCCTGAAGGCGAGGATTTCGACGTTAAGAGGTGGGCTGGTCGTAGAGTAGTTGGTTTCCGAGAAATCTCACGTATCATAGAGGCGGACTTGGCACGTGGAGAAATTAGAACTATAATCGGATTTGATACTTCCATCCGATTGTGAGAAATGACTATAAATTTCGAATCTACGGCCGATCACGCACCCCTGGCTGGCCAATATGCGGATTGGTTCTGCAGCAAGCAGCCTGACAAGAGAGAGGAGGGGGTGGAGGAAGGGAGAATACGGGGAATAGCAGCCTGACAAGGCGGAGCATTAAGGTCGAGCGATCGCATGGCTCTTTTAGGGTTTCCACTCTAGAGGATCACGCCGCAGGGTTTGTTAGTTACCTCTGCGCGTCGATTAGATTGCTGACAGCCTGCTCGATGCGATCTGGTAACGGCATAGATACTATGGCGGCTCGCGAACTGTTACAAGATCTGCACGGTTCTCTATAGGATGAGGGCATTATCATAACCGTTTCTGGTTGCGCCTCCTCGTTTCCTCCCATCCACTCGGTCCGCAGGAGAAATTTCCGAGTAGCCGACGAGTCCAATTTCCGTCTCCTGTCCGTTTTATTAGGCGCCTCAAGAAATCGTCCGCAGGAGAGCTTCGATGAGTTTCATTTCCTTCTCCTATCCGTTTTCCCTGCTCGTTCTCACATTATCTCCCCCACCCCCACCCAACCTCCCATCCCCTCTCCCCCCCCCCTTTTCCACCCCCTCCTCCCTCCTCCCCCCCCTCCCCCCCCCCTCTTCTCTCTTCCGTCCGTCCTTTTCCCCCTGCGCGCAGCGACGACGAGGAGGAGGAGCTGGAGGTGGTGGAGTCGGAGACGGGCTTCGGGAACGTCATAGTCGTCGACAACCTGCCCGTCGTGCCGCCCGAAAAGTTTGAGAAGCTGCAGACCGTGGCCAAGAAGATTTTCGGGCAGATTGGGCTGATTCGGGAGGGGGGGCTGTGGATGCCCGTGAATAAGGAGACGCAGAAGACAAACGGATATGCCTTTATCGAGTATGCCACTCCCCAGGTACGAAATTAGTATTGGCCAAGAAGCAATGCTTTCGTTTTCGCCTCTCTGTTTGCGATTTCCCCGCCGCATTTGCATCGATTTCCCGGATTCTCTTCCCTTTTTCCTTCTCCCCTTCACGCCCTACTCCTTCCGCCGTCCCCTCTTTCGCTTGCTCTCCGGTCCCCCCGTCCGTCCCATACCCATGTCTTACGTTCCTCTTTGTCTCTTCGTCACTCCGTCGCTTCCCTTTTCGTTGCATGCAGGAGGCGCAAGCGGCGCGGGAGCAGATGGACGGGTACAAGCTGGACAAGGCGCACGTCTTCAAGGTCTCCATGTTCGACGACTTCGAGAAGTACGCGCGCGTGCCCGACCAATACGCGCCGCCGCCGCTCAAGGAGTACACGCCCTCGGTGCGTGGGGGCGTGGGGCGATATGATTGGGTGGGGGGTTGGGAGGGTGGGTGCGTGGGAGGGTGTGGTTTCGTGGTTGTGTGGGTGGGTGGGTGGGTGTGAGTGCGTGGGTTGAGCGACTAAGGGGGCCAAGGGCGAGTTTGTCTAAACGTCGTCCCATATTCGCCACCACTACGTGCCGCCGCTCGAGGAATATGTGCCCCCCCCCCCCCCCCCCCCCCCCCCTTCTTCTCCTCCTCTTCTTTCCCTCCCCCGCCACCTCCCTTCTTCCTCTTTCCCCACTCCCCCCTCCTCCTCTCTGTTCCTGCCTTGCACGCGAATCTGCAATGGTACGCGCCCGGACGAGCTTTACCTGGACTTGTCGCTTTTTTTTCCCTTTCTCCCCTCCCCATCCCCCCCTCCCCCGCGCCCCCTCCCCTCTTCACTCCCCAACCGCGCAGGAGAACCTGCAATGGTTCGCGGCGGACGAGCGCGGGCGCGACCAGTTTGTGATCCGCTTCGCGTCCGAGACCGAGGTGTACTGGAACGACGCGCGCGCCGCCAAGCCCGACCCCGTCTACCGCCGCACGGTAAGAGGGGGAGATGGGGAGGGGGAGAGCCGCACGGTAGGGGGAGTGGAGCGAGCGACGAGCAGCCGGGGGGGGGGGGGATGAGAGACGGAGGTCTACTGGAACGGCGCCCGCTGTTTACCGCTGCAAGTGAGGGGGGAGGGTGTGAGGCGCAATAAGGGGATGAGCCGCAAGGGGAGGGATGAGGCGCAGGTGGAGGGGGGATGAGGCGCAGGCGGAGGGGGGATGACGCGCAGGGGGGGGGGGAAGCCGCAGGGGGGTGATGAGACGCGCGCACGTAAGGGAGAGGTGATCGAGCAGCATGGTAGGGGAGGGATGATTGACGCTATCTCCCCTTTCTCCAACCCCCCTAACCCAACTCCAACCCCCCACTACCCCTTCTCCAACCCCCCCTCCCTCTACCCTCTCCCCCCACCCTCTCCCCCCACTCAATTGAATGCACCATCCCTTCTCGCCCCTCGCCTCCTTCCCACAACCCCCACCTCCCCACTCCTTTCAGTTTTGGACGGAGAGTTTCGTGCAGTGGTCCCCTCTGGGCAGCTACCTCGCCACCATCCATTGCCAGGGCGTCACCTCGTTGCGCCCGTTCCCCTTCAAAACACTGCGCCATTTCCCACCCCCTTCTCCCTTCCCCCCCTTCTCTCTCCCCCCCCCTCCTTTCAGTTCTGGACGGAGAGCTTCGTGCAGTGGTCGCCGCTGGGCAGCTATCTCGCCACCATCGCCGCCCTCCACCCACTGCTGCTCATACCAATGCCCTGTCCCTCCCCTCCCCCATCCCCCGTTTGCCAGTTTTGGACGGAGAGCTTCGTGCAGTGGTCGCCGCTGGGGAGCTACCTCGCCACCATCCATCGCCAGGGCATCAACTCGCGCCCGTTCCCCTTCAAAATACTGCGCCATTCCCCACCCCCTTCTCCCTTCCCCCCCTTTCTCTTCCCTCCCCACCTCCCCCACCCCCACAGTTCTGGACGGAGAGCTTCGTGCAGTGGTCGCCGCTGGGCAGTTACCTGGCCACCATCCATCGCCAGGGCGCTGCTCCCGCACTCGCTTTTCCCTCAATTGGATGCACCATCCCCTTTCCCCCCTCGCCTCCGCCCCATTTAAAACAATCCCTCGTGTCACCCTCCGCCCTTCCCCTCCCCTCTTTCAGTTTTGGACGGAGAGCTTCGTGCAGTGGTCCCCGCTGGGCAGCTACCTCGCGACCATCCATCGCCAGGGCGCGGCTATCTGGGCCGGCTCCTCGTGGCAACGCATCATGCGCTTCGCTCACCCGCAGGTGGGTTGTCAGGGGTGCAGGTGGGTTGTGAGAGGTGCAGGTGGGTTGTGAGGGGTGCAGGTGGGTTGTGAGGGGTGCATGGTGGAGCGGCCATCTGGGCCGGCTCCTCGTGGCAACGCATCATGCGCTTCGCACACCCGCAGGTGGGTTGTGAGGGGTGCAGGTGGGTTGTCAGGGGTGAGGTGGGTTGTGAGGGGTGCAGGTGGGTTGTGAGGGGTGCAGGTGGGTTGTGAGGGGTGCATGGTGGAGCGGCCATCTGGGCCGGCTCCTCGTGGCAACGCATCATGCGCTTCGCTCACCCGCAGGTGGGTTGTGAGGGGTGCAGGTGGGTTGTCAGGGGTGCAGGTGGGTTGTGAGAGGTGCAGGTGGGTTGTGAGGGGTGCAGGTGGGTTGTGAGGGGTGCATGGTGGAGCGGCCATCTGGGCCGGCTCCTCGTGGCAACGCATCATGCGCTTCGCACACCCGCAGGTGGGTTGTGAGGGGTGCAGGTGGGTTGTCAGGGGTGAGGTGGGTTGTGAGGGGTGCAGGTGGGTTGTGAGGGGTGCAGGTGGGTTGTGAGGGGTGCATGGTGGAGCGGCCATCTGGGCCGGCTCCTCGTGGCAACGCATCATGCGCTTTGCACACCCGCAGGTACCACCTTCCCCAGATTAGCCCCTTCGGGGCAAACATTCTTTAGAGTTATACGTTTTTCCCACATGTAAGCTTTTGTTTTTTCCACTTCATTCCCTCCCTTCACTTGCGATGCGACTCCCCCTCTTCTCCTGACAGCCCTTCCTTGAGCCCGCTGCCCCCCCGTCTCTCCTTCCTCGTTCCCCCCTTTTCGCTTTTCTCGCAAATCCCTTACCACGCCATGTCTTGTGTGTCGAACCTTCCCGCCCTGTCTCGTGTGTCCCTTTTGAGACGCCTCAAAAGTCATTCCCGCACTGTCTCGTGTGTCTCTTCTCCCCTCACGTTGTGCCGTGCTGCTGTATTCCCCGTCCTTTCCTCCTCTTCCTCCTTCGCCAACCCCTGACACCAAGCCCTCCGTACATCAATTACCCGTTCTCACACTCCCCCCGTCCTGCCCCAAATCCCTCGCTCTTTACAATCACGCGCCAGGTGCGCCTGATCGACTTTCTCTCCCGGAGAGCCGTTCCTGGTGACGTACAGCCGCCACGAGTCTGCTAACCCGTTTCCTTCTCTCTTCCCCCCTCTTCCCCCTCCCTCCCGTTCTCATTCTCCCCCCTGTCCACCTCCCCGCTCCCTCGCTCTCCTCCCATCCCATATCTCCCTCGCTCGTTACAATCACACCTCAGGTGCGCCTGATTGACTTCTCGCCTGGTGAGCGGTTCCTGGTGACGTACAGCAGCCACGAGCCTGCCCGCTCACATTGTGCCCTCACCTTGTCGTGTCTCTCTCCTCCCCTCTCCCTTCACGCTGTTCCGTGCTGCCTTGTGTGCTCTTCAGGTGCGCCTGATTGACTTCTCCCCAGGGGAGCGGTTCCTGGTGACGTACAGCAGCCATGAACCCGCCAACCCGAGGGACACACAGAAGGTGGTGCTGAACGTGTTTGACGTGCGCACGGGGAAGAGCATGCGTGAATTCAAGGGCGCAGCAGACGACTTCGCCACTGGCGGCGCTGGTGGCGTTGCCGGCGTGCAGTGGCCTGTATTCAGGTGGGTCCTGACTCCTGAACCGCGTGTTGGTGTAGCTGGTCCCTCCCCCTCCCAACCCGAGGGACACGCAGAAGGTGGTGCTGAACGTGTTTGATGTGCGCACGGGCAAGAGCATGCGCGAGTTCAAGGGCGCCGCGGACGACTTTGCTACTGGCGGCGCCGGTGGCGTTGCTGGTGTGCAGTGGCCTGTATTCAGGTGGGTTCCGGTGGGTTCTGTGGGGTTCAGGTGGGTTCTGTGGGCTTCAGGTGGGTCCTGACTCCTGAACCGCGTGTTGGTGTAGCTGGTCCCTCCCCCTCCCCCTTTCCCTCCCCCGGGCAAGAGCATGCGCGAGTTCAAGGGCGCCGCGGACGACTTCGCTACTGGCGGCGCCGGTGGGGTCGCTGGTGTGCAGTGGCCTGTATTCAGGTGGGCTGTGGTATTCAGGTGGGCTGTGGTATTCAGGTGGGCTGTGGTATTCAGGTGGGCTGTGGTCTTCAGGTGGGCTGTGGTCTTCAGGTGGGCTGTGGTATTCAGGTGGGCTGTGGTCTTCAGGTGGGCTGTGGTCTTTATGTGGGCTGTGGTCTTCAGGTGGGCTGTGGTCTTCAGGTGGGCTGTGGTCTTCAGGTGGGCTGTGGTCTTCAGGTGGGCTGTGGTCTTCATGTGGGCTGTGGTCTTCAGGTGGGCTGTGGTCTTCAGGTGGGCTGTGGTCTTCAGGTGGGCGGTGGCCTGTTTCCAGGTGGGTCTTCAGGTAGGTGGTTTGCTCGTCTTCAGGTGGGTGTTATGCAATGACCCGTCTTATTGTGTGCAGTGTCGGTAATCATCTGAGGGTGGCTTTTTAGGCTCCTCCAAATCTGCTTGTTGAATTTTGAGGCAACTCAACGTTGGGGGATGTTATGTGTTGCTGGTTGGTTGGTTGTGTGTGGGCTGGGCAGGCAGGAGTATAATCGTGGACTTGCTTCCGGGAAATTTTTAACTCTGCATGGTACTCGTTAAACTCTTGCATACTTTCCAGCATGGTATCAGTTATTCCCCCTCCCCCTCCCCCCTCTTGCTTCCCTCGTCCCCCGTGTGCTCCTTTCCCACTTGTCTCCTATAGGTGGGCGGGCGGGCGAGAGGACAAGTATTTCGCGCGCATGGGAAAGAACTGCGTGTCGGTGTATGAGACGAGCACCATGGCTCTGCTCGACAAGAAGTCCCTCAAGGCGGATCACGTGCACGACTTCACCTCACCTGCTCTCCCCTCTCCCCCCTTCCTCTTTCTCTCACCAAACTCCGTGCCCTCTCCCCCTTCCCTTCCCCCTCTCCCGTCCTTCTTCCCCTCTCCCCTCCCCTCGCCACCCTGCGGTCTCCGGTGTCTCAGGTGGGCGGGCGGGCGAGAGGACAAGTACTTTGCGCGCATGGGGAAGAACTGCGTGTCGGTGTATGAGACGAGCACCATGGCTCTGCTCGATAAGAAGTCGCTCAAGGCGGACCACGTGCACGACTTCACGTGGTCGCCCGCTGAACCGCTGCTCGCCATGTACATCCCTGAATCGAATGGGGGGAATCAGCCTGCTAGGGTGAGTGCCGCCTGCAAGGGTGAGTGGGGTGGGGTAGCAGCATAGGGGGCAGCAGGAGGATGAAAGGGCAGCGAGTGGGGTGGCTCAAGGCGGATCACGTGCACGACTTCACGTGGTCGCCCGCTGAACCGCTCCTGGCAATGTACATCCCTGAATCCAACGGAGGCAACCAGCCCGCCAGGGTGAGTGCCAGCCCGCCAGGGTGAGTGGCTGTTCCCCTTAGTGAGTGGGGCACAGGGGGCAGCGAGTGCTTGAGTGAGCAGTCAAGGCCACCCACGTGCACGACTTCACGTGGTCGCCCGCGGAGCCGCTGCTTGCAATGTACATCCCCGAATCGAATGGGGGCAACCAGCCCGCTAGGGTGAGTGGGGTAGCAGGTTAGCAGCTTATGATCAGAGGTGGAGCACGGGTGGCAGCAGCATGTAGGTGAGGAACAGCGAGTCAAGTCCCTCAAGGCGGACCACGTGCACGACTTCACATGGTCGCCCGCTGAACTGCTCCTGGCAATGTACATCCCTGAGTCCAATGGAGGCAACCAGCCTGCTAGGGTGAGTGCCGCCTGCAAGGGCGAGTGGGGTGGGGCAGCAGGGGGGTATAGGAACGGTGATTGGTTAAACGGGCAGTGAGTGAGTCAAGGCGGACCACGTGGTCGCCTGCTGAGCCCATCCGCGCCTGCTAATGGAGGGAACCAGCCTGCTAGGGTGAGTGCCAGCCCGCCTGAATTGAGTGGGTGTGGGGTAGCAGCTCCGCCTGATCTAGTTTGCGACTATAGTTTGCGACCCGCATGGCGTGGCAGAGCGCGGGCGAGTACCTGGCAGTCAAAGTCGACCGTTACACCAAGACCAAGAAAACCACCTATTCAGGCTTCGAGCTCTTTCCACTGAACCCCCTTCCCCGTCCCCCGTTCGTTCTCCTCCGGCCCTCCGCCCCCCCGTCCTCTGTCCTCTCCCCTTTCCCCTTTCCCCCCCCCTCACACTGTCTGCAGGTGAGCTTGGTAGCCATCCCATCGCGCGAGGAGCTGAGGCAGAAGAACCTATTCAGTGTGAGCGAGTGCCGCATGGCGTGGCAGAGCGCGGGCGAGTACCTGGCAGTCAAGGTCGACCGCTACACCAAGACCAAGAAAACCACCTACTCAGGCTTCGAGCTCTTCCGAATCAAGGAGCGCGACATTCCAATCGAAGTCCTCGAGTTAGAAAACAAGAACGACAAAGTCATCGACTTCGCGTGGGAACCCAAGGGGCATCGGTTCGCGGTGATCCACGGGGACGGGCCGAAGCCGGACGTGTCGATTTACACGATGAAGCCGGCGGGAGCGGGGGGAGGGGGGGGCGTTGTGAAGGTGGCGAAGCTGACGACGCTGAAGGGGAAGCAGGCGAACACGCTGTGCTGGTCGCCCATGGGGCGGTTCCTGGTGCTGGCGGGGCTCAAGGGGTTCAACGGGCAGTTAGAGTTCTTCAATGTGGACGAGCTGGAGACCATGGGCACTGGCGAGCACTTCATGGCTACTGATGTTGAGTGGGACCCCACTGGCAGGTGAGATGGGCGGTGGTGCAGTGGGTGAGATGGGCAGGGTTTGGGTGTGCATGGCTGTGAAGAGAGGGGACTGGGGGGGGAAGGGGGGGAGGCGGAGCTCAAGGGGTTCAACGGGCAGTTAGAGTTCTTCAATGTGGACGAGCTGGAGACCATGGGCACTGGCGAGCACTTCATGGCTACTGATGTTGAGTGGGACCCCACTGGCAGGTGAGATGGGCGGTGGTGCAGTGGGTGAGATGGGCAGGGTTTGGGTGTGCATGGCTGTGAAGAGAGGGGACTGGGGGGGGAAGGGGGGGAGGCGGAGCTCAAGGGGTTCAACGGGCAGTTTGAGTTCTTCAATGTGGACGAGCTGGAGACCATGGGCACTGGCGAGCACTTCATGGCTACTGATGTTGAGTGGGACCCCACTGGCAGGTGAGATGGGCGGTGGTGCAGTGGGTGAGATGGGCAGGGTTTGGGTGTGCATGGCTGTGAAGAGAGGGGACTGGGGGGGGAAGGGGGGGAGGCGGAGCTCAAGGGGTTCAACGGGCAGTTTGAGTTCTTCAATGTGGACGAGCTGGAGACCATGGGCACTGGCGAGCACTTCATGGCTACTGATGTTGAGTGGGACCCCACTGGCAGGTGAGATGGGCGGTGGTGCAGTGGGTGAGATGGGCAGGGTTTGGGTGTGCATGGCTGTGAAGAGAGGGGACTGGGGGGGGAAGGGGGGGAGGCGGAGCTCAAGGGGTTCAACGGGCAGTTAGAGTTCTTCAATGTGGACGAGCTGGAGACCATGGGCACTGGCGAGCACTTCATGGCTACTGATGTTGAGTGGGACCCCACTGGCAGGTGAGATGGGCGGTGGTGCAGTGGGTGAGATGGGCAGGGTTTGGGTGTGCATGGCTGTGAAGAGAGGGGACTGGGGGGGGAAGGGGGGGAGGCGGAGCTCAAGGGGTTCAACGGGCAGTTAGAGTTCTTCAATGTGGACGAGCTGGAGACCATGGGCACTGGCGAGCACTTCATGGCTACTGATGTTGAGTGGGACCCCACTGGCAGGTGAGATGGGCGGTGGTGCAGTGGGTGAGATGGGCAGGGTTTGGGTGTGCATGGCTGTGAAGAGAGGGGACTGGGGGGGGAAGGGGGGGAGGCGGAGCTCAAGGGGTTCAACGGGCAGTTAGAGTTCTTCAATGTGGACGAGCTGGAGACCATGGGCACTGGCGAGCACTTCATGGCTACTGATGTTGAGTGGGACCCCACTGGCAGGTGAGATGGGCGGTGGTGCAGTGGGTGAGATGGGCAGGGTTTGGGTGTGCATGGCTGTGAAGAGAGGGGACTGGGGGGGGAAGGGGGGGAGGCGGAGCTCAAGGGGTTCAACGGGCAGTTAGAGTTCTTCAATGTGGACGAGCTGGAGACCATGGGCACTGGCGAGCACTTCATGGCTACTGATGTTGAGTGGGACCCCACTGGCAGGTGAGATGGGCGGTGGTGCAGTGGGTGAGATGGGCAGGGTTTGGGTGTGCATGGCTGTGAAGAGAGGGGACTGGGGGGGGAAGGGGGGGAGGCGGAGCTCAAGGGGTTCAACGGGCAGTTAGAGTTCTTCAATGTGGACGAGCTGGAGACCATGGGCACTGGCGAGCACTTCATGGCTACTGATGTTGAGTGGGACCCCACTGGCAGGTGAGATGGGCGGTGGTGCAGTGGGTGAGATGGGCAGGGTTTGGGTGTGCATGGCTGTGAAGAGAGGGGACTGGGGGGGGAAGGGGGGGAGGCGGAGCTCAAGGGGTTCAACGGGCAGTTAGAGTTCTTCAATGTGGACGAGCTGGAGACCATGGGCACTGGCGAGCACTTCATGGCTACTGATGTTGAGTGGGACCCCACTGGCAGGTGAGATGGGCGGTGGTGCAGTGGGTGAGATGGGCAGGGTTTGGGTGTGCATGGCTGTGAAGAGAGGGGACTGGGGGGGGAAGGGGGGGAGGCGGAGCTCAAGGGGTTCAACGGGCAGTTAGAGTTCTTCAATGTGGACGAGCTGGAGACCATGGGCACTGGCGAGCACTTCATGGCTACTGATGTTGAGTGGGACCCCACTGGCAGGTGAGATGGGCGGTGGTGCAGTGGGTGAGATGGGCAGGGTTTGGGTGTGCATGGCTGTGAAGAGAGGGGACTGGGGGGGGAAGGGGGGGAGGCGGAGCTCAAGGGGTTCAACGGGCAGTTAGAGTTCTTCAATGTGGACGAGCTGGAGACCATGGGCACTGGCGAGCACTTCATGGCTACTGATGTTGAGTGGGACCCCACTGGCAGGTGAGATGGGCGGTGGTGCAGTGGGTGAGATGGGCAGGGTTTGGGTGTGCATGGCTGTGAAGAGAGGGGACTGGGGGGGGAAGGGGGGGAGGCGGAGCTCAAGGGGTTCAACGGGCAGTTAGAGTTCTTCAATGTGGACGAGCTGGAGACCATGGGCACTGGCGAGCACTTCATGGCTACTGATGTTGAGTGGGACCCCACTGGCAGGTGAGATGGGCGGTGGTGCAGTGGGTGAGATGGGCAGGGTTTGGGTGTGCATGGCTGTGAAGAGAGGGGACTGGGGGGGGAAGGGGGGGAGGCGGAGCTCAAGGGGTTCAACGGGCAGTTAGAGTTCTTCAATGTGGACGAGCTGGAGACCATGGGCACTGGCGAGCACTTCATGGCTACTGATGTTGAGTGGGACCCCACTGGCAGGTGAGATGGGCGGTGGTGCAGTGGGTGAGATGGGCAGGGTTTGGGTGTGCATGGCTGTGAAGAGAGGGGACTGGGGGGGGAAGGGGGGGAGGCGGAGCTCAAGGGGTTCAACGGGCAGTTAGAGTTCTTCAATGTGGACGAGCTGGAGACCATGGGCACTGGCGAGCACTTCATGGCTACTGATGTTGAGTGGGACCCCACTGGCAGGTGAGATGGGCGGTGGTGCAGTGGGTGAGATGGGCAGGGTTTGGGTGTGCATGGCTGTGAAGAGAGGGGACTGGGGGGGGAAGGGGGGGAGGCGGAGCTCAAGGGGTTCAACGGGCAGTTAGAGTTCTTCAATGTGGACGAGCTGGAGACCATGGGCACTGGCGAGCACTTCATGGCTACTGATGTTGAGTGGGACCCCACTGGCAGGTGAGATGGGCGGTGGTGCAGTGGGTGAGATGGGCAGGGTTTGGGTGTGCATGGCTGTGAAGAGAGGGGACTGGGGGGGGAAGGGGGGGAGGCGGAGCTCAAGGGGTTCAACGGGCAGTTAGAGTTCTTCAATGTGGACGAGCTGGAGACCATGGGCACTGGCGAGCACTTCATGGCTACTGATGTTGAGTGGGACCCCACTGGCAGGTGAGATGGGCGGTGGTGCAGTGGGTGAGATGGGCAGGGTTTGGGTGTGCATGGCTGTGAAGAGAGGGGACTGGGGGGGGAAGGGGGGGAGGCGGAGCTCAAGGGGTTCAACGGGCAGTTAGAGTTCTTCAATGTGGACGAGCTGGAGACCATGGGCACTGGCGAGCACTTCATGGCTACTGATGTTGAGTGGGACCCCACTGGCAGGTGAGATGGGCGGTGGTGCAGTGGGTGAGATGGGCAGGGTTTGGGTGTGCATGGCTGTGAAGAGAGGGGACTGGGGGGGGAAGGGGGGGAGGCGGAGCTCAAGGGGTTCAACGGGCAGTTAGAGTTCTTCAATGTGGACGAGCTGGAGACCATGGGCACTGGCGAGCACTTCATGGCTACTGATGTTGAGTGGGACCCCACTGGCAGGTGAGATGGGCGGTGGTGCAGTGGGTGAGATGGGCAGGGTTTGGGTGTGCATGGCTGTGAAGAGAGGGGACTGGGGGGGGAAGGGGGGGAGGCGGAGCTCAAGGGGTTCAACGGGCAGTTAGAGTTCTTCAATGTGGACGAGCTGGAGACCATGGGCACTGGCGAGCACTTCATGGCTACTGATGTTGAGTGGGACCCCACTGGCAGGTGAGATGGGCGGTGGTGCAGTGGGTGAGATGGGCAGGGTTTGGGTGTGCATGGCTGTGAAGAGAGGGGACTGGGGGGGGAAGGGGGGGAGGCGGAGCTCAAGGGGTTCAACGGGCAGTTAGAGTTCTTCAATGTGGACGAGCTGGAGACCATGGGCACTGGCGAGCACTTCATGGCTACTGATGTTGAGTGGGACCCCACTGGCAGGTGAGATGGGCGGTGGTGCAGTGGGTGAGATGGGCAGGGTTTGGGTGTGCATGGCTGTGAAGAGAGGGGACTGGGGGGGGAAGGGGGGGAGGCGGAGCTCAAGGGGTTCAACGGGCAGTTAGAGTTCTTCAATGTGGACGAGCTGGAGACCATGGGCACTGGCGAGCACTTCATGGCTACTGATGTTGAGTGGGACCCCACTGGCAGGTGAGATGGGCGGTGGTGCAGTGGGTGAGATGGGCAGGGTTTGGGTGTGCATGGCTGTGAAGAGAGGGGACTGGGGGGGGAAGGGGGGGAGGCGGAGCTCAAGGGGTTCAACGGGCAGTTAGAGTTCTTCAATGTGGACGAGCTGGAGACCATGGGCACTGGCGAGCACTTCATGGCTACTGATGTTGAGTGGGACCCCACTGGCAGGTGAGATGGGCGGTGGTGCAGTGGGTGAGATGGGCAGGGTTTGGGTGTGCATGGCTGTGAAGAGAGGGGACTGGGGGGGGAAGGGGGGGAGGCGGAGCTCAAGGGGTTCAACGGGCAGTTAGAGTTCTTCAATGTGGACGAGCTGGAGACCATGGGCACTGGCGAGCACTTCATGGCTACTGATGTTGAGTGGGACCCCACTGGCAGGTGAGATGGGCGGTGGTGCAGTGGGTGAGATGGGCAGGGTTTGGGTGTGCATGGCTGTGAAGAGAGGGGACTGGGGGGGGAAGGGGGGGAGGCGGAGCTCAAGGGGTTCAACGGGCAGTTAGAGTTCTTCAATGTGGACGAGCTGGAGACCATGGGCACTGGCGAGCACTTCATGGCTACTGATGTTGAGTGGGACCCCACTGGCAGGTGAGATGGGCGGTGGTGCAGTGGGTGAGATGGGCAGGGTTTGGGTGTGCATGGCTGTGAAGAGAGGGGACTGGGGGGGGGAAGGGGGGGAGGCGGAGCTCAAGGGGTTCAACGGGCAGTTAGAGTTCTTCAATGTGGACGAGCTGGAGACCATGGGCACTGGCGAGCACTTCATGGCTACTGATGTTGAGTGGGACCCCACTGGCAGGTGAGATGGGCGGTGGTGCAGTGGGTGAGATGGGCAGGGTTTGGGTGTGCATGGCTGTGAAGAGAGGGGACTGGGGGGGGAAGGGGGGGAGGCGGAGCTCAAGGGGTTCAACGGGCAGTTAGAGTTCTTCAATGTGGACGAGCTGGAGACCATGGGCACTGGCGAGCACTTCATGGCTACTGATGTTGAGTGGGACCCCACTGGCAGGTGAGATGGGCGGTGGTGCAGTGGGTGAGATGGGCAGGGTTTGGGTGTGCATGGCTGTGAAGAGAGGGGACTGGGGGGGGAAGGGGGGGAGGCGGAGCTCAAGGGGTTCAACGGGCAGTTAGAGTTCTTCAATGTGGACGAGCTGGAGACCATGGGCACTGGCGAGCACTTCATGGCTACTGATGTTGAGTGGGACCCCACTGGCAGGTGAGATGGGCGGTGGTGCAGTGGGTGAGATGGGCAGGGTTTGGGTGTGCATGGCTGTGAAGAGAGGGGACTGGGGGGGGAAGGGGGGGAGGCGGAGCTCAAGGGGTTCAACGGGCAGTTAGAGTTCTTCAATGTGGACGAGCTGGAGACCATGGGCACTGGCGAGCACTTCATGGCTACTGATGTTGAGTGGGACCCCACTGGCAGGTGAGATGGGCGGTGGTGCAGTGGGTGAGATGGGCAGGGTTTGGGTGTGCATGGCTGTGAAGAGAGGGGACTGGGGGGGGAAGGGGGGGAGGCGGAGCTCAAGGGGTTCAACGGGCAGTTAGAGTTCTTCAATGTGGACGAGCTGGAGACCATGGGCACTGGCGAGCACTTCATGGCTACTGATGTTGAGTGGGACCCCACTGGCAGGTGAGATGGGCGGTGGTGCAGTGGGTGAGATGGGCAGGGTTTGGGTGTGCATGGCTGTGAAGAGAGGGGACTGGGGGGGGAAGGGGGGGAGGCGGAGCTCAAGGGGTTCAACGGGCAGTTAGAGTTCTTCAATGTGGACGAGCTGGAGACCATGGGCACTGGCGAGCACTTCATGGCTACTGATGTTGAGTGGGACCCCACTGGCAGGTGAGATGGGCGGTGGTGCAGTGGGTGAGATGGGCAGGGTTTGGGTGTGCATGGCTGTGAAGAGAGGGGACTGGGGGGGGAAGGGGGGGAGGCGGAGCTCAAGGGGTTCAACGGGCAGTTAGAGTTCTTCAATGTGGACGAGCTGGAGACCATGGGCACTGGCGAGCACTTCATGGCTACTGATGTTGAGTGGGACCCCACTGGCAGGTGAGATGGGCGGTGGTGCAGTGGGTGAGATGGGCAGGGTTTGGGTGTGCATGGCTGTGAAGAGAGGGGACTGGGGGGGGAAGGGGGGGAGGCGGAGCTCAAGGGGTTCAACGGGCAGTTAGAGTTCTTCAATGTGGACGAGCTGGAGACCATGGGCACTGGCGAGCACTTCATGGCTACTGATGTTGAGTGGGACCCCACTGGCAGGTGAGATGGGCGGTGGTGCAGTGGGTGAGATGGGCAGGGTTTGGGTGTGCATGGCTGTGAAGAGAGGGGACTGGGGGGGGAAGGGGGGGAGGCGGAGCTCAAGGGGTTCAACGGGCAGTTAGAGTTCTTCAATGTGGACGAGCTGGAGACCATGGGCACTGGCGAGCACTTCATGGCTACTGATGTTGAGTGGGACCCCACTGGCAGGTGAGATGGGCGGTGGTGCAGTGGGTGAGATGGGCAGGGTTTGGGTGTGCATGGCTGTGAAGAGAGGGGACTGGGGGGGGAAGGGGGGGAGGCGGAGCTCAAGGGGTTCAACGGGCAGTTAGAGTTCTTCAATGTGGACGAGCTGGAGACCATGGGCACTGGCGAGCACTTCATGGCTACTGATGTTGAGTGGGACCCCACTGGCAGGTGAGATGGGCGGTGGTGCAGTGGGTGAGATGGGCAGGGTTTGGGTGTGCATGGCTGTGAAGAGAGGGGACTGGGGGGGGAAGGGGGGGAGGCGGAGCTCAAGGGGTTCAACGGGCAGTTAGAGTTCTTCAATGTGGACGAGCTGGAGACCATGGGCACTGGCGAGCACTTCATGGCTACTGATGTTGAGTGGGACCCCACTGGCAGGTGAGATGGGCGGTGGTGCAGTGGGTGAGATGGGCAGGGTTTGGGTGTGCATGGCTGTGAAGAGAGGGGACTGGGGGGGGAAGGGGGGGAGGCGGAGCTCAAGGGGTTCAACGGGCAGTTAGAGTTCTTCAATGTGGACGAGCTGGAGACCATGGGCACTGGCGAGCACTTCATGGCTACTGATGTTGAGTGGGACCCCACTGGCAGGTGAGATGGGCGGTGGTGCAGTGGGTGAGATGGGCAGGGTTTGGGTGTGCATGGCTGTGAAGAGAGGGGACTGGGGGGGGAAGGGGGGGAGGCGGAGCTCAAGGGGTTCAACGGGCAGTTAGAGTTCTTCAATGTGGACGAGCTGGAGACCATGGGCACTGGCGAGCACTTCATGGCTACTGATGTTGAGTGGGACCCCACTGGCAGGTGAGATGGGCGGTGGTGCAGTGGGTGAGATGGGCAGGGTTTGGGTGTGCATGGCTGTGAAGAGAGGGGACTGGGGGGGGAAGGGGGGGAGGCGGAGCTCAAGGGGTTCAACGGGCAGTTAGAGTTCTTCAATGTGGACGAGCTGGAGACCATGGGCACTGGCGAGCACTTCATGGCTACTGATGTTGAGTGGGACCCCACTGGCAGGTGAGATGGGCGGTGGTGCAGTGGGTGAGATGGGCAGGGTTTGGGTGTGCATGGCTGTGAAGAGAGGGGACTGGGGGGGGAAGGGGGGGAGGCGGAGCTCAAGGGGTTCAACGGGCAGTTAGAGTTCTTCAATGTGGACGAGCTGGAGACCATGGGCACTGGCGAGCACTTCATGGCTACTGATGTTGAGTGGGACCCCACTGGCAGGTGAGATGGGCGGTGGTGCAGTGGGTGAGATGGGCAGGGTTTGGGTGTGCATGGCTGTGAAGAGAGGGGACTGGGGGGGGAAGGGGGGGAGGCGGAGCTCAAGGGGTTCAACGGGCAGTTAGAGTTCTTCAATGTGGACGAGCTGGAGACCATGGGCACTGGCGAGCACTTCATGGCTACTGATGTTGAGTGGGACCCCACTGGCAGGTGAGATGGGCGGTGGTGCAGTGGGTGAGATGGGCAGGGTTTGGGTGTGCATGGCTGTGAAGAGAGGGGACTGGGGGGGGAAGGGGGGGAGGCGGAGCTCAAGGGGTTCAACGGGCAGTTAGAGTTCTTCAATGTGGACGAGCTGGAGACCATGGGCACTGGCGAGCACTTCATGGCTACTGATGTTGAGTGGGACCCCACTGGCAGGTGAGATGGGCGGTGGTGCAGTGGGTGAGATGGGCAGGGTTTGGGTGTGCATGGCTGTGAAGAGAGGGGACTGGGGGGGGAAAGGGGGGGAGGCGGAGCTCAAGGGGTTCAACGGGCAGTTAGAGTTCTTCAATGTGGACGAGCTGGAGACCATGGGCACTGGCGAGCACTTCATGGCTACTGATGTTGAGTGGGACCCCACTGGCAGGTGAGATGGGCGGTGGTGCAGTGGGTGAGATGGGCAGGGTTTGGGTGTGCATGGCTGTGAAGAGAGGGGACTGGGGGGGAAGGGGGGGAGGCGGAGCTCAAGGGGTTCAACGGGCAGTTAGAGTTCTTCAATGTGGACGAGCTGGAGACCATGGGCACTGGCGAGCACTTCATGGCTACTGATGTTGAGTGGGACCCCACTGGCAGGTGAGATGGGCGGTGGTGCAGTGGGTGAGATGGGCAGGGTTTGGGTGTGCATGGCTGTGAAGAGAGGGGACTGGGGGGGGAAGGGGGGGAGGCGGAGCTCAAGGGGTTCAACGGGCAGTTAGAGTTCTTCAATGTGGACGAGCTGGAGACCATGGGCACTGGCGAGCACTTCATGGCTACTGATGTTGAGTGGGACCCCACTGGCAGGTGAGATGGGCGGTGGTGCAGTGGGTGAGATGGGCAGGGTTTGGGTGTGCATGGCTGTGAAGAGAGGGGACTGGGGGGGGAAGGGGGGGAGGCGGAGCTCAAGGGGTTCAACGGGCAGTTAGAGTTCTTCAATGTGGACGAGCTGGAGACCATGGGCACTGGCGAGCACTTCATGGCTACTGATGTTGAGTGGGACCCCACTGGCAGGTGAGATGGGCGGTGGTGCAGTGGGTGAGATGGGCAGGGTTTGGGTGTGCATGGCTGTGAAGAGAGGGGACTGGGGGGGGGAAGGGGGGGAGGCGGAGCTCAAGGGGTTCAACGGGCAGTTAGAGTTCTTCAATGTGGACGAGCTGGAGACCATGGGCACTGGCGAGCACTTCATGGCTACTGATGTTGAGTGGGACCCCACTGGCAGGTGAGATGGGCGGTGGTGCAGTGGGTGAGATGGGCAGGGTTTGGGTGTGCATGGCTGTGAAGAGAGGGGACTGGGGGGGGAAGGGGGGGAGGCGGAGCTCAAGGGGTTCAACGGGCAGTTAGAGTTCTTCAATGTGGACGAGCTGGAGACCATGGGCACTGGCGAGCACTTCATGGCTACTGATGTTGAGTGGGACCCCACTGGCAGGTGAGATGGGCGGTGGTGCAGTGGGTGAGATGGGCAGGGTTTGGGTGTGCATGGCTGTGAAGAGAGGGGACTGGGGGGGGAAGGGGGGGAGGCGGAGCTCAAGGGTTCAACGGGCAGTTTGAGTTCTTCAATGTGGACGAGCTGGAGACCATGGGCACTGGCGAGCACTTCATGGCTACTGATGTTGAGTGGGACCCCACTGGCAGGTGAGATGGGCGGTGGTGCAGTGGGTGAGATGGGCAGGGTTTGGGTGTGCATGGCTGTGAAGAGAGGGGACTGGGGGGGGAAGGGGGGGAGGCGGAGCTCAAGGGGTTCAACGGGCAGTTTGAGTTCTTCAATGTGGACGAGCTGGAGACCATGGGCACTGGCGAGCACTTCATGGCTACTGATGTTGAGTGGGACCCCACTGGCAGGTGAGATGGGCGGTGGTGCAGTGGGTGAGATGGGCAGGGTTTGGGTGTGCATGGCTGTGAAGAGAGGGGACTGGGGGGGGAAGGGGGGGAGGCGGAGCTCAAGGGGTTCAACAGGCAGTTAGAGTTCTTCAATGTGGACGAGCTGGAGACCATGGGCACTGGCGAGCACTTCATGGCTACTGATGTTGAGTGGGACCCCACTGGCAGGTGAGATGGGCGGTGGTGCAGTGGGTGAGATGGGCAGGGTTTGGGTGTGCATGGCTGTGAAGAGAGGGGACTGGGGGGGGAAGGGGGGGAGGCGGAGCTCAAGGGGTTCAACGGGCAGTTAGAGTTCTTCAATGTGGACGAGCTGGAGACCATGGGCACTGGCGAGCACTTCATGGCTACTGATGTTGAGTGGGACCCCACTGGCAGGTGAGATGGGCGGTGGTGCAGTGGGTGAGATGGGCAGGGTTTGGGTGTGCATGGCTGTGAAGAGAGGGGACTGGGGGGGGAAGGGGGGGAGGCGGAGCTCAAGGGGTTCAACGGGCAGTTTGAGTTCTTCAATGTGGACGAGCTGGAGACCATGGGCACTGGCGAGCACTTCATGGCTACTGATGTTGAGTGGGACCCCACTGGCAGGTGAGATGGGCGGTGGTGCAGTGGGTGAGATGGGCAGGGTTTGGGTGTGCATGGCTGTGAAGAGAGGGGACTGGGGGGGGAAGGGGGGGAGGCGGAGCTCAAGGGGTTCAACGGGCAGTTAGAGTTCTTCAATGTGGACGAGCTGGAGACCATGGGCACTGGCGAGCACTTCATGGCTACTGATGTTGAGTGGGACCCCACTGGCAGGTGAGATGGGCGGTGGTGCAGTGGGTGAGATGGGCAGGGTTTGGGTGTGCATGGCTGTGAAGAGAGGGGACTGGGGGGGGAAGGGGGGGAGGCGGAGCTCAAGGGGTTCAACGGGCAGTTTGAGTTCTTCAATGTGGACGAGCTGGAGACCATGGGCACTGGCGAGCACTTCATGGCTACTGATGTTGAGTGGGACCCCACTGGCAGGTGAGATGGGCGGTGGTGCAGTGGGTGAGATGGGCAGGGTTTGGGTGTGCATGGCTGTGAAGAGAGGGGACTGGGGGGGGAAGGGGGGGAGGCGGAGCTCAAGGGGTTCAACGGGCAGTTTGAGTTCTTCAATGTGGACGAGCTGGAGACCATGGGCACTGGCGAGCACTTCATGGCTACTGATGTTGAGTGGGACCCCACTGGCAGGTGAGATGGGCGGTGGTGCAGTGGGTGAGATGGGCAGGGTTTGGGTGTGCATGGCTGTGAAGAGAGGGGACTGGGGGGGGAAGGGGGGGAGGCGGAGCTCAAGGGGTTCAACGGGCAGTTTGAGTTCTTCAATGTGGACGAGCTGGAGACCATGGGCACTGGCGAGCACTTCATGGCTACTGATGTTGAGTGGGACCCCACTGGCAGGTGAGATGGGCGGTGGTGCAGTGGGTGAGATGGGCAGGGTTTGGGTGTGCATGGCTGTGAAGAGAGGGGACTGGGGGGGAAGGGGGGGAGGCGGAGCTCAAGGGGTTCAACGGGCAGTTTGAGTTCTTCAATGTGGACGAGCTGGAGACCATGGGCACTGGCGAGCACTTCATGGCTACTGATGTTGAGTGGGACCCCACTGGCAGGTGAGATGGGCGGTGGTGCAGTGGGTGAGATGGGCAGGGTTTGGGTGTGCATGGCTGTGAAGAGAGGGGACTGGGGGGGGAAGGGGGGGAGGCGGAGCTCAAGGGGTTCAACGGGCAGTTAGAGTTCTTCAATGTGGACGAGCTGGAGACCATGGGCACTGGCGAGCACTTCATGGCTACTGATGTTGAGTGGGACCCCACTGGCAGGTGAGATGGGCGGTGGTGCAGTGGGTGAGATGGGCAGGGTTTGGGTGTGCATGGCTGTGAAGAGAGGGGACTGGGGGGGGAAGGGGGGGAGGCGGAGCTCAAGGGGTTCAACGGGCAGTTTGAGTTCTTCAATGTGGACGAGCTGGAGACCATGGGCACTGGCGAGCACTTCATGGCTACTGATGTTGAGTGGGACCCCACTGGCAGGTGAGATGGGCGGTGGTGCAGTGGGTGAGATGGGCAGGGTTTGGGTGTGCATGGCTGTGAAGAGAGGGGACTGGGGGGGGAAGGGGGGGAGGCGGAGCTCAAGGGGTTCAACGGGCAGTTTGAGTTCTTCAATGTGGACGAGCTGGAGACCATGGGCACTGGCGAGCACTTCATGGCTACTGATGTTGAGTGGGACCCCACTGGCAGGTGAGATGGGCGGTGGTGCAGTGGGTGAGATGGGCAGGGTTTGGGTGTGCATGGCTGTGAAGAGAGGGGACTGGGGGGGGAAGGGGGGGAGGCGGAGCTCAAGGGGTTCAACGGGCAGTTTGAGTTCTTCAATGTGGACGAGCTGGAGACCATGGGCACTGGCGAGCACTTCATGGCTACTGATGTTGAGTGGGACCCCACTGGCAGGTGAGATGGGCGGTGGTGCAGTGGGTGAGATGGGCAGGGTTTGGGTGTGCATGGCTGTGAAGAGAGGGGACTGGGGGGGGAAGGGGGGGAGGCGGAGCTCAAGGGGTTCAACGGGCAGTTTGAGTTCTTCAATGTGGACGAGCTGGAGACCATGGGCACTGGCGAGCACTTCATGGCTACTGATGTTGAGTGGGACCCCACTGGCAGGTGAGATGGGCGGTGGTGCAGTGGGTGAGATGGGCAGGGTTTGGGTGTGCATGGCTGTGAAGAGAGGGGACTGGGGGGGGAAGGGGGGGAGGCGGAGCTCAAGGGGTTCAACGGGCAGTTTAGAGTTCTTCAATGTGGACGAGCTGGAGACCATGGGCACTGGCGAGCACTTCATGGCTACTGATGTTGAGTGGGACCCCACTGGCAGGTGAGATGGGCGGTGGTGCAGTGGGTGAGATGGGCAGGGTTTGGGTGTGCATGGCTGTGAAGAGAGGGGACTGGGGGGGGAAGGGGGGGAGGCGGAGCTCAAGGGGTTCAACGGGCAGTTTGAGTTCTTCAATGTGGACGAGCTGGAGACCATGGGCACTGGCGAGCACTTCATGGCTACTGATGTTGAGTGGGACCCCACTGGCAGGTGAGATGGGCGGTGGTGCAGTGGGTGAGATGGGCAGGGTTTGGGTGTGCATGGCTGTGAAGAGAGGGGACTGGGGGGGGAAGGGGGGGAGGCGGAGCTCAAGGGGTTCAACGGGCAGTTTGAGTTCTTCAATGTGGACGAGCTGGAGACCATGGGCACTGGCGAGCACTTCATGGCTACTGATGTTGAGTGGGACCCCACTGGCAGGTGAGATGGGCGGTGGTGCAGTGGGTGAGATGGGCAGGGTTTGGGTGTGCATGGCTGTGAAGAGAGGGGACTGGGGGGGGAAGGGGGGGAGGCGGAGCTCAAGGGGTTCAACGGGCAGTTTGAGTTCTTCAATGTGGACGAGCTGGAGACCATGGGCACTGGCGAGCACTTCATGGCTACTGATGTTGAGTGGGACCCCACTGGCAGGTGAGATGGGCGGTGGTGCAGTGGGTGAGATGGGCAGGGTTTGGGTGTGCATGGCTGTGAAGAGAGGGGACTGGGGGGGGAAGGGGGGGAGGCGGAGCTCAAGGGGTTCAACGGGCAGTTTGAGTTCTTCAATGTGGACGAGCTGGAGACCATGGGCACTGGCGAGCACTTCATGGCTACTGATGTTGAGTGGGACCCCACTGGCAGGTGAGATGGGCGGTGGTGCAGTGGGTGAGATGGGCAGGGTTTGGGTGTGCATGGCTGTGAAGAGAGGGGACTGGGGGGGGAAGGGGGGGAGGCGGAGCTCAAGGGGTTCAACGGGCAGTTTGAGTTCTTCAATGTGGACGAGCTGGAGACCATGGGCACTGGCGAGCACTTCATGGCTACTGATGTTGAGTGGGACCCCACTGGCAGGTGAGATGGGCGGTGGTGCAGTGGGTGAGATGGGCAGGGTTTGGGTGTGCATGGCTGTGAAGAGAGGGGACTGGGGGGGGAAGGGGGGGAGGCGGAGCTCAAGGGGTTCAACGGGCAGTTTGAGTTCTTCAATGTGGACGAGCTGGAGACCATGGGCACTGGCGAGCACTTCATGGCTACTGATGTTGAGTGGGACCCCACTGGCAGGTGAGATGGGCGGTGGTGCAGTGGGTGAGATGGGCAGGGTTTGGGTGTGCATGGCTGTGAAGAGAGGGGACTGGGGGGGGAAGGGGGGGAGGCGGAGCTCAAGGGGTTCAACGGGCAGTTTGAGTTCTTCAATGTGGACGAGCTGGAGACCATGGGCACTGGCGAGCACTTCATGGCTACTGATGTTGAGTGGGACCCCACTGGCAGGTGAGATGGGCGGTGGTGCAGTGGGTGAGATGGGCAGGGTTTGGGTGTGCATGGCTGTGAAGAGAGGGGACTGGGGGGGGAAGGGGGGGAGGCGGAGCTCAAGGGGTTCAACGGGCAGTTTGAGTTCTTCAATGTGGACGAGCTGGAGACCATGGGCACTGGCGAGCACTTCATGGCTACTGATGTTGAGTGGGACCCCACTGGCAGGTGAGATGGGCGGTGGTGCAGTGGGTGAGATGGGCAGGGTTTGGGTGTGCATGGCTGTGAAGAGAGGGGACTGGGGGGGGAAGGGGGGGAGGCGGAGCTCAAGGGGTTCAACGGGCAGTTTGAGTTCTTCAATGTGGACGAGCTGGAGACCATGGGCACTGGCGAGCACTTCATGGCTACTGATGTTGAGTGGGACCCCACTGGCAGGTGAGATGGGCGGTGGTGCAGTGGGTGAGATGGGCAGGGTTTGGGTGTGCATGGCTGTGAAGAGAGGGGACTGGGGGGGGAAGGGGGGGAGGCGGAGCTCAAGGGGTTCAACGGGCAGTTTGAGTTCTTCAATGTGGACGAGCTGGAGACCATGGGCACTGGCGAGCACTTCATGGCTACTGATGTTGAGTGGGACCCCACTGGCAGGTGAGATGGGCGGTGGTGCAGTGGGTGAGATGGGCAGGGTTTGGGTGTGCATGGCTGTGAAGAGAGGGGACTGGGGGGGGAAGGGGGGGAGGCGGAGCTCAAGGGGTTCAACGGGCAGTTTGAGTTCTTCAATGTGGACGAGCTGGAGACCATGGGCACTGGCGAGCACTTCATGGCTACTGATGTTGAGTGGGACCCCACTGGCAGGTGAGATGGGCGGTGGTGCAGTGGGTGAGATGGGCAGGGTTTGGGTGTGCATGGCTGTGAAGAGAGGGGACTGGGGGGGGAAGGGGGGGAGGCGGAGCTCAAGGGGTTCAACGGGCAGTTTGAGTTCTTCAATGTGGACGAGCTGGAGACCATGGGCACTGGCGAGCACTTCATGGCTACTGATGTTGAGTGGGACCCCACTGGCAGGTGAGATGGGCGGTGGTGCAGTGGGTGAGATGGGCAGGGTTTGGGTGTGCATGGCTGTGAAGAGAGGGGACTGGGGGGGGAAGGGGGGGAGGCGGAGCTCAAGGGGTTCAACGGGCAGTTTGAGTTCTTCAATGTGGACGAGCTGGAGACCATGGGCACTGGCGAGCACTTCATGGCTACTGATGTTGAGTGGGACCCCACTGGCAGGTGAGATGGGCGGTGGTGCAGTGGGTGAGATGGGCAGGGTTTGGGTGTGCATGGCTGTGAAGAGAGGGGACTGGGGGGGGAAGGGGGGGAGGCGGAGCTCAAGGGGTTCAACGGGCAGTTTGAGTTCTTCAATGTGGACGAGCTGGAGACCATGGGCACTGGCGAGCACTTCATGGCTACTGATGTTGAGTGGGACCCCACTGGCAGGTGAGATGGGCGGTGGTGCAGTGGGTGAGATGGGCAGGGTTTGGGTGTGCATGGCTGTGAAGAGAGGGGACTGGGGGGGGAAGGGGGGGAGGCGGAGCTCAAGGGGTTCAACGGGCAGTTTGAGTTCTTCAATGTGGACGAGCTGGAGACCATGGGCACTGGCGAGCACTTCATGGCTACTGATGTTGAGTGGGACCCCACTGGCAGGTGAGATGGGCGGTGGTGCAGTGGGTGAGATGGGCAGGGTTTGGGTGTGCATGGCTGTGAAGAGAGGGGACTGGGGGGGGAAGGGGGGGAGGCGGAGCTCAAGGGGTTCAACGGGCAGTTTGAGTTCTTCAATGTGGACGAGCTGGAGACCATGGGCACTGGCGAGCACTTCATGGCTACTGATGTTGAGTGGGACCCCACTGGCAGGTGAGATGGGCGGTGGTGCAGTGGGTGAGATGGGCAGGGTTTGGGTGTGCATGGCTGTGAAGAGAGGGGACTGGGGGGGGAAGGGGGGGAGGCGGAGCTCAAGGGGTTCAACGGGCAGTTTGAGTTCTTCAATGTGGACGAGCTGGAGACCATGGGCACTGGCGAGCACTTCATGGCTACTGATGTTGAGTGGGACCCCACTGGCAGGTGAGATGGGCGGTGGTGCAGTGGGTGAGATGGGCAGGGTTTGGGTGTGCATGGCTGTGAAGAGAGGGGACTGGGGGGGGAAGGGGGGGAGGCGGAGCTCAAGGGGTTCAACGGGCAGTTTGAGTTCTTCAATGTGGACGAGCTGGAGACCATGGGCACTGGCGAGCACTTCATGGCTACTGATGTTGAGTGGGACCCCACTGGCAGGTGAGATGGGCGGTGGTGCAGTGGGTGAGATGGGCAGGGTTTGGGTGTGCATGGCTGTGAAGAGAGGGGACTGGGGGGGGAAGGGGGGGAGGCGGAGCTCAAGGGGTTCAACGGGCAGTTTGAGTTCTTCAATGTGGACGAGCTGGAGACCATGGGCACTGGCGAGCACTTCATGGCTACTGATGTTGAGTGGGACCCCACTGGCAGGTGAGATGGGCGGTGGTGCAGTGGGTGAGATGGGCAGGGTTTGGGTGTGCATGGCTGTGAAGAGAGGGGACTGGGGGGGGAAGGGGGGGAGGCGGAGCTCAAGGGGTTCAACGGGCAGTTTGAGTTCTTCAATGTGGACGAGCTGGAGACCATGGGCACTGGCGAGCACTTCATGGCTACTGATGTTGAGTGGGACCCCACTGGCAGGTGAGATGGGCGGTGGTGCAGTGGGTGAGATGGGCAGGGTTTGGGTGTGCATGGCTGTGAAGAGAGGGGACTGGGGGGGGAAGGGGGGGAGGCGGAGCTCAAGGGGTTCAACGGGCAGTTTGAGTTCTTCAATGTGGACGAGCTGGAGACCATGGGCACTGGCGAGCACTTCATGGCTACTGATGTTGAGTGGGACCCCACTGGCAGGTGAGATGGGCGGTGGTGCAGTGGGTGAGATGGGCAGGGTTTGGGTGTGCATGGCTGTGAAGAGAGGGGACTGGGGGGGGAAGGGGGGGAGGCGGAGCTCAAGGGGTTCAACGGGCAGTTTGAGTTCTTCAATGTGGACGAGCTGGAGACCATGGGCACTGGCGAGCACTTCATGGCTACTGATGTTGAGTGGGACCCCACTGGCAGGTGAGATGGGCGGTGGTGCAGTGGGTGAGATGGGCAGGGTTTGGGTGTGCATGGCTGTGAAGAGAGGGGACTGGGGGGGGAAGGGGGGGAGGCGGGAGCTCAAGGGGTTCAACGGGCAGTTTGAGTTCTTCAATGTGGACGAGCTGGAGACCATGGGCACTGGCGAGCACTTCATGGCTACTGATGTTGAGTGGGACCCCACTGGCAGGTGAGATGGGCGGTGGTGCAGTGGGTGAGATGGGCAGGGTTTGGGTGTGCATGGCTGTGAAGAGAGGGGACTGGGGGGGGAAGGGGGGGAGGCGGAGCTCAAGGGGTTCAACGGGCAGTTTGAGTTCTTCAATGTGGACGAGCTGGAGACCATGGGCACTGGCGAGCACTTCATGGCTACTGATGTTGAGTGGGACCCCACTGGCAGGTGAGATGGGCGGTGGTGCAGTGGGTGAGATGGGCAGGGTTTGGGTGTGCATGGCTGTGAAGAGAGGGGACTGGGGGGGGAAGGGGGGGAGGCGGAGCTCAAGGGGTTCAACGGGCAGTTTGAGTTCTTCAATGTGGACGAGCTGGAGACCATGGGCACTGGCGAGCACTTCATGGCTACTGATGTTGAGTGGGACCCCACTGGCAGGTGAGATGGGCGGTGGTGCAGTGGGTGAGATGGGCAGGGTTTGGGTGTGCATGGCTGTGAAGAGAGGGGACTGGGGGGGGAAGGGGGGGAGGCGGAGCTCAAGGGGTTCAACGGGCAGTTTGAGTTCTTCAATGTGGACGAGCTGGAGACCATGGGCACTGGCGAGCACTTCATGGCTACTGATGTTGAGTGGGACCCCACTGGCAGGTGAGATGGGCGGTGGTGCAGTGGGTGAGATGGGCAGGGTTTGGGTGTGCATGGCTGTGAAGAGAGGGGACTGGGGGGGAAGGGGGGGAGGCGGAGCTCAAGGGGTTCAACGGGCAGTTTGAGTTCTTCAATGTGGACGAGCTGGAGACCATGGGCACTGGCGAGCACTTCATGGCTACTGATGTTGAGTGGGACCCCACTGGCAGGTGAGATGGGCGGTGGTGCAGTGGGTGAGATGGGCAGGGTTTGGGTGTGCATGGCTGTGAAGAGAGGGGACTGGGGGGGGAAGGGGGGGAGGCGGAGCTCAAGGGGTTCAACGGGCAGTTTGAGTTCTTCAATGTGGACGAGCTGGAGACCATGGGCACTGGCGAGCACTTCATGGCTACTGATGTTGAGTGGGACCCCACTGGCAGGTGAGATGGGCGGTGGTGCAGTGGGTGAGATGGGCAGGGTTTGGGTGTGCATGGCTGTGAAGAGAGGGGACTGGGGGGGGAAGGGGGGGAGGCGGAGCTCAAGGGGTTCAACGGGCAGTTTGAGTTCTTCAATGTGGACGAGCTGGAGACCATGGGCACTGGCGAGCACTTCATGGCTACTGATGTTGAGTGGGACCCCACTGGCAGGTGAGATGGGCGGTGGTGCAGTGGGTGAGATGGGCAGGGTTTGGGTGTGCATGGCTGTGAAGAGAGGGGACTGGGGGGGGAAGGGGGGGAGGCGGAGCTCAAGGGGTTCAACGGGCAGTTTGAGTTCTTCAATGTGGACGAGCTGGAGACCATGGGCACTGGCGAGCACTTCATGGCTACTGATGTTGAGTGGGACCCCACTGGCAGGTGAGATGGGCGGTGGTGCAGTGGGTGAGATGGGCAGGGTTTGGGTGTGCATGGCTGTGAAGAGAGGGGACTGGGGGGGGAAGGGGGGAGGCGGAGCTCAAGGGGTTTCAACGGGCAGTTTGAGTTCTTCAATGTGGACGAGCTGGAGACCATGGGCACTGGCGAGCACTTCATGGCTACTGATGTTGAGTGGGACCCCACTGGCAGGTGAGATGGGCGGTGGTGCAGTGGGTGAGATGGGCAGGGTTTGGGTGTGCATGGCTGTGAAGAGAGGGGACTGGGGGGGGAAGGGGGGGAGGCGGAGCTCAAGGGGTTCAACGGGCAGTTTGAGTTCTTCAATGTGGACGAGCTGGAGACCATGGGCACTGGCGAGCACTTCATGGCTACTGATGTTGAGTGGGACCCCACTGGCAGGTGAGATGGGCGGTGGTGCAGTGGGTGAGATGGGCAGGGTTTGGGTGTGCATGGCTGTGAAGAGAGGGGACTGGGGGGGGAAGGGGGGGAGGCGGGGCTCAAGGGGTTCAACGGGCAGTTTGAGTTCTTCAATGTGGACGAGCTGGAGACCATGGGCACTGGCGAGCACTTCATGGCTACTGATGTTGAGTGGGACCCCACTGGCAGGTGAGATGGGCGGTGGTGCAGTGGGTGAGATGGGCAGGGTTTGGGTGTGCATGGCTGTGAAGAGAGGGGACTGGGGGGGGAAGGGGGGGAGGCGGAGCTCAAGGGGTTCAACGGGCAGTTTGAGTTCTTCAATGTGGACGAGCTGGAGACCATGGGCACTGGCGAGCACTTCATGGCTACTGATGTTGAGTGGGACCCCACTGGCAGGTGAGATGGGCGGTGGTGCAGTGGGTGAGATGGGCAGGGTTTGGGTGTGCATGGCTGTGAAGAGAGGGGACTGGGGGGGGAAGGGGGGGAGGCGGGGCTCAAGGGGTTCAACGGGCAGTTTGAGTTCTTCAATGTGGACGAGCTGGAGACCATGGGCACTGGCGAGCACTTCATGGCTACTGATGTTGAGTGGGACCCCACTGGCAGGTGAGATGGGCGGGTGGTGCAGTGGGTGAGATGGGCAGGGTTTGGGTGTGCATGGCTGTGAAGAGAGGGGACTGGGGGGGGAAGGGGGGGAGGCGGAGCTCAAGGGGTTCAACGGGCAGTTTGAGTTCTTCAATGTGGACGAGCTGGAGACCATGGGCACTGGCGAGCACTTCATGGCTACTGATGTTGAGTGGGACCCCACTGGCAGGTGAGATGGGCGGTGGTGCAGTGGGTGAGATGGGCAGGGTTTGGGTGTGCATGGCTGTGAAGAGAGGGGACTGGGGGGGGAAGGGGGGGAGGCGGAGCTCAAGGGGTTCAACGGGCAGTTTGAGTTCTTCAATGTGGACGAGCTGGAGACCATGGGCACTGGCGAGCACTTCATGGCTACTGATGTTGAGTGGGACCCCACTGGCAGGTGAGATGGGCGGTGGTGCAGTGGGTGAGATGGGCAGGGTTTGGGTGTGCATGGCTGTGAAGAGAGGGGACTGGGGGGGAAGGGGGGGAGGCGGAGCTCAAGGGGTTCAACGGGCAGTTTGAGTTCTTCAATGTGGACGAGCTGGAGACCATGGGCACTGGCGAGCACTTCATGGCTACTGATGTTGAGTGGGACCCCACTGGCAGGTGAGATGGGCGGTGGTGCAGTGGGTGAGATGGGCAGGGTTTGGGTGTGCATGGCTGTGAAGAGAGGGGACTGGGGGGGGAAGGGGGGGAGGCGGGGCTCAAGGGGTTCAACGGGCAGTTTGAGTTCTTCAATGTGGACGAGCTGGAGACCATGGGCACTGGCGAGCACTTCATGGCTACTGATGTTGAGTGGGACCCCACTGGCAGGTGAGATGGGCGGTGGTGCAGTGGGTGAGATGGGCAGGGTTTGGGTGTGCATGGCTGTGAAGAGAGGGGACTGGGGGGGGAAGGGGGGGAGGCGGAGCTCAAGGGGTTCAACGGGCAGTTTGAGTTCTTCAATGTGGACGAGCTGGAGACCATGGGCACTGGCGAGCACTTCATGGCTACTGATGTTGAGTGGGACCCACTGGCAGGTGAGATGGGCGGTGGTGCAGTGGGTGAGATGGGCAGGGTTTGGGTGTGCATGGCTGTGAAGAGAGGGGACTGGGGGGGGAAGGGGGGGAGGCGGAGCTCAAGGGGTTCAACGGGCAGTTTGAGTTCTTCAATGTGGACGAGCTGGAGACCATGGGCACTGGCGAGCACTTCATGGCTACTGATGTTGAGTGGGACCCCACTGGCAGGTGAGATGGGCGGTGGTGCAGTGGGTGAGATGGGCAGGGTTTGGGTGTGCATGGCTGTGAAGAGAGGGGACTGGGGGGGGAAGGGGGGGAGGCGGAGCTCAAGGGGTTCAACGGGCAGTTTGAGTTCTTCAATGTGGACGAGCTGGAGACCATGGGCACTGGCGAGCACTTCATGGCTACTGATGTTGAGTGGGACCCCACTGGCAGGTGAGATGGGCGGTGGTGCAGTGGGTGAGATGGGCAGGGTTTGGGTGTGCATGGCTGTGAAGAGAGGGGACTGGGGGGGAAGGGGGGGAGGCGGAGCTCAAGGGGTTCAACGGGCAGTTTGAGTTCTTCAATGTGGACGAGCTGGAGACCATGGGCACTGGCGAGCACTTCATGGCTACTGATGTTGAGTGGGACCCCACTGGCAGGTGAGATGGGCGGTGGTGCAGTGGGTGAGATGGGCAGGGTTTGGGTGTGCATGGCTGTGAAGAGAGGGGACTGGGGGGGGAAGGGGGGGAGGCGGAGCTCAAGGGGTTCAACGGGCAGTTTGAGTTCTTCAATGTGGACGAGCTGGAGACCATGGGCACTGGCGAGCACTTCATGGCTACTGATGTTGAGTGGACCCCACTGGCAGGTGAGATGGGCGGTGGTGCAGTGGGTGAGATGGGCAGGGTTTGGGTGTGCATGGCTGTGAAGAGAGGGGACTGGGGGGGAAGGGGGGGAGGCGGAGCTCAAGGGGTTCAACGGGCAGTTTGAGTTCTTCAATGTGGACGAGCTGGAGACCATGGGCACTGGCGAGCACTTCATGGCTACTGATGTTGAGTGGGACCCCACTGGCAGGTGAGATGGGCGGTGGTGCAGTGGGTGAGATGGGCAGGGTTTGGGTGTGCATGGCTGTGAAGAGAGGGGACTGGGGGGGGAAGGGGGGGAGGCGGAGCTCAAGGGGTTCAACGGGCAGTTTGAGTTCTTCAATGTGGACGAGCTGGAGACCATGGGCACTGGCGAGCACTTCATGGCTACTGATGTTGAGTGGGACCCCACTGGCAGGTGAGATGGGCGGTGGTGCAGTGGGTGAGATGGGCAGGGTTTGGGTGTGCATGGCTGTGAAGAGAGGGGACTGGGGGGGGAAGGGGGGGAGGCGGAGCTCAAGGGGTTCAACGGGCAGTTTGAGTTCTTCAATGTGGACGAGCTGGAGACCATGGGCACTGGCGAGCACTTCATGGCTACTGATGTTGAGTGGGACCCCACTGGCAGGTGAGATGGGCGGTGGTGCAGTGGGTGAGATGGGCAGGGTTTGGGTGTGCATGGCTGTGAAGAGAGGGGACTGGGGGGGGAAGGGGGGGAGGCGGAGCTCAAGGGGTTCAACGGGCAGTTTGAGTTCTTCAATGTGGACGAGCTGGAGACCATGGGCACTGGCGAGCACTTCATGGCTACTGATGTTGAGTGGGACCCCACTGGCAGGTGAGATGGGCGGTGGTGCAGTGGGTGAGATGGGCAGGGTTTGGGTGTGCATGGCTGTGAAGAGAGGGGACTGGGGGGGGAAGGGGGGGAGGCGGAGCTCAAGGGGTTCAACGGGCAGTTTGAGTTCTTCAATGTGGACGAGCTGGAGACCATGGGCACTGGCGAGCACTTCATGGCTACTGATGTTGAGTGGGACCCCACTGGCAGGTGAGATGGGCGGTGGTGCAGTGGGTGAGATGGGCAGGGTTTGGGTGTGCATGGCTGTGAAGAGAGGGGACTGGGGGGGGAAGGGGGGGAGGCGGGGCTCAAGGGGTTCAACGGGCAGTTTGAGTTCTTCAATGTGGACGAGCTGGAGACCATGGGCACTGGCGAGCACTTCATGGCTACTGATGTTGAGTGGGACCCCACTGGCAGGTGAGATGGGCGGTGGTGCAGTGGGTGAGATGGGCAGGGTTTGGGTGTGCATGGCTGTGAAGAGAGGGGACTGGGGGGGGAAGGGGGGGAGGCGGAGCTCAAGGGGTTCAACGGGCAGTTTGAGTTCTTCAATGTGGACGAGCTGGAGACCATGGGCACTGGCGAGCACTTCATGGCTACTGATGTTGAGTGGGACCCCACTGGCAGGTGAGATGGGCGGTGGTGCAGTGGGTGAGATGGGCAGGGTTTGGGTGTGCATGGCTGTGAAGAGAGGGGACTGGGGGGGGAAGGGGGGGAGGCGGAGCTCAAGGGGTTCAACGGGCAGTTTGAGTTCTTCAATGTGGACGAGCTGGAGACCATGGGCACTGGCGAGCACTTCATGGCTACTGATGTTGAGTGGGACCCCACTGGCAGGTGAGATGGGCGGTGGTGCAGTGGGTGAGATGGGCAGGGTTTGGGTGTGCATGGCTGTGAAGAGAGGGGACTGGGGGGGGAAGGGGGGGAGGCGGAGCTCAAGGGGTTCAACGGGCAGTTTGAGTTCTTCAATGTGGACGAGCTGGAGACCATGGGCACTGGCGAGCACTTCATGGCTACTGATGTTGAGTGGGACCCCACTGGCAGGTGAGATGGGCGGTGGTGCAGTGGGTGAGATGGGCAGGGTTTGGGTGTGCATGGCTGTGAAGAGAGGGGACTGGGGGGGGAAGGGGGGGAGGCGGGAGCTCAAGGGGTTCAACGGGCAGTTTGAGTTCTTCAATGTGGACGAGCTGGAGACCATGGGCACTGGCGAGCACTTCATGGCTACTGATGTTGAGTGGGACCCCACTGGCAGGTGAGATGGGCGGTGGTGCAGTGGGTGAGATGGGCAGGGTTTGGGTGTGCATGGCTGTGAAGAGAGGGGACTGGGGGGGGAAGGGGGGGAGGCGGAGCTCAAGGGGTTCAACGGGCAGTTTGAGTTCTTCAATGTGGACGAGCTGGAGACCATGGGCACTGGCGAGCACTTCATGGCTACTGATGTTGAGTGGGACCCCACTGGCAGGTGAGATGGGCGGTGGTGCAGTGGGTGAGATGGGCAGGGTTTGGGTGTGCATGGCTGTGAAGAGAGGGGACTGGGGGGGGAAGGGGGGGAGGCGGAGCTCAAGGGGTTCAACGGGCAGTTTGAGTTCTTCAATGTGGACGAGCTGGAGACCATGGGCACTGGCGAGCACTTCATGGCTACTGATGTTGAGTGGGACCCCACTGGCAGGTGAGATGGGCGGTGGTGCAGTGGGTGAGATGGGCAGGGTTTGGGTGTGCATGGCTGTGAAGAGAGGGGACTGGGGGGGGAAGGGGGGGAGGCGGAGCTCAAGGGGTTCAACGGGCAGTTTGAGTTCTTCAATGTGGACGAGCTGGAGACCATGGGCACTGGCGAGCACTTCATGGCTACTGATGTTGAGTGGGACCCCACTGGCAGGTGAGATGGGCGGTGGTGCAGTGGGTGAGATGGGCAGGGTTTGGGTGTGCATGGCTGTGAAGAGAGGGGACTGGGGGGGGAAGGGGGGAGGCGGAGCTCAAGGGGTTCAACGGGCAGTTTGAGTTCTTCAATGTGGACGAGCTGGAGACCAGTGGGCACTGGCGAGCACTTCATGGCTACTGATGTTGAGTGGGACCCCACTGGCAGGTGAGATGGGCGGTGGTGCAGTGGGTGAGATGGGCAGGGTTTGGGTGTGCATGGCTGTGAAGAGAGGGGACTGGGGGGGGAAGGGGGGGAGGCGGAGCTCAAGGGGTTCAACGGGCAGTTTGAGTTCTTCAATGTGGACGAGCTGGAGACCATGGGCACTGGCGAGCACTTCATGGCTACTGATGTTGAGTGGGACCCCACTGGCAGGTGAGATGGGCGGTGGTGCAGTGGGTGAGATGGGCAGGGTTTGGGTGTGCATGGCTGTGAAGAGAGGGGACTGGGGGGGAAGGGGGGGAGGCGGAGCTCAAGGGGTTCAACGGGCAGTTTGAGTTCTTCAATGTGGACGAGCTGGAGACCATGGGCACTGGCGAGCACTTCATGGCTACTGATGTTGAGTGGGACCCCACTGGCAGGTGAGATGGGCGGTGGTGCAGTGGGTGAGATGGGCAGGGTTTGGGTGTGCATGGCTGTGAAGAGAGGGGACTGGGGGGGGAAGGGGGGGAGGCGGAGCTCAAGGGGTTCAACGGGCAGTTTGAGTTCTTCAATGTGGACGAGCTGGAGACCGTGGGCACTTGGCGAGCACTTCATGGCTACTGATGTTGAGTGCGACCCCACTGGCAGGTGAGATGGGCGGTGGTGCAGTGGGTGAGATGGGCAGGGTTTGGGTGTGCATGGCTGTGAAGAGAGGGGACTGGGGGGGGAAGGGGGGGAGGCGGAGCTCAAGGGGTTCAACGGGCAGTTTGAGTTCTTCAATGTGGATGAGCTGGAGACCATGGGCACTGGCGAGCACTTCATGGCTACTGATGTTGAGTGCGACCCCACTGGCAGGTGAGATGGGCGGTGGTGCAGTGGGTGAGATGGGCAGGGTTTGGGTGTGCATGGCTGTGAAGAGAGGGGACTGGGGGGGGAAGGGGGGGAGGCGGGGCTCAAGGGGTTCAACGGGCAGTTTGAGTTCTTCAATGTGGATGAGCTGGAGACCATGGGCACTGGCGAGCACTTCATGGCTACTGATGTTGAGTGCGACCCCACTGGCAGGTGAGATGGGCGGTGGTGCAGTGGGTGAGATGGGCAGGGTTTGGGTGTGCATGGCTGTGAAGAGAGGGGACTGGGGGGGGAAGGGGGGGAGGCGGGCTCAAGGGGTTCAACGGGCAGTTTGAGTTCTTCAATGTGGATGAGCTGGAGACCGTGGGCACTGGCGAGCACTTCATGGCTACTGATGTTGAGTGGGACCCCACTGGCAGGTGAGATGGGCGGTGGTGCAGTGGGTGAGATGGGCAGGGTTTGGGTGTGCATGGCTGTGAAGAGAGGGGACTGGGGGGGGAAGGGGGGGAGGCGGGGCTCAAGGGGTTCAACGGGCAGTTTGAGTTCTTCAATGTGGATGAGCTGGAGACCATGGGCACTGGCGAGCACTTCATGGCTACTGATGTTGAGTGGGACCCCACTGGCAGGTGAGATGGGCGGTGGTGCAGTGGGTGAGATGGGCAGGGTTTGGGTGTGCATGGCTGTGAAGAGAGGGGACTGGGGGGGGAAGGGGGGGAGGCGGGGCTCAAGGGGTTCAACGGGCAGTTTGAGTTCTTCAATGTGGATGAGCTGGAGGACCGTGGGCACTGGCGAGCACTTCATGGCTACTGATGTTGAGTGCGACCCCACTGGCAGGTGAGATGGGCGGTGGTGCAGTGGGTGAGATGGGCAGGGTTTGGGTGTGCATGGCTGTGAAGAGAGGGGACTGGGGGGGGAAGGGGGGGAGGCGGGGCTCAAGGGGTTCAACGGGCAGTTTGAGTTCTTCAATGTGGATGAGCTGGAGACATGGGCACTGGCGAGCACTTCATGGCTACTGATGTTGAGTGGGACCCCACTGGCAGGTGAGATGGGCGGGTGGTGCAGTGGGTGAGATGGGCAGGGTTTGGGTGTGCATGGCTGTGAAGAGAGGGGACTGGGGGGGAAGGGGGGGGAGGCGGGGCTCAAGGGGTTCAACGGGCAGTTTGAGTTCTTCAATGTGGATGAGCTGGAGACCATGGGCACTGGCGAGCACTTCATGGCTACTGATGTTGAGTGGGACCCCACTGGCAGGTGAGATGGGCGGTGGTGCAGTGGGTGAGATGGGCAGGGTTTGGGTGTGCATGGCTGTGAAGAGAGGGGACTGGGGGGGGAAGGGGGGGAGGCGGAGCTCAAGGGGTTCAACGGGCAGTTTGAGTTCTTCAATGTGGATGAGTTGGAGACCATGGGCACTGGCGAGCACTTCATGGCTACTGATGTTGAGTGGGACCCCACTGGCAGGTGAGATGGGCGGTGGTGCTGTGGGTGAGATGGGCAGGGTTTGGGGGTGCATGGCTGTGAAGAGAGGGGACTGGGGGGGGAAGGGGGGGAGGCGGGGCTCAAGGGGTTCAACGGGCAGTTTGAGTTCTTCAATGTGGATGAGCTGGGGACCATGGGCACTGGCGAGCACTTCATGGCTACTGATGTTGAGTGGGACCCCACTGGCAGGTGAGATGGGCGGTGGTGCAGTGGGTGAGATGGGCAGGGTTTGGGTGTGCATGGCTGTGAAGAGAGGGGACTGGGGGGGGAAGGGGGGGAGGCGGGGCTGAAGGGGTTCAACGGGCAGTTTGAGTTCTTCAATGTGGATGAGCTGGGGACCATGGGCACTGGCGAGCACTTCATGGCTACTGATGTTGAGTGGGACCCCACTGGCAGGTGAGATGGGCGGTGGTGCAGTGGGTGAGATGGGCAGGGTTTGGGTGTGCATGGCTGTGAAGAGAGGGGACTGGGGGGGGAAGGGGGGGAGGCGGAGCTCAAGGGGTTCAACGGGCAGTTTGAGTTCTTCAATGTGGACGAGCTGGAGACCGTGGGCATTGGCGAGCACTTCATGGCTACTGATGTTGAGTGCGACCCCACTGGCAGGTGAGATGGGCGGTGGTGCAGTGGGTGAGATGGGCAGGGTTTGGGTGTGCATGGCTGTGAAGAGAGGGGACTGGGGGGGGAAGGGGGGAGGCGGGAGCTCAAGGGGTTCAACGGGCAGTTTGAGTTCTTCAATGTGGATGAGCTGGAGACCATGGGCACTGGCGAGCACTTCATGGCTACTGATGTTGAGTGGGACCCCACTGGCAGGTGAGATGGGCGGTGGTGCAGTGGGTGAGATGGGCAGGGTTTGGGTGTGCATGGCTGTGAAGAGAGGGGACTGGGGGGGAAGGGGGGGAGGCGGGGCTCAAGGGGTTCAACGGGCAGTTTGAGTTCTTCAATGTGGATGAGCTGGAGACCATGGGCACTGGCGAGCACTTCATGGCTACTGATGTTGAGTGGGACCCCACTGGCAGGTGAGATGGGCGGTGGTGCAGTGGGTGAGATGGGCAGGGTTTGGGTGTGCATGGCTGTGAAGAGAGGGGGACTGGGGGGGGAAGGGGGGGAGGCGGGGCTGAAGGGGTTCAACGGGCAGTTTGAGTTCTTCAATGTGGATGAGCTGGGGACCATGGGCACTGGCGAGCACTTCATGGCTACTGATGTTGAGTGGGACCCCCACTGGCAGGTGAGATGGGCGGTGGTGCAGTGGGTGAGATGGGCAGGGTTTGGGTGTGCATGGCTGTGAAGAGAGGGGACTGGGGGGGGAAGGGGGGGAGGCGGGGCTGAAGGGGTTCAACGGGCAGTTTGAGTTCTTCAATGTGGATGAGCTGGGGACCATGGGCACTGGCGAGCACTTCATGGCTACTGATGTTGAGTGGGACCCCACTGGCAGGTGAGATGGGCGGTGGTGCAGTGGGTGAGATGGGCAGGGTTTGGGTGTGCATGGCTGTGAAGAGAGGGGACTGGGGGGGGAAGGGGGGGAGGCGGAGCTCAAGGGGTTCAACGGGCAGTTTGAGTTCTTCAATGTGGATGAGTTGGAGACCATGGGCACTGGCGAGCACTTCATGGCTACTGATGTTGAGTGGGACCCCACTGGCAGGTGAGATGGGCGGTGGTGCTGTGGGTGAGATGGGCAGGGTTTGGGGGTGCATGGCTGTGAAGAGAGGGGACTGGGGGGGGAAGGGGGGGAGGCGGGGCTCAAGGGGTTCAACGGGCAGTTTGAGTTCTTCAATGTGGACGAGCTGGAGACCATGGGCACGGGGGAGCATTTCATGGCCACGGATGTCGAGTGGGACCCCACTGGCAGGTGAGGTGGCGCTTGGTGTGGTTGGGGAAAAGGAGGGGAGAGAGGAAGGGGGGAAGGGGGAGGGTGGGGAGGGGTCGGGCATGTGAGACATGGATGAGCTTGAGACGATGGGCACGGGGGAGCATTTCATGGCCACGGATGTGGAGTGGGACCCCACTGGCAGGTGAGGTGGGTGTGGAGGAAGGGAGGGAGTGGGGCAGGTGGGAAGGTGGGTTGGGCGTGGTGTGGCGGGTGGGTTGAGCGTGGTGTGGCGGTGCATGGCTGTGCATGGTGTAGAGTGGGGGACTAGGGAAGGAGAGAGAGGAGGGAAGAGGGGCAGGAGGAAGGTTTGGTTGGTGTGGGTGAGATCAGATTTTGTATGCAGATTGCAAGATGCTGTGTGTTTGAGTGATGGACCGAGTCTCTGGTTTCGCTCCCCCGCCTCTTTCCATTGTATTCCTTGTTCGCATTCTCTACCGTTTTGCCCATCGCCCCTGCCTTCTCCCCATCTCCCCTGCCTTCTCCCCATCTCCCCTGCCTTCTCCCCATCGCCCCTGCCTTCTCCCCATCTCCCCTTCCTTTCCTTCCCTCCCTTTCCTCCCGTCACCCCCCGTATCACCCACCAGGTACCTAGCAACAGCAGTGACGTCGGTGCATCAGATGGAGAACGGATTCCACATCTGGTCCTTCAGCGACCGCCTTACTGCTCACTTTTGTTGCCTCCCCTCTTCCCACCCTACCGTCCTCTCCCCCGGCCCCTTCTCCCCCTTTTTTTCTTCTCTCGTCTTCTCTCTTCCCCACCAGGTACCTGGCAACAGCAGTGACGTCGGTTGCATCAGATGGAGAACGGATTCCACATCTGGTCCTTCAGCGACCGCCTTACTGCTCACTTTTGTTGCCTCCCCTCTTCCCACCCTACCGTCCTCTCCCCCGGCCCCTTCTCCCCCTTTTTTCTTCTCTCGTCTTCTCTCTTCCCCACCAGGTACCTGGCAACAGCAGTGACGTCGGTGCATCAGATGGAGAACGGATTCCACATCTGGTCCTTCAGCGACCGCCTTACTGCTCACTTTTGTTGCCTCCCCTCTTCCCACCCTACCGTCCTCTCCCCCGGCCCCTTCTCCCCCTTTTTTCTTCTCTCGTCTTCTCTCTTCCCCACCAGGTACCTGGCAACAGCAGTGACGTCGGTGCATCAGATGGAGAACGGATTCCACATCTGGTCCTTCAGTGGCCGCATGCTCTACCAGCTGCCGCGCGACCGCTTCATGCAGGTGAGATTGGTTTGTAGGTCCGTGGGCGATGTTCGGCAGCCACAGGGGATCGATGGGAGGGCATGGGACGGAGGATGAAAACGTCGGGCCTCCTGGTTCGACCTTGACGAACCAGGCAAAACACTACGGTCAGTAGATGAAAAAACGAAAAATGTGCCGGTCGTGGGCCAAAAACGCGACGCGAACCCCAACATAGACCTGTGACCGCGCCGCATCCTCCCCATGAACCCCCCCACCTGGCGGAAACTTTCCGCTCCAGTGTCGAGGGATGGAAAGTGGATTCCCGTGAGGTGGACAACCCCACGGGGAATCAGAATTCCATGCCCCGGACGATGGGTATGTTTTTTTAAACACCCATGCACTTTTATTTATTACCCAGATAGAGTTACTAGCCTATTTTCTTCGTACCTGAACGGATGATTGTCGAAAAATACATGAAATGAAAATCGGGTGAGGTTTACCTGTTTAAGTGTTACTTTTAACAATCGTAAATTAAACGCGAAAACAAAATAAAAAACAATCTCAACAGAAATATCCAGGGTATTTTTGCAATATAGGGTGAGGCTTACAAACAAACCCTGACGGGAACTGTTCACATTGCGAAGGTTCGCGTTTGCAAGGCGTCTGCTTCCGTTGCCCTCCCCCTACCACCCTTGACCTCCGCAATTACCGCAGAGTCCTTCCGCTTGCGCAAGGACCTCGAACTTGGCGTCAACTGTGGTTGACCCCAAGTTGACCTGTCACAACTAGGGGCGAGGCTGTCGATTTTCGATGCCTCGACTCATCCCTCGCTGGATCCCTTGGGCTGCCGAACATCGCCGTGATGGTGAAAGGAAGGTTCGTGTAGGGCAAGAGACTGGTTTGCAATTTCGGTTGCTGAGTGCTCATGGTACGGAACAGCTTTCACGAATCACATCTGGTCTTTCAGTGGCCGCCTGCTCTACCAGCTGCCACGCGACTGCTTCATGCAGGCGAGAGGAAGGTATGTGCAGCTGGGAGGAAGGTGAGAGGAAGTTTCGTGCAGGTGAGAGGAAGGTTTGTGCAGGTGGGAGGAAGTTTCGTGCAGGTGAGAGGAAGGTTTGTGCTGGTGCGAGTAAGGTTCTTGCTGGTGAGAGGAAGGTTCGTGCTGGTGAGAGGAAGGTTCGTGCTGGTGAGAGGAAGGTTCGTGCTGGGCGAGACATTGGTTTGGTGCGCATGCTTCGGTCGGTGAGTGCTCATGTTGTGGGATTCCACTGCACTTGCACAGGCACCCACGCCACATGGACGGTGCAGATGCCTTCATCACATGCATGTCATGTAGGCATGGTGGTGGCATGCTGCCATGCCATGCTGCTATCCTGCCACTTTTTGTCTTGACATGCCTGCTAGTCCTCCTCGGACCCTTCTTCCTCTCTATCAATCTCTCCACAATCCCTCCCCTATCCTGCTTTTCCTCTCCCTTCCCCTTCGCCTTCCCCTTCCCCTTCCCCTTCCCTTTCCCCTTCCCCTTCCCCTTCCCCTTCCCCTTCCCCTTCCCCTTCCCCTTCCCCTCCCCCCTCCCCTTCGCCTTCGCCTTCCCCTTCCCCTTCCCCTTCCCCTTCCCCTTCCCCTTCCCCTTCCCCTTCCCCTTCCCCTTCCCCTTCCCCTTCCCCTTCCCCTTCCCCTTCCCCTCCCCCCTCCCCTTCGCCTTCGCCTTCCCCTTCCCCTTCCCCTTCCCCTTCCCCTTCCCCTTCCCCTTTCCCTGCCCCTCCCCCCTTCCCCTTCCCCTCTCCAACTCGCCAGTTCCTTTGGAGGCCCCGTCCGGCCTCCCTGCTGCCCGCAGAGAAAGAGGCAGAAGTTTCCAAGAACCTGCGCAAGTACAGCCGAAAGTACGAGGTGGAGGACGAGGAGGCCGGGGCGGCGTCGAGCGCTGCAGAGGTGGAGAGGCGGCGCATGGTGCTGGACGAGTGGCGGCAGTGGCAGGCGGAGTGGCGGCACATTGACGAGCAGGAGGAGAAGCTGCGGGCGGCGATCAGCGGAGGAGTGAAGGAGGAGGAGGAGGAGTATAAGGCGGAGGAGGTGGAGGTGGAGGAGATTATCGACATTCAGGAGGAGATTGAGAGGTTTGAGTGAGTGAGAGGGTGGAGGGGGTGCTGCAGAGGTGGAGAGGCGGCGCATGGTGCTGGACGAGTGGCAGCACATCGATGAATACGAGGATTATAAGGCGGAGGAGGTGGAGGTGGAGGAGATTATTGACATTCAGGAGGAGACAGAGCTTCGAGTGAGAGGGAGCTGGGAGGTGGCATTTGTTGTTTGGTTCTTGAGCATATGCAGATTCCTGTAGCAAGTATATGTTCTGTGATGTTACCAGGGTGCCAGATAGAGTACCAGATTTAGTAATTTGGTCAGATTAGTCCTTTTGTCATAAATTGATTTTTTTTACCAAGTCTCATTTATCATACCTTTCTGAAGTCTAAATATTGAGAACGATTAAAAAAAAAACACACACAAAACAATAGAAATACAGAGACAAGCAACAACAATTTAGTTTCTGTTCAGTCGGAATGGTGAGAAGCCGGAGTTCCTTTACTGAGAACCTAGTGCATGAGGGTGCGGCGAGAGTTCCTCCCACGTGTCACTCCTCCTGAACACTTGAAATTTCGTAGAGATCTTCCTTGGGTTACCAGTTGATCCAGTACCAGTTAATTTTCACCGATATCTCACCACGCCGGGAATGACCCTTCGTCAGGTGAATTTATATGGGTAGTTATAGGATGAGCGGGGGCAGAGTCACGCATTCCATTCGCGAGATGACGGTAAGCACAACAGTGTCAATGCCAATCCGCCCCTCCTCTCGGATCACGAAGTGTGACTTCATTAATCTGAACTGTCTCTTGGGTGTATACTGATAGTCCCGAAGTCTCTGGGTGTCCGTCTCACTAAACGAGAAAGCACGTAGGGCAAATAAGGTTCAGGTGGTGATTTTTTTTTTTATTTTTTTTTTTTTTATTGACTTATACACCGAACAGGCAAGTGTACAAAATCAAGAACAGTCGTAACTGTGCTTGGAGGCTAGGTGGTACCCCGCCTCAGTGTGTCTGCCCTGGCCTGATGCCGCCCCTTCTCTGTCGTGTCCATATGGCCGCGAAACCGGCCTTCCATGTCCATTTCTTGGCATTGCTGTCCCTGATGCGATCCAAAAGTTTCAACTCCTGGGGTGGCCCCCCCCCACGTGTCATCTTCTGCCCGGTTGTTTTGTCCTTCTGCAGCTTTTCCCCCGTGCGTTTCATGAAGATCCTCGCATGCAGCCGGAAAGCTGCCTCTATTCTCCACAGAACCCGCCGCAACCTGAACCTCTGGTCCCGAAATGCTGACTCGCACCTTTCGACCCACAGCTGATGGATGGTGATGGCAGTCAATGTTGCTTCTGGAAATGCTGAGCTGGACGCCGCACGCTTGAAAAGGAGGTCCCCCAGCGAAGAGATTGTGCGCCCAGGATTGATCATCCGCAGAGCCGTTCTTAGAGCCCCAACCACAGGCTGAATTGTCGGGCACTCGAAAAGGCAATGCTCTATCGTCTCCTCCTCCGAACAATAAGGACACTTCGGCTTCGAGCTGAGAAAAGCCAGTCTTTCCCCCACCTGAAGGTTAAAATTGTGTACCCTAATTAAAACATCACGAGGGCGACTAGGCGTGGCGAGCGAGTCCCGAATCTTTGACACCCGCTTCCAGTCAATTGCCCCCCCCCACCGGTCGGCCCACTTCTCCCTCCTTCGCGCCGAGTACCCCCGCTTCCTCCAGGCTAACCGCAGTTGCTTAAGCGGGGCGATCTGGCCGAGGTGAAAAATAGAGGAGCGGAGTAGTTTTGCCCTTGGAACCTCCGCAACGTTGTTCCGCCCATCTGCTCCCTGGTTCCCATCCGCTGCAGCCAGCAGGGTATCTCTCCAATTTTCAGGCGCTGCTGCCAGGCCTTTCAGAGCCAGCCGAGCAGGCCCCACCCCTCCCAACTCTCTTGCTAGGGTTTCTTCACTTTTGACCACCATGCCTCCGATTGCCGCTGGCTCCACCAAGTCTCCCAGCCGCGTCTCCCACAGCCCTTTAGCAGCTTGTTGCCCTCCTACCGGCGTTCTCCCGTTGAGCAGAATCCCTTTGTTGAAAACGAGCCGCTCCGCCGCTACCTCATCAGCAGTTAAGGGAGTGCTGGCTGGTGCCAACGGCGACGACATGAAACACTCACACGTTTGCTTCCAACGGACACTCCCCCCAACCCAGTGTTTTAACAGCTTCTCGTGAGACAAAAAGGTGTCCAGACCCAGCGGCAACCCCGCCGCCGCGAGCATCATGTCGCGTTTGAAGTCCATCGTCTCCGTGAGCAGGAGACCAATCCGTCTGGCAGCCAGGCAGGCGAGCAGAATGCCGGGGTCCCTTAGACCAATTCCTCCCTCCCTTCTTTCTGCGAAAATCGTGTCCTTTCCCCACAGGATGAAACATCCCTCCGCCGACGCCTTATTCCTCGAGAGGAAATTATGGATCAGCTTCGTGATCCTGTTCCAGACTTCCTCCGGGGGCGGGTAGACCTGGGCCTGAAAAACCACCACCGGCGTGATGTAACCATTGATGACAACCGCCCTGGCCGTGATCGTGAGGAATTTCAGCTCCCACTTCGCTAGCTCCCCCAGTAATCGTGTCAGTGTTTTGTCCCACGTTGGTTTGCAGTTGCCTGAAGCTGTAATCCACACCCCAAGCAATCTTTCCGCATCATCTGCGCCGGCCCACTTGAAGCCATCCGGCCTCCAAGGGCGACTGCCCAGGTTCCTCCCCAGCGGCATGACAACATATTTCTCCTTGTTCGTGGCCAGACCCGAGATGTTCTCAAGATATCCCAGCAGCTTCCCCGCTTCGGCGATCTGCTCCCTTCCTTGCAGCAGGAGTGTGGTGTCGTCCGCATAGCCCAGGTACGGCAGTCTCCACCCCGAATCACTGACGATGCCGAGCTGTCTCTTCGCCGCTTCTTGCGCCAAGGGCTCCACCGCGCAAATAAAGAGGTACGGAGCAAGAGGACAGCCCTGCCGCACCCCGGATACCACTTCCAACGCATCCGATTTCCAGCCGTTGATTAACAACCTCGTTCTTGTTTCCTTGTGCAGGCCCTTCACCCATCCCACAAAGCGCGGAGGGAACCCCATCTTCTCCAAGGTTTCGAAGAGAAAGCCGCGCGAGACCGAGTCGAAAGCTTTTTGGAAGTCCACAAGTAACAAGAACCAGTCCTTGTTCCCCTTGTTCGCCGCATCAATGATGTCCGCCACCAAACTGACCGCATCCGACAACCTTCTACCCGGGATGAACCCGTACTGCTCCTTGGAGATAACCCAGTGCAGCACCTTCTTCATCCTGTCCGCCACCACCCTCGCCAGAACCTTATATGTGAAATTGAGCAGCGTGATGGGCCGGTAGTTGTTTAAACTGTCCTTGTCCCCCTTTTTGTGCAATAAGATCGTAACCGCCTCTTTGGTGCTGGCAGGAAGCGAGGCGGAGGCAGAGAAGGAGCGCGCCAGCCCCATGAAGCCCTCCCCCAGTACATCCCAGTGCTGCTCGAAAAGCTCCTTCGGGATACCGTCAAGACCGCGGAGGGGATTATGTCTTGTTGCTGGCGAGGCTGAACGCGGGGCTTCGAGCTTACGCCAAGGAGGAGAGCAAGCGGGTCAAGGCGACGATGCGTCGCTTATCGGCAACGGTGGCGACCCTGAAGCAGGCGTTGCTGGGAGCGCCTGGATGTGCGAGGACGCGTGATCTTCTGAGGGTGCGGGAAGGACAGCTGAGGGAGTATCAGTCCTCTCGCCGTGACAGATTGCACCTGATGGCGGGCTACGGAGTGGAACTTAAAGGGGAAGTGGCTTCGAAGCATCTCTCTGCAAAAGTGAAGGCCAGGAAGCAGCGTACCAGGATAGAGGAGCTCAAAGTCAACGGTGCAACGGTTAGTGACAGACAAGGCATCCTTGACGCAGCGGCAAAAATTTTTGACGGCTTATTCGGAGCGGATAGGAGGACTCACTGGTCGAGCTGGTCACCTGACCGCAGGTTGTCAGCGGAGGATGCGGACGGACTGTCTCAGGATTGGTCGGAGTTGGAGGTGAAAGAGGCTTTCAAAAAACTGGCTTGTGGGAAGTCGTCAGGTGGTGAAAATAAGGAGGGCCATGTGTACATCCTGGGTTTGTCGCGGTCAAGAAGTTCGGTTTCTTCTCAGATCATGACGTATCTGGTACTGTATGTTTTTGTCACGATATTGAATATGTGTCTGTGGTTCTTGTCCTAGTAAAAAACCAGTGTGTGGCCCAATCTAGTGCCACTCTGGGTCTCTGTGCATTCAAGCTGGGAATTCTTATCCATGCTTTCCAGCCACAAGAGTGGAGTTCATGCTCACGTTCATTCAACGAAGAGTCCAACTTGACCTTCGTGTACACTTCACTCACTGTCTTACGGAAGTCGTGAATTTTAAGTTGCAGAAGCATGCAAGCGTGACAAGAGAAAGAAAATGGGAAATAAATCAAAGTGGGTCAAACCACTGCTCCCGTAAAACAGTTACGCCTACCCTACAGTGCCTACAGAAAAACGATTGTTTCGATATTGTATTGTGAACGACCCCATGCGAAAGGGACAAAGTCGTGAAACTGGGTTTTGCTAATTTGCACGATGCCCTATTAGCAATCTGATGTTGGTAATAGTTTATAGTAATGACTTTTGATAGTTTTTTACAAACATTTACCCCTTCTATAATCATTAATGAAGACCTAATAAATTGATGTACGACGTGCATAGGCTCCAGCAAAATAAAACAGTATTGATTTATATTTGCATAGATCTATTCTTCATTACTGTCGCATTTTATTTGGTGATAGTTGATATCAAACCAATATCAATTGAATTGGTATGGCATGTTAAAAATAGGGTGGTATTTCGTAATCAGACGTATTTATTACAACGCTTGTAATTTGCGACATTGGCGAGATCTTGTGCTTTGTCATTAGGAATTGGCACAATGCTGCTTCACTAGACCAGTTTCTCAAAGTTAGCGAACAACGGAATGATTGGAATAGAAACGAATGGGGTACAAATGAGCAACCCTAGAAGCTGTA